AGAACTAGGGCACAAACCAGAGGTGCAGGGATAGTGAGGGGATTCACCAGAGACAGAGTGGGGAGCAGAACAGGCAGATCGATGAGGTACACTGTGAGGGGAGCAGTGGCAGCTCAGGAGAGGTCTCCCGCACCATGTGGGTCACCTGTGGGGCGAGGATCAAACTCTCATTGAAATGGTTGCTGCCAGCTTGCAGTGCTGCATCCTAACCCGCTGCGCCACCAGGGAGGGCCTGTGGCTGCTTTATTGTTGGAATTCCTGGGCACAGGTGAACTTGTGTTGGCATATACCCCATCAGGTCAGCACTGGCACCTGAAGCCCCCCACCCCCACCTCCCGATTCCCCTTCCCGCCCCTCTGGCACACACCCTGAGGTAGAGCCTGTGGCCTGGTCTCTCCTGGATCAGCACCAGTGACCACAGACCTCAGAGGTCTGGGCTGCCTTAGTAAAATCCAGAAACCTCCCTCCCTGACTCGCTAGGAAACAGGCTCAGGTGATTTGTTTTGAGTAGTGGGCCTTCTACACCTGTGAAAGATCTCCCTCATGTGTCTTAGAAACATGGTTTTAAAAAGCAGTTCTTTCTGTTTTTTAAATAATACTTTCATTTTCATCAATACTTTCCAGATTTAACAATTTTTTAGAAAGTAAATATCTAGGTTAGAGGGTATTTTGAGTAACAGATTACTAAGTTTTGGCGACATCAGTTTTCTTATTTCTTGTTATAGAATTGTTTCCTTTTAAGTTAGCTGGTACATTTCTTTTTAATTTTTTATAGTTTTTACATCCTTCTTTATTTCATGCCATGTATGAAAAAGCAGTTCATGAACTCTTAAAACTATCCATTCCTTGGTGAGGGGAAAGGGTTGTGCTATCTGTTCAAAGGAAAGAGTAAACTCTTCAGAAAAGTGACTGGAGGAAAAACAGCAGTCATATTTTGGCCATTTTGTGACAGACTCATCAATAACCTTTGACTTACCATTTGACTGTGACCTTCTTTTGTAGAATTTTTATAAAGAAAAGAAGAGACAGGACATATTCATCAGGTAAGCTTGAAGAAAATGTCTGCTTTTACAGTTTTATGTCACAGTTTTGTTATTTCTTGTTTCTTCAAGAAACAAATAAATCCCAAGGCCATGGTTGCTCTGAGAAACTCCAAAAAGTATGTGATATGCTATCTTCCGTAAAAGGGTGAACTCTTTAGACACAGGTGATACAGTCTGAGGGAGCACCTTGGGAAGGTGGTGTCAGGATTCAAGGAGGGCAGAGAAGACTGGACAGTGTCATCAGGCACGCCTGATGGAGGGGCCAGACAGGGAGGGTGATGAGATGCTCTTCCATCGAGAAAGGTTAGCCTGTGAAAGGGGTCTGTAAAGAGCCAAAGCAAACTTGGACATAAACTCTGTGCATTTTCTCAGAACTCTCATTAGCTTCCCACTGGGGCCCACGGCATAAAAAATGTAAGTGCCCTGCCTTGGACAAAGAGCCCAAAATAGAATAGATGGGGTAAGAGAGCTTACACAAAGCTTAAAAGAGCAAGAAGTGACACATTCCTTTTCCTGAGAGAAATAAGGGCTCAGACAGGCGTCTGAGAGAAGGCAGGAAGGCAGGCTGAGGTCTGGTTGTGGAAGAGCTGACGCACAGATCACTCCCTTGCAAACAGCCTCCTTTCTGTCCTTACCAGGTACTTGTACAAGCTGAGGGATTTGCACCGCGACTGTGAGAATTACACAGAAGCTGCCTATACGCTCCTCTTGCACGCTGAGCTTCTGCAGGTGAGAGGGCCAGGGCGCACATTTCAGTGGGTGGAAGACAGGCATTGTCAGTGCCTTTAGAGACGAAATTCTGTGTACTTTGTGGTTTGGACGGGAAAGATCATTTCTCAAGAGACGTCCTTTCTTTGATAATATCTTTATATCTGCTAAGTAGACACAGCTAATTTTCAAATCCAAGTTAAGAAAATGACAGTAATTATTTTATATATATATAATAGTGTATTTTTGCATCATTTTGTGCATTTTTTCATCTCAGTTGTATGTCAGTAATTATTTAAGAATTCTTAGGAAACAGAACTTATAAGCTTCTAGTATTTAGCTTGCTGATTAAAGAGACAAAACATACATCAATGAAGATAGATAAATAGTTTTGTATGCCTGCAGAGAAATGAGTTTTAAATATATGGAGTACGTAGGAATGTTTTCCTGTTTCTACTCTCTCACTAAGTAAAATTATGCTGCAGATAATAAATACACAGATACATCAGTGATCCCAAATATTTCTAGCTCTAATTATTCCTGTATCTTTAGGGTGATGTGTAATTTATTAAAAGCAGCCATGGAAGTTGGCTGCCTGACTTTTGCTGGGAATGCCTGAAGGGTTTGTCCATTTAGCTCAACCTTTGTCTCAGGGCTGGTGTGTGTGTGTGAGTGTGTGTGAGTGTGTGTGTGTGTGTGTGTGTGTGTGTGTGTGTGTGTGTGATTGGTTGTTTGATAAATCAACTACAACACTATAAATCAGTCAAAGATATACTCAAATATTTCTGTATCTTTTTTTTTGGTCTGGGTATTTGTTACATTAATCTCCTTTGATTAACTTAATTAAGAGATTCATTGCCTTAATCTCTTCTGTTCCTTCTGTTTGTCTGCAGTGGTCTGACCAGCCCTGTGACTCCCAGCTGCCTCAGAGAGCCAATTACAATGTTTCTACCCAGCAGGAGCTTAAAGAGAAGTTGTATCAAGAAATCATATCTTATTTTGACAAAGGCAAAGTGAGTGTTGGGTGGTTGGGTCTTGCATTAGGAGAAAGAGTTAAGTGTCTGCTGTGCTGGTGCCAACCACCCAAAGTAACCCCAGACTCCACAGGTTAGGGCACAATCCCAGCCTGACAGGCCTCCCTTCTGGTGCCAGCACAAGTTCCCCGGCCACCCACTCTTCTGACTAATTGACTAACAATTTGGGAGGGTGTCCCGTAACTCCTTCAAGGTTTCATAAGATGCTCTAAAAACAAACAAACTTGGTAAGATGCTGTATTATGATAACAGTTTATGATAAAGGGTACAAAGCAGAACCATCCAAGTGAAGGATCATAAATGGCAAGATTTAGGCGGAGACTCTACTACAAAGCTTCTGTGTCTTCTTCCCATAGATTTAGGACATAATACGATTTGGCAAACTGATGTGTTCACCACCAGGAAGCTCATTTAATCCTTGCTGTGCAGTTTTTATAGGGGTTTGATTACATAGACTTTATTGACTGAATCATCAGTGGCGTGATTAAACTCAATCTCCAACACCCCCTCCCAGCCACCTAATTGCACAGGCGATGATTCTGGCACGACCAGCCCTCATTCCGAGGCTGTCTGGGGGCCGCCTATGTAAATTCAGGTGTGGTGAGTGGTCCACCATGAATAAGAAAGACACCATGGTGTCTGGAGAAACTCCATCCCTGGAACTCAGGACCAAACTCTTCATTATACAACAATGACTTATGGCTTATTCTTTTATACCCTGTGTATCTTTGAATTCTGTTATTTTTGTGGGAGCAAAAATGAATATATAAGGTAAGAAAGGTAATAAAGATCAGTTATCTTGACAACACTTAACTCTGTGGAGACTAGAATTGGCAGCCTCGAGCCTCACTCTGCACAGCCATAATTTCATCTTGTAATTGGTGCTGCGGGGCCAAGAGCTGGTCCCATTTTCCCTGTGTGTTTTCAAGAGATTGTTGGCTCACACCAATTGCATAGGTTACTGTCTTTCTACACAGGTTGTAAGGTGACAGGCAAGTTAAATGCCTGTGGGGGCAGGAAGGTGGAGTGAACCTATGAAGAGCACCAGGAAGCTGTAGTTTGTGACCTACTGGAGAAATCATGTCTGATTGATTGGATCATTTCTTTTATGAGAAATTATTATAACTATATTTTCCAAAGAGTTAGTGTCAGTGGTATTATTTTACAAGTTTGTGAATCTCTTGAACTTCTGATTTAATAGATGGATGTTGATAGTCTGCTCCATTTAATCAATGGTGATATCATTCATCCTGAAGCCTTTGGGAAGCTCCCGTGTATGCATAAGCGATGAACGTGGAGGAAAGCAAATAGTATATGAGTTTTATCTAGAAGACAGTTTTGATCTGGTCCACTGAAAGGGACCAGGGACACTGTGCTAGGGAACTCCCTGTCTCTTACATAGTTGGCGTTTGCTGAACTAGGAGAGAGCTGGATTGCATTTCTGCGGCTTACTGACTTGCTGCACCAGACCCAGCCAATATGAAAAGGGATCCATTGGGAACATTTCAGAGCCTTTTCAGTGACCCAGGCTGTGAAATTTCACAAGGGGCAAACTCGGCTGATGATGATTCCATTCTTGGTCTCAGCCAAAAGCTGAGAAGCAGTCAGCTAACAAGGATTTTAAAATATGTAATTTGAAAATGTTCTGCAACTGTATGTGAACTTCACATGTATTCCTTTAGCAGTCAGAAACAATGGAAGGAACATAGCATCCTGTTAACAAGAATAACGTAGGAAATGACTAGATACTATGGTTTAATAGGACCTACCTAAAGCTGATGAAATACCCAGGCACAACCTGGGATGCAGCCTTGGATTCCAGCTGTGAATCAGGCTGTAGCTTACACAGTCACACATGCTCTAAGGTATTTCCCAAAACTGCTTGACTAAGTAGGTAGTTTAGTTGAAACAAGAAGTGAAAGCCCTAATTCAAACCACAGTTTCTTAAATTCCAAATAACAATACAGTTAGCTACTTTTCTAACCATACCCCAAATAGCCTAACTCCAAACACAAATTTACACACCCAGGACCAGAACTAAAGCCCACACTGACTTTACCCTCAAATAAAACTCTCACATTCTCAGGGCCTCTGGTTCAGAACTGGTTCCCTGTTTTGGTGCTTTACCCTTTAAAGTATGCTTTAATTTTAGACACTCGGTATTCTTTATGTTCTTATAAACAGATTTACCAAAGATGCCCGCAACAAAGCAGCTAATATATAGTAATTTTATATTGTCAGAAAGATGATTAGTTGATCCAAGAGATGAAGCTGGCTGGGAATATTTCAGCATCTCAACCCCCACAATCTTGCTGCTAGCTAGGGGCACTCAAATGGCTTTTGCCATTTGAGAAAGTGAGTGACTGCTTTGTTCTTTGCTTTAACCTGACTTTTCTTTCTCTAAAGATGTGGGAGAAGGCGATCAAACTTAGCAAAGAGTTGGCTGAGACTTATGAGAGCAAAGTGTTTGACTACGAGGGCCTTGGCAATCTCTTGGTGAGTCTGTCTGTGTTCCTCATGCCACCAACAGCCTCCCTACAATCAGTGAGCATGAAGCTAATTCTATGAGCTTAGGCAAGTCAGGATAAATTTTGTTATTTTCAATGGAAACATCATAACCTTGTGAAAGGAAAGGTGACAAAGGGTGAAGACTCAGGGCCTCCCTAATGGTGCAATGGGTTAACTCCCTGCACTATGAAGCTATCAGCAGCCACTGCAGCACAAGTTCAATCCCCAGCCAGGGAGCTGACACACATGGCACAGCAGACCTCTCCTGTCTCACCCATTGCTCCCCTCAGCAGTGTATTTCAGCCAGTTCTGCTCCCCACTCTGTCTCTGGTGAATCTTCTCAGCCTCTGCACCTCTGGCCTGTACCCCAGTTCTTGTATATGTAAAGAAATAAATCTTTAAAAAAAATGACTCTGAGCCTTGTCCAGGAAGCCTCCCCCCTGTGAAAAATTAAAGACAGTGTGGTGTCAAGTATTGAGAAACAGAACATTGCTCCCACCTTCTGGATACCTGTAACTGAACCAAGGACATGAATCCAAATCACCTGCAGGAAGTGGAAGGTTCCTTATGTTCTTTTCTCTGTCTCTGATTAAGTATAGCTGCCCTCTGTGAATCTCAGAAAGTGCTTTTGGAGGTCCTGAACCCCTTGAAGAAACCAGTGAAGTGTGAGCACTGCCCACTGCACAGAATGCTTGCACACACATCTTTCTATGTACATCTTTCAGGGGGTTCCCAGGCCCTTAGATCCCAGGTCCAAAACCTCTGCCTCAAGAGAAAGCAAACCCTTTGACCACAAGATGCTTTCCAAAGGCCTTTTATTTCTCTGTGTTAAGTGGGAAACAACAAAGCAAATAAGCTGATCCCCTCCACCCCACCCCAGCATCCTTGTAATCTCTCTTGTAACCTCCTTTGTTTTATTTTCCAGAAAAAAAGAGCCTCGTTTTATGAGAACATCATTAAGGCAATGAGGCCTCAGCCAGAATACTTTGCGGTTGGATACTACGGACAGGGCTTCCCTTCTTTCCTGCGGGTAAGAAGCCCAGGTGGTCTCCAAAGCCGTTAAGCTCTGGAGTCTGAAGGAGGGAAGGTCTTCACCTCTTTGCTAGATGGGTCTAGTGTGTTAGCAGCTGCTGGCCCTGCTCTCGCGGTGTGAGGTCGCAGAGGGAAACCACTTCCTGTGTGACCGCCTCTTCACCCCACACCCCAGCTGCCTCTGCTCTCTGGCAGCTCTTTTGTGAAACGACTTTTCCCAGGTGGACTGAAAATGGAAAAACAGAACCATCCTCTCCACTGGTCTACCACGGGTCAGGCAGGGGAGAGTGTGGATTGCTAGATTTAGTTGTTTATTTATTTCCAGCCAGAGCTAGTTGGAAAGCCACTATCCCAAGGACTGGACTACAAGAGTTCACAAAAATAAATAAAATGGTGCAATGTAATGGTGAAGGAACCCTGTTCTCCCTCCTTTCCTCCCTTCAGTTTTCTCTAAGAGTGATTTTACAATGTAAAAAACAAAAAATTCCTCTTTGCTACCACAAGACGAGCCTTTTAGAACTGAGCTATTTTTGAAAGCAATTATTATTTATATTCCCCCTAATTAAGATAAAGGTGGGGAAAAACAATTTAGATCCCTTACCGTGCCTAATGAGGAGGTGGTTCATTCATTCATTTGATCGCTTTTTTCCTGTACACACATACTAAGTCATTTGAGCTACAGTGGTAATTGCAAGGGGATAAGATCCCTGCCCTCGTAGATTTTAACCCTAGAAGGTGAGATGTTAATTAAATAATCACACAAACAAATGTATATTTGAAGTAGAACAGGTAAGATATTCTGTGCTATAACCAGTGAGTATTCACCTGAGTGGAATAAAAACCTGTACACAAATTTTGTATGTGAATGTTTTAGCACCTTTGTTTATCTTCATCACAGATTGCACATTACCTGTGTTTCTCAACAGGTGATGGGATAGATAACCCGTGACATAGCGTCGAATGGAATGCTTCTGGGTCATAGAAAGGAGTGAATCCCCATGCAACCCTGTGGGTGAATCTCAGATGACTTGTGCTTAGTGAATGAAGATAGATTTCAAAGACTTCATTCATTGACTCTATTTATATAACACTCTGATCAAGCCAGCCCTTGCTTGAGGGACAGAGAAAGGATTGTGGTTCTCCGGTAGAAGGAAGGGGTGGGCTACAGAGATGTGTGCGAAATCCTATTGGCGATGGAACTCTTTTGTGTCGTGTTGCAGTCGTGGCTATATTGACCAAAACTCACACACTTACCCTAAAAAAGGGACATTTTTCTGTCTATAAGTTTTCACTGAATTTTGTACAGTCAGGATAGACATCATTTGAAAGGTGAGCTGGGAGTTAAGGCGGTGAAAGGGGAAGGAAAGAGCATTCTTGGCAGAGGAAACAGCAGGCAGAGGCTGTCAACATGAAGAAATGAGAGAAGACGAGTGTGGTGGGAATGGAGGGAGCTGGGGTGAGCGGGTGGTTGAGGCAGGAAGCATGCAAAGAGCATGAAGAGCCCTGGGGTGAAGTGGGGTATCCGTGTGCATCCTGGTTGTAACCAGAGTCACCACAAAACTTTCATGCTGGCAAGGTCACCTGGCCAAGGGTGGAGTGGATGGGAACTCAGGGACCCTCCCTGGTGGCACAGTGGGCTAAAGTGCAGCACTGCAAGCTTGCCAAAGCCTCTTCAGCATGAGTTCCATCCCTGGCACCGAAGGTGATCCACATGGCACAGCAGACCTCTCCTGACCCACCCGCTGCTCCCCTCAGCAGTGCACTTCATCAGTCTGCCTGTTCTGCTCCCCACTCTGTCTCTGGTGAATCCTCTCACGGCCCCTGCACCTCTGACCTGTACCCCAGTTCTGTATGCCATACCATGTGGGTCACCTCCCTAGTGGGGATCAAGCTCCTGCTGCAGTGGCTGTGGAGGGCGTCATAGTGCTGAGACTTAACCCCTCGCACCAACAGGGAGGTCCTGGTTTGCGATTTTAAATCAGGGAACTAGGAAATCCTTTACTAAGAAGGTGATACTTGAGTCCAAACATGAAGGGAGTGAAGCCAGGTAAGTATTAGAATGACTACTAGTTAAGATGATATCTACTAGTAGCTGTCAAGTATCTATTAGGATGACAAGGTTACCAGTGAGAACAGCAGATTCAAAGGCCTTGAGGCTGGAGAGAAGCACACACAGAAGGGTAAATAAGAGAAGGGGCAGAGGACTATGGGACTGGACTGCAGAGGCCGTTGGCTTTATAAGTTGTTTGTAAACGTTTGGCTTTGTGCATACTCTGTGCGAAATGAGTTTGGAGCTTCCAAAAAATGTAGGTCAGCAATTTGATATTTGGATCTGGAAGATTCTGAGATGGATAGAATACTTAGTCTTCTATATACAGTAAAATGGTGGTTGTGGTTTTCTGACCTGTAGTTTCAAGAAATAATGCCCATGTTGAGGACTGTTTTGAGAAATTGAATATATAGGGATACTTCATATGCTCCGTAGAGTATAAACTGCTTTCTAGTTGTGATGTGTTGTCAAAGTCTGCTTAAAAACATAAAATCTGGAACGTAAATGCCTCTCTGTGCTACAGACTATTCCACCCAGATTCAGAATCTTCTTCCCCTTCCCCAGCCAGGTCTCCTCTGATTCTGTCAATGACCCACTCTCTTCCTGTTCCAAAGTTGCTAAATTCAGAATAATTGTTGACTCTCCCATTTCCTTTCCCTCCTCCAAATGCCACATCCTGTGGCTTTCCCCCCCCACTCAGCTCGTCTCCCCGGATTCCTACAGTTGGACACGCCCTCCCCTGCCATATCAGTTGCCTCATGACAGCTTCCGTCATGGAAGCTCTGTGAATTCCCTGCAGCCTGTCATTCTGGCTCATCCCCCCAGCCCAAGATTCTCTAGTCAACCTAACTCCATCTTTCTGCCCTTGAACCTTATCCTTTCCACTTCCCATGCCTAGTTGTTCTCTCCGCCCATCTGTCTGTCAGTCTAGGCCCAGTCACATCCGTATCCTCCTGGAAGCCTCTCTTTCCAGTTGAGCTCTCTCATATTGAGTTTCTGGCCCTCAGTTCCTTTCACAGATGCTGACTGTCTCCTACCATCATGCCTTCTTACCCTCTGATCCCTGCCCGCCACATGTTGCCTGAATGTTAGAATTTCTCAGGGTGTGTGTCAGTCACATAAGTCAGTTTGGAAAAGTGTTCCAATATATATGGCCATTTTCATCGCCTTCAGTGTTTAGCTGAAAAGATATCCTACTTATACGAAGATTGTCTTGCTTACTTGTTTGCTTGTTTGATTTTTCTCTCTTCACTAGGAGGTAAGTTTCCTGCCAGTGAGGCCACCATTCTATCCCGAGTGTCTAGCCTATTTACTCTTTACCCCTTACATATTTGTTATATAAATAAACAAGTGTTTTTTTTTTTTTTAAACATTTTACAGGGCAACATGAGCCCAAGTTTTCATTAAAAATATATCTTGCATCTGAGTGACCAGCAGATGAACAGAACCCTCTAAACCCAGCTAGGAATTAGCTTGACCGGCAGCAACAGCTAGCCCCAGACCTCGGAGAGTTCTTTTTAAAAACCCAATTGTACTAGATTTATAAATGACAAAGGAAGCTATAGTTAGAAATGGAGAAAATAAGTGTTTAGTGCAGTTATTTTCTATGATACTTTGATGTCGCTGTACTTTGTGTGTTTCGAGACTGGCCCGGGACTGCTGGGGATTCTTCTTTACCTCTTACCTGTCCCTTTGCTGTCTGACTACCAGGTGTGTTATGTTCACTCTCTTCCTATTTTCATGTTCACAAAGGCAGCGCTTCAAAGTGCTGTCTGCAAACTTACTGGATCATGATGAGATGAGAAACTTGTGCTTGCATGTAAATGAATGCTCCTCCTTGTCTCATCCAGAATGTTTTCCTCTGAAAAAGGCAGCTAAATGAACAGCATACCTGGTGAGGTCACCGAGCTCCTTTAGAGCATAAGCTCTATATTTTCTTGAAGATCAGTGTAGATGGTTTGTAGCCCTGCAGTAGGCAAGCTGGGGTTTGGGCCAATCCACACTGAGAAGCACTACTCAAAGTTGTTTTTATGCTCATGACTTAACTGCAAAATACGTGAGCTCTTTCCAGCAGTAATGGTTGCTGTGTGGCGTGTAGTGTTCAGGGAGAACTTGACGATGGCTTGCACATTCGCTGGGGAGTGACGTGCCTAGCATGAGAATCTCCTGTTGCCCTTCACCCTTTATATGGAATTACCTGTCTGACCTACAGAATAAAATCTTCATCTACCGGGGGAAGGAGTATGAGAGGCGAGAAGACTTCAGCCTGAGATTGCTGACGCAGTTCCCCAATGCAGAGAAGATGACCAGCACCACGCCCCCGGGAGACGAAATCAAGACCTCCCCAAAGCAGTGTATCCTTGCCAAGGGGAATTGTGACCCAAAGACTCCTTAGCCTGGTCAGCCGCTGCCTAACTTCTCTGGCAGTTGTGTTTGTTGGGGATGACTATTCAGCACACCTGGTGCAGTACCCCACTGTGGTCCTGAAGAAACAGACAGCACCCAAAGATAAGCTTCATGCTGCTGGTTTTGGAGTGTGGGTGCTTGAACAAACGAAATTATTTCAGACAGGTTCTAATCACCTATTGCTAATCATCCTGATATTTCATTCATGTCTGTTTTCCAGTGTCCAGGTTGTATGTCAGGTGTCTGACCAAAAATTACCTTTGGGTTAATTTTTAAATAAGGTGTCTTGGAGATGCAGAAGGGAAATCCATTTTCATTGTAGTTCTGGCATTGGGTAGGGAGGAATGATGGATGCAAGTTCCAGCTCCATGTACAAAGCAGGAGAAACAGGTGTCTGCCTGGGACAGCTTCAAGGCTCAGCCCTTTTCCCTCCTTAACCAGCAACTCAGATATGCAGTGTTTCACCGTGAAGCCAGTCATGAGCCTGCCACCTAGCTATAAAGACAAACCAGTTCCAGAGCAGATCTTAAAGTAAGTGGGCCTTTTTGATTTGGCTTTTTAAAAGTATTCTTCACTCCTGCTTTATTGAAAAGTATATCAAAACTAAAGTCTTAGATTCATTCCCATTTGGAAGATCTTCTCCTGTCTTAGTGCACTGAGTTTGCTCCACCAGAACTCACAGATTAATGGCTTACAAAGAGCAGACACTTACTTTCACAGCTCTGGAATCTGGGAAGTCCAAGATCAAGGCCACAGCTGATGCAGAGTCCGGGAGCTTCCTGGTTCGCAGACAGCCACCTTCTCATTGTGACCTAAAATGTGGAAGGGGCAAGGGAGCCCTCTGGTGTGTCTTTTTCATAAGAACACATATTACATTCGTAAGGGCTCCACTGTCAACCTCTCTTAAAGACCCCAGCCCCTAAAACCCTCCCTCTGGGCATTAGTGTTTCAATAGGTGAATTTCTGAGTGGACACGGACTTTCAGACCATAATAACTGCCCATTCCATTTTGAGCACTTGGTACTCAGAGGGGCTGCAGGGGTTTTGGCAGGAGGAGGGAAGTTGGGAATTTCTCGTTTAGGTTTTAGACCTCTGGCTCTTATTTTCACCCAGAAGCATGCACTGAATAGGGCTGACCTGGGCCTTCCCTGTTGACACAGCAGGTTAAAGTACAGCACCATGAAGTTCGTGGCAACTGCTTCAGCACAAGTTCAATCCCTGGCCAGGGAGGTGACCCACATGGTGCAGCAGAACATTCCTGTCTTAGCGGCTGCTCCCCTCATCAATGTATTTCAGTAGATCTGCCTGTTCTGCTCCCCACTCTGTCTCCAGTGAATCCTCTCACCGCTCCTGCACCTCTGGCCTGTACCCCAGTTCTGTATGCAAAAATGAATCAATTAAAAAATAAAAAGAATAGGGTTGACCTCTCCCTACCTGCTGGGCTCCTAGCAGTAGAAGGCCTAATACCTGTTTAAACTGTGAGCTGTGAAATACTAAGTTAAATTAACATGACATGAAGTCAGATTGCACACTGCCTCCAGCCTCTTTTGTGGCAAGTGTCAGTTTCAACATAGCTTTGTGAATGTGACTCAGACTGTGTGAGAGGTATTACAGGCTTTGTTGAAATCATACCAAGGCGGGCTTGTTCTGAAAGAGAAACTGTAACATGTGGCTTTGTCTTTCCCAGTTACTACAGAGCCAATGAAGTACAGCAGTTCAGCTATTCCCGGCCCTTCCGGAAAGGAGAAAAGGACCCAGACAACGAGTTTGCTGTGAGTCCTCCCCTTGTGTCCTGTAAAACAAGGTGACATTGACATCCAGACTGGAGGCCTTTTGCCTCACCGCAGAAAAGCGCAGAATGCTGGCAGCCCTGAGAGAGCGATTACCTGCTGGCGACCCGGACGGCAGACCAGACTTTCAGTGGAAAACTCTGGATTGGAAGTCGAAAGACTAGACAATATTCTTAGCCTGCTGCCACTGTGGCCTTGAGCCAGGCCCAACTCTCTGCTCTTCCTACTTTCAGCTAGAGGGTGAAAGGGCCCAGGGCCCAAGTGGATGACCCCTGCGGCTCTAAGCACCCAGAATCCTTACATCTTTTGAGAAAACAGGGTCTGTTCCCTAAGGAGTCATTTGCGAGCAGAAGCTCAACTGGATTAGGGGTTTTGCTGTTTTACCTGAAAACCGACCAACATTTTCTATCTTTCTTCTGTCAGACCATGTGGATCGAAAGGACCACGTATACAACTGCGTACACCTTTCCTGGGATCCTCAAGTGGTTTGAAGTCAAACAGATTTCAACAGTGAGTCCTTTGAAATTGAAACTGGAAAAAAAAAAAACCAAAAACCTGTGGCCAAATATAATAACAGCCCTTGTTAAATCCCCCTGCCAGTTCACACTAGCTGGCCAGCTAGCCTCCTTGAGCCAACTTCTTTTCCCAAAAGAGAATAAAGACACACTTGTGCGCTAGAACTCCTTTGTAAAACTGATGTGACAACACCAGCCCTGAAGGTCCCTCACAGTGAGTGACTCTTTCGTGACCCAGGGAGAGTCGTCTCCTGGGAAGCCTGCCAGCACCAAGACCATTTTGGAATGCCTCCTCTGAGGTTCTTGTCAATCACATTTTTCCCTCCCAGAACCTTTCCTCTTCTTTTTTTCTCAGTTAATCACATCACCAGTCATCCTGGACTCTTCCAACCTCTTGAGCCAAAAGCTGCCCAGTTTACCATTTTCATGCTTATTAAAGTCTGTTTTCTTCACGTCCAGCCTTCTACTTCTCTCCTCTTTCTAGCACCTCGTTCAACCCTGGTGAACACCAACAACCATGTCTCCCAATTGCCCTCCTGGCCTTTTCCTTCTCGGGTCCCCCTTCCTTACTCCCTCAGGGTGTGAACTCTGTGGCATAGACCCGACCACATGGTCACATGTGCTGTCCCCCTGCCTAGGGTCCCCACACTCCTACAGGGTCCTTGCAATCCAGCCCTTCTGTCTCATCTTCTGTGGAATTTCCTGGAACTGAAATGGTCTTTCCATGTTATTTCAACTGTCCTTGACACTGGGCGTTTTATCTGCCTAAAATGTCCTCTCACCACCACTTCTGTCCAGATTCATTTTAGGTACCAACTTCCCCAGGAAACCGTCCCTGAAATTCACAAGCTGGGTTCAATGCCTTTTCCTTATGGCCCTTGGAAACTTGGGCATAATTCTAAGGCATTACCTGCCGTGTCTTCATGTCTTGAGACCCCACTAAAACCATAAGCCTGCCCCAGCCATGGTTTACAGGTTCATTATGTTGACACCTTGTTGCATACCTGGTAAAACATCTGTTCAGGAATTTGTCATAAACAAGACTGAACTGTGGTTCTACATCACTTGTGATAAGTTATGATCCTTCAAGTCAAGTATAAATGATACTTTCAAGCCAGCACTTACAGATGAAGCTTGGAATGTCGTGCTGGCTGATCACGGGTAAAATGAAGAGGTCATGGGTTTTCTTGAAACCTGTTTTGCAAACATTTCCACAGGAAGTCACCTCTCGCTAACTCCATATTGCATCTCATCTCATTTTCATCCAAAATTCAGGCTGTTACAATCCATCCTATATTTCTTCTGTTAAGCACAGAAGTGACCTGTGTGTCATCTGAATTTATGGCTTTTAGGGTCACTTTCTGCTTCTCAGGGAAGAAGCATCAGCTTCTTAGCAGTGAATGCAAAAATATTTCCAACTAGATACTTGTTCTTCTATTGAGTTTCTCAAAATTAACTGAGGAAGCTTTGTACAAGAAACCATCATTCTTGCTCCGTTTTGTTCTTCTCAGAATTTTTAGAGACTTTGCCCCAGTATTAACTAGTACTATAACTCTAGTTTTTAAGCCATGGTTGTACTTTTTCTGGAGGCTTTAAAAGCTTATTTTGCCCTTTGCCAACATCAGCCACTTAAGTATGGTATCCTTGGAAGGAATCCTGACAAGCACAATCACCCTGTAGGTTGGTGGGTGTTCAGCTTTGGAGGGAAATGCACAGGTGCTCTTCTGTCTTTGCTGCGGGGCCCCTAAGTACCCTTCTCATGTGCTCTTCACAGGAGGAAATCAGTCCTCTGGAGAACGCCATAGAGACCATGGAGCTCACCAACGAGAGGATTAGCAACTGCGTGCAGCAGCACACCTGGGACCGCTCTCTCCCCGTGCACCCCCTTTCCATGCTGCTCAGCGGCATCATCGACCCTGCTGTTATGGGGGGATACTCCAACTATGAAAAGGTAAGTGTGGGCTGGCATCCCCCCACAAGTCTGAGCCCCGTGAGTCTCAGCATCTCCCATGGGGGCCCAGTGCAGCGGGTGAATTTGTCTCTCACACCTGCTCTGAGATATTTTCATTCTCCCCTTTATGAATGGGGAGGTGGGATGAATGAAAAGCTCACAGCTCCTAGAGACCCTCAGCCACCCAGACACTGTCTGGTAAAGAGTCACCCCAGGATAACTGAAATCAGTCAACCTGGTAAACCTTGTGACACCCTACTACTCCCTCTCCCACCCCACTCTCCCCTCTGGGAGATGGAAGCTGACAAGTGGGTTCTCTGGAATCAGGCAACGAGTGTGGGAAAGTCAGAGCCACGCCCTGTCAGCTCACTTCTAACAGCCCCCACTCGACATGGTGTGCCACGGCTGTCTGGCCAGATTCAGTCCCTGTTTCTATGGTTACATGAGTTCAACCAAGTCTTGCTGTCCATGTTCCTGGAAAAACTAAAGAGCTCAGTGCATGAGAATCCATCGCATAGGGTTTGATGTTCCGCCATCTTGAAAGGGGGTCATGCGTTCGGTAAGTGGAATTCAGTTGAGTTAATCAACAGAAGCAGGATTTTTCATTATTTGGTATCTCTTTGTGACCAAATAATTTTGGAGTCCTCTTGCATATAAATAAATTTGACACTCCTGTGACCAGCCAGGGGAATGGGAAGGAGATGAATGGGAAGGCAAGTGGACATTGGTGGGCTCATGCTTGCTTCCATCATGCACCATGTCCTCACAAGGCCAGGGCTTGCCCCTGAAGCCTGCCTCCCATCCCCACATCTGCTCTTGGGCCAGAGCTCAAACCCTCTGAGCCCCTGCCTTTCTATCTGACAAAAAGGAACGTGCTCTAATTCTCATTCATCTGTCTCTTACTTTCAGGCTTTTTTTACAGAAAAGTACTTGCAAGAGCATCCCGAAGACCAGGAGAAGATCGAGCTGCTGAAACAACTGATCGCATTACAGGTGCCTTGGGCAGGTGTGGGCAGCCGGTTCTCCTCGGCGGGGGCCCGCACAGGACACCAACAGGCCCACTTTTGGCCCTGCTTTTTTTTAATCCCATAAGGAAACACAACCTATATTTGTTTGGGCCGGGACCTAGGACGGCACCTCTTTAGACTGACATGTTGAGGGGGGCCATTCAGGTCCCCCAGCTGGTGTTTCCCAGCCTGTGTTTCCCACTGAGAAATGTTGGCTCCTTGGCCTCGGTTTACCTCTCTCGCTTCTGTGAACTGTGGGAGCAAGTGAAGCCAGTAGTTCAGTCTGAGGCCAAAACCATCGATTACTCCTCCACAGAAGTGGCCCCTGCTCCAGGTGATTGGTCTTGTCTGGTGTGGCCTTTGCGTTATGGGCTTCTTTGAGTCCTGAATGTGTGGATTCTCTGCATCATCAACCTGAACCTCCTGCTCCCAGCCCAACACTAAGGAGCAGTATCTCAGAGCCTGGGTCTGCCACTTACCTGCCCCTTCGTCCCCAACACCTAACCCGGAATTACCCCTCTTCATGTTGCATTCATCTCTTGGCCCTTTGGACAGATGCCTTTGCTATCAGAGGGAATCCGCATCCATGGAGAGAAGCTGACGGAGCAGCTCAAGCCACTGCATGACCGGTTGTCTTCCTGCTTCCGGGAACTCAAGGAGAAAGTCGAAAAGCTCTATGGGGTTATAACTCTGGTAGGCCTTCTCTACTGTCCATTACCTTTGATACTAGTGGTTCATTTGGCAGATGCCAAATCAGTCATGGTCGCATGGGCTTGACCTGCCAATATGGAGCAGGCCAGGGAAAGCTAGTCGACCCTCCACCCTTGACTGCCATTTTGTAAGTTCTCAAACGTGACCCATCTTCAGAACCACCTGGGAAGTTGTGACAAGACAGATAGCAAGGCTGCATCCCCAGAACACTTGATTCACTGGGATGGGGCTCAAGAATTTGCATTTCTAATGTGCTCTCATGGATGCCAGGGTCTGGGGACCACACAGTGAGAACCAACTACCTGCCAGAAGGGGGAGTGTTCTAATCCCAGACACTGGTATTTCTGTCCTGTCCAGCCCAATTCTTTCTTTTCCCTCGGTGGGATGGAAAATTACTTTTTTTTTTTTGAAGATTTATTTATTAATACATACAGAACTGGGGTATAGGCCAGAGGTGCAGGGGTGGTGAGTGGAGTCACCAGGGACAGAGTGGGGAGCAGAACAGGCAGATCGAAGAAGTACACTGCTGAGGGGACCAGCGGGCAGGTCAGGAGAGGTCTGCCACGCCATGTAGATCACCTCCAGGGTGGAGATCGAACTCATGCTAAAGTGGCTTTAGCTTCTTAATGCTGTGCTTTAACCCGCTGCATCACCAGGCAGAGCCTGGAAAATGACTTTTGAAAAATTTCCTATAAGAAGCCCAATTGTAAAATGTTTCCAAATCTTTTTTTTTTAATTTGATGAAAGCTTTACTGTTTTCACACCTTTGAAGTTGAGAAAGAATTGTTAGATCCACTTTGCATTGCATATTGCTGACTTCATGATTTTTTTTGACAGTTCTAACACATTTCTCACAGTGGCAATTTTTTTTCTTCCTGAGAAGTTGGTGGAGTGTATGTGCTAACCTCCTCTCCAAAAGTTGGTTATAGACTTGGTTCCAACTTCACTGATCTGCTCCTTCACCTTGCTCTCTTTAACTGTCTTATGTTTCTGTCCCTGATACTCACATTCTTCCCTCAGTCCCAAGCTCGGAGCCACGTTTCTGTATTCTTCTTCCTACCCCATACTTCCATTGCTGCTCCCTTTTTTTCAGAGTACGTTTTTATTATTTCTTTCACTTGCCTGAGAGTTCCATCATGTTTTCCTAAGAATTTGTCTCCTACCTCACTGCTAATGAAGGTTTTTCTTCTAGGAACATTTGACTACATCACAAAGACTAGCTTTGACCCAGTGAGGTTTAGCTGTTAGCAAAATTTGGCTGATCTTAGCATGTAAAACTGATAGGGTGGCATGTGAGGAAGGTAATCAGTTTCTCCAGTGACATCTTTAACAGAGTAGATCATGCTCAATAATAAGCATAAAAAGCATAAGATCAATGCTTGCAGTACTTATGGAAGTAGATCAATCTTATTCCCTAAAATTTAACAGACCGAGTTTCACATCTACTTCATTCTAAAATTATTCTCTTAGACCAATATTCCATTTTTATGACTTTTAGCAACTGAAAGGAGGTAAATTGGAGAAGCAAAGTCTTTTTGTTATTTTTAAAAAATATGTATGTATGCATATAAGAACTAGGGTACAGGCCAGAGGTATGGGAGGGTGGTGGTGAGAGGATTCACCAGAGACAGAGTGGGGAACAGAACAGGCAGATCTAACTGAAATACACTGCTGCGGGGAGCAGCAGGCAGGACAGGAGAGGTCTGCCACGCCATGTGGGTCAGCTCCCTGGTCAGGGATCGAACTTGTGCTGAAGGGGCTGTGGGCACTTCACAGTGCTGCTGCACCTCAACCCCAGGCACCGCCAGGAAGGGCCCCTTTTTGTTTTGTTTTGTTTTGTTTTTTGTAGATAATGCACCTCTTTGTCCTTCTCATATGCATTTTCCTTAATCTTAGAAACAAAGTAGGTTTAACTGAAGTTGCATTTATAAATTTATAACCAAGAAAATAGGCTCTAGGGTATTTAACCACTGAGGCAGCACAGGAACCAACCTGTGAGGATAAGGCGCCTTCTCTGCAGCAAAGGGGAGGAGCACGGCACCAGTTGGGATGGGCTGAGCCCCAGCCCAGCTGAGCAGCGGGGTCATGTCTTCTTCAGCCCCCCAACTTGACTGAGAGGAAGCAGAGCCGCGCGGGATCCATGGTCCTGCCCTACATCATGTCGTCTACTCTGCGGAGATTGTCCATCACCTCGGTGACTTCCTCTGTGGTTTCCACCTCCTCAAACTCATCGGATAATGCTCCTTCTAGGCCAGGATCTGATGGGTAAGAGTTTGACCTTCCAGCTCCCGGAGGGATAGAAAGACGCCTAACTGAGGTGCCTGCAGTAACTGTCAGTGTGATGCATCACTGCCCTCAGGGAAAGAACTCAGGGTAGCTGGGTTATTAGCGTTTCATTCATGCTCCTGAATCTCTTCATGAGAACTGTTTTTACTTGTGGAATGACGACAACCATTAGGAAGAAAGAAAAAAAAAACGTAATCCACAGCCTGTCACACACACTATCCCACACCGTTTTAATATTCTGTGTTAATTTATAATTATTGCTTGATATTTTTCACCTTCTCAATTTTCAAGAATCTTGCAATTTTGAATAGGTAATGTAATCACATGACATAAAACTCAAAGGGCTAAAGGGATGCAATATGGAAAATCTCCTTTCAGTCCCCGACTCCCAAATACCAGTTCTCCTCTCCAGAGGCAAGTAGTGTGAGCCGTCAGGGGGCCAGTACGCTCCAGGCAGTGATGTCTCCACACACACACCATGCCTCTCCCAGGTGTGCTCGCAGTGGTTATCTACAAAGAGTGCCATGTACTACTCACTCAACCTTGCTTTTCTTATTTAACATACCTTAAAGATCAAGAATTTCTTTTTTTTTTTAAGATATATTTACTTTTGCATACAGAACTGGGGTACAGGCCAGAAGTGTGGGGGGCGGTGAGAGGATTCAGAGACAGAGTGGGGAGCAGAACAAGCAGATCTAGTGAAATACACTGCTGAGGGGAGCAGCAGACAGGCGAGCCAGGAGAGGTCTGCCGCGCCATGTGGGTCAGCTCCAGGGCAGGGATCGAACTCATGCTGAAGTGGCTTTAGCTTCTTAGTTCTGTGCTTTAACCCGCTGCACCACCTCGGAGTGCCCAATTTTTTAATACATTGCATTGTCGAAAAAGTCATGATGCATTTTCATGTGAAAAATGAAAAAAAAATACATCATGACTTTTCCCGACAACCCAATATTTTGTTAGATTTTGTTATAAATTTGGTTACAAATTTCATACTCTGTCTGAATATGAGTTGAAGTATTTTCCCCAATTTCTCCTTTGCTTTTTGACTGTGCTTCTATTTTTTTATTTAGTTGCACTGACTTTTTATGCCATCAAGTAAATAAAAATTTTCTTCTGAATTTAATATCATAATTACAGCCTTCGCCAATCTAAATAAAATACCAAAAAAAATTATCTTTCCTTCACATTGACACAGATATCTTTACATAACTGCACCTATAACAGATAGAGTTTAGTGATTTGCTTAAGTCCTATGTTGCTGAATAATCATTAATGTCAGTTTTGATAGAGACAAATAAACTGAGGATGAAAAGCGTCTTTGCCTGGGGTCACCCAACAAGCAAGTGTATATAGGATTTGAACACAGGCTGTCTGGCTCCCAAGTGTGTGCTTACTATATAAAGCGCCTATTTATTTTTACTGTGTGAATTCTCGGCCTGTAAGTTTAATAAGACCTTCTCTTACTGGGACAGAATAAACATTCACTAATATTTTCCCTCGGTACTTTGATGGTCTCATTTCTGTACATACATACCTTGAAATGCTGAAATGATGGTTGAAAAGTCAGGCTTAGGCCCTGAGAGGGATGGGCCGAGTCAAGATTAGAATGAGTAGGCTTTTCAGGATTACATGCAGACTACAGCTGACCTGTGTCTGTGGCTGTGTCCTTGGTCTTGGCTGGTAGGTCAGTTCTGGAGCCACTTCTGGAGCGCAGGGCCTCGTCAGGCGCCAGAGTTGAAGATCTGCCCCTCAAAGAGGACGGTGAAAACCGAATCAGCAAGTTGAAGAGAAAAGACTGGGGCCTGAGCAAGTCCCAGGTCATCGCAGAGAAAGCTCCGGAACCTGATCTGATGGTAAAAAAAAAATTAAAGCACTAGAGGTGTGCCACCTCCTCCTTGGTCACCAGGCCCCTTGCCAGTCACCTCATAGCCACATGTCACAGACAGAAGCCTGGCTGTGGTCTCAGGACACAGCAGCCTATGGTGGCATCAGATCTCAGAGTTGGCTAAGAAAAACTTGCACAGAGAGTCAAATCTCTAAGTCAATATTGTTACAAGATCTTGTCTTTACAACATAAACATGAGGGCGGACACTTGGAGTCATGATTCTCACCACCATGTACCATGAGTCAGTTCAAACATTGCCATTTCTCTCCTTTAAACTTGAAAACAAAACAGAACTTCTTCCATAAGCCACATCAAGTTGTTAAATGTGGCAAGACCAATCTTCCCTGAGACTCAGAGTGGCTGATTTCCAGTCTAAAAGACACAGCCCAACCGTGGTCAAAATCAAGTGTGTGGCGAGCCAGAGATATTCCCTTTAGTATCTCCACCACAGCACACAACAACATGGTAGGTTTAAAAACGGCTCCTGGAAAAGGCACAAAATGATGTAAAAGTAAACTATATTATTTTTAAAAAATGGCTCCTGGGAGTATAATGGACCAGGCGAGAAAATAACAAAAATAATGAAGAACCATATACCAGAGACATTTTGTGGGGGTGGAGTGGGGAATGGAATCAAAAACGGGGTGAGGGGAGGGAAATGCACGGGATTATGGTGATGGCACATGGGTGACTTGGTGATAGGAAACCCGCGGGGATTACAATTGAGATGGAAAAAAAATGTACAAAATGATGTAAAAATAGACTTTTGTAAAAGAAAAAAAAAAAGGCTCCTGGGGTGGTGCCTTTTAACAAGTTCCCATCTAGCAAACTATGTTGTCTAGAGAATTGATGAGCTCAGCCTTCGTCACTGTAAGAATGTTGTGTTATGTTGTGTTGTGTTTCCCCTGTGTAGAGCCCATCCAGAAAAACACAGAGGCCAAAGAGTCTCCAGTTGGTGGACAGTCGGCTGACACCATTTCATGCTTCTTCACCTCCTCAGTCAATGCCCCTGAGTCCGCCTCCACTCACTCCTAAAGCTGCCAGGACTCTAAGTAAGTTTTCCTATATCCCTCACTCTCCATTCCATCAGGAATAAATAGAATAGGTTAGTGACGCTTTATAACCTTATCTGCCACAACATATATGAGATTGTGTAAAGTTATTCCATTAGAGTGGTCCATTAGAATTTGGCAGAAGCCTTGGGGTTGCTAGAATGCGTTCATGTGTTCAAATCATGATCTGAGGGGCTCACGGACCCTTTTTGAGCGGTGACGTTATTATATATGAGGTGGATCTGGAAGCGGACCAGACAGAAAGCAAGTAACTTATGAACTATTAGGTAAATTGCCCTGTATTTTATACAGCGAAAGGTTCAAAATAAGGACAGGAAACAGACCTGTGCCATACACTACTGAGAGTTTGTTTTGGAGAGCCAGAGACTTTTGTACTTTGAAACAAAAGCATCAAGGAGGGGTAAGTTGTGCGTGCCACATGGGAGGCAGTGGTCAGCCTCGAATTAAAGATGATCAGGTAGTTTCCTGGAAGAATTGGGTATTGTGCCCTTTAAATGACCAAATTTAACTTGGTTAAAATTAACCAATACTCATGTGACAGGATGTTTTTCCTTCAGAGCTTCTTGTAAAGCCATTTGATGAATGGACATTTGTCACAAGGGATAAGAGCTTTTTCACTGTCCTCAGAAACCATAGACATGACCTTTGTCATTTAGCCAGGTCTGTGTAGGTCTAACAGTGATAAGTGGGTTCTGTGAGATTTCTTATAAATTCTCTGCCTTCATCACTTTGTATCATTTCTAGGTTCTCCATCATTGCAGACAGATGAGCTGATGACTGCTACCATCCCACCTCCTCCGCCCCCCAAGAGCAGCCAGAGGAATTCCACAGAGGTAGGGGACAGCAGCTGAAGGCTGGCCCAGAGGCCACTCTCATGGGGACACAGCATTGTGTTTGCCAAGCTTTTGTGTAGGCAGGTTCTTCCTGAAATTTGTCACTCTGATTCGTGGCTCATTTCTGAAATGACAGAAGATAGGGTAATTGAAACGAGAAAGGGGAGGGACAAGTAGACCTCACGCAGTTGAAGGTAGAGGTTCTCTACCTCACCTGTGCAAAGTAAGAAGTGAGTGCTGGTTCACAGTGGAAGACTTTGCTTCTTCTGAGTGACTGAGTTATTCTGGAATGATCCCTGGTTTTCCATCAGTCATTCAACAAATACTTGTTGAGTGCCTGCTTCCAAGTGCCCGGCACGCACATGCCAGCCTACAGCTAAATCTGTGATTAACTCAAGGAGAACAGGGAGGACACATCAGTCTTATCTCCCTTTTCGCTTTGCACAGGTTGTGCAGATAAATTTAGATCAATTAGAAGCTAAAGCAGAAAGTGGGGAAGGTGGGAGGAAAGACGGACCTGGGGGAAAGATAAGGCATATGACTGCTTTCCTGTGTCTTTCCCTTCAGATCGCTCCCCCACTACCTGTCCGAAGAGAAGCCAAAGTCCCACCCCCACCCCCTCCAAAAGCCCGGAAGTCTGGTGTCCTTTCTGTGGAGCCTGGATCCCAGTGAGGACCACTCTTCCCTCAGGACCTGATGCGCCTTGGAGAGCTAACACCTGGGATTGGCCTCCAGGGGGCAGTGTCCGCACCTCACCCTGCACCCTGCGCACTTGTTTTCCTGCCTGGGATGAGGTTCACCAGCTCCAAACTAGTTTTGTTCTTTTGAAATCTTTCTCTTTGAAGGGTGCCTGAGGCCAGGAAATATCTCCAGTCCATGTGGAATTTCAGAACGGGCCATAACCTGTACATTTCTCAAAGGAGAGGCCTTCCTTGTCATCATGAAGTCACAGCCCCCGGTGCGGAGGCCCGAGGACCTGCTGGTGCTCGAGAAGCGCTGTGAAGGCCGTGCAGCCACCCGCTGTGGGTTGGAGGCCTTTCTTGTTTGCTTCTGAAAAGCTGTTCCGCAGACATACCACACTCCATCATAGATAAATACTGAAAGAGACAGACCACACATATACTCTGGGCCTCAAAATAATAGATCCTTCTAATGTAGCTCCTTTGAGGAAAACAACACCTTTTACTGGACAATGAGTGCTTTCAACTATAAAGAGCTACACTGCTGAAAGAGCATGGACTCAGCCCTGAGCCCTGAGCTCCTGCGTCCCCTGACCGCCCCTCCCTGAGTCTGCCCTTCTCACACTCCTGGCTCATGGCCTTCCCTGTATCCCAGCAGCTACTCCCTGCAGGACTCCTGAAGCTCTTTCTTCAAACACACTTTTCTATTCCTGTTGCCTCCTTTGGGCACAAATCACTGGATTTAAGGAACTCAGAAGCCTGGGATAAACAGCTTCTCTTCCAGATCCCGATTGCATGGCTCAGAGTCCCCCATCTGCAGCCTGGTTTACCTGGATAATACAGTGCAATATCCCCCCTTGGTTATTTATTCATCTTGATTGTGGAGTTAATTTGATGACGTGTATGGTACTAATGCCAGTACTTCTTTCAAAAGAAAAAAGGGATGATGTATGAGCAAATACTATCTGCGCAGACACGCAAGTTACAAGGCATTTTGATCTGGGAAGGCTTCCAGGTTCATTTAAGCAACTCCCTCTTTGGAGATAGTAGTAATTGAGTCTAAACACAGGAAATCACAGGATTAAGACCTCATTAGGATTCTCACTAATAACTCAGCTTGCTAATTTAGACTTTATCCTGGTACCACTTAGATCCAGTATGCAAATTTGACACTTTACTACCTGTCTCTAGTTGGGACAACAGTGGAATGTTCCAGATCTGCCTGTACTCTTGGGTATTTATAGCAAATAGAAAATTTGATTGTGGATCCCCTACATCAGCAGGTGGCAGAGTTACCTACTGGGTCAGGGCCTTGCCCAGACCCATCCTTCCAGCGAGAGCGAGGACAGCAATTTCAGCTCTAAGAATCTAGATCTGCTTGCTGGCCTTTGTGTGCCAACACCCTCTTCTGGAATGAGACTCTAACTCATTACAGGGTCAAGGAAGCAAAACTCTGAGATGTGTCCAGAAAGACTCCCTAAATTAGTGTGTGTATTATAGAAGTGTTGAGGGGAAGTAGGTCCTTCACCCCTACAGTCTTCCTCCACACCCTCTCTAGAGCCTACAATATGGTGTAATGGAAAGAAACTGGGCTTTGGAATTAAACCCATTTGGTCGCACTTCATCTCTGCCATGTCATCTATTAACTTTGGAAACACCTACAAAGTATTTGAAATGCGCTGAGCTTTCCTTTCCTTGCCTTTGAAAAATGGTGATACTATCTGCTGCACAGGTGTTGTGAGGTTCAAGTGAGATGGAAATGTGAAGTAGCAGATTCACAGAATGGTCCTTAATTTTCCCTGCTGGGCCTGAGTATGCTCGATCCCTCCCAGTGTATTATTGGCATTCCTTACCTTTTTTTGTTTGTTGTTGTTAAAGGGTAACTTAAAATGCAGTTTCGTTGTGCACATACAATCCCTCTCCAAAAGGTGGGGTCTGTTGGAGTCTTTGCCATTGTTTTGCTATTCATGACTAGAAAGCAATGAGTTCGTAAGAACTGAAAAGGATTTCAGCTCAACGAAGAAGGAAGGAAGCAACACAGGAGTTGTTCCGGGCTTATGTGGAGGCTGGGTAACTTCTCAGAAGTTGCCTGACCGGAAGGGATTCCTATTCCCCACCCTACTTGTTCAGGCTTCCATTAAAATACAAAGATATAAACTGAGTCACACACACAAATCAAGCCAGTCCTTTGAGGGCCGGAGGGGTGAGACCTGAAGTGGGATCTTGGATCAGAGGCTGGGAACGTCTGATCCACCAACACCCAGAGACCTTCCCTTTTTAAATACTGTTTATTTTCCATCTGATTCACTTTCCACATTAATGAAAATATTAGCTCTCTCTTTCCTGAACACAAGGTATTTATTTACAGGTAATGTAAATAATAAATTACAGGAGGCATTGGAAGGTTTATCTCCTGAGGAAGCTGCTGGGTAAAAAGAAATCAGATTTGAGAAAAATTCATGAATAGTATCTGGCCTGAAATCAAAAAGGAAGACTACAGAGAAATGTTGTGTTATGATTACCTTAAATACTGGAGAGATATGGACAGGGAACAAAAAGAAAGAACTGGCCTTTCTGTTCTTGAAAAGAACGCTGAAGTATGGAAAGACATTGCAGGGAGCCCCCAGACTCAGTCTGGTGGCCACTGTGACCCAGTACCAGTCACCACACTGGGCCCTGAGGATGCAGAGTGCTCTGTGTTCAGTGCGCTGCCTGGGAAGTGTGACTGGGAAGTGAGTGGTGTGAGGGGAAGTCACCTCAGCCGGGCAAGGATGCCCCCCTCCATTTTCTTGTAAGGAGAGGCTGTTCCCACTTCAAAAACAGAAGTCAGGCTTGGAGATAACAATCTACTATTGTGAATTTTCCAGGCTATCAGGCCCTGCTCCTCTAATTGCCTCGAATCATGAGATGATTTCTTACTTAAAAATTGAGATGTGACAAGTCTTAGATGTACAGATGGATGCATTTTTACATAGATACACAACCTCTGTCACCGTCTGTCAGGACAGAGAGAGACTGCTTCTGTGTTGCCGAAACTTCTCTCCTGTCTTTCAAATTTGTTTCTTCCTTCTTCCTACTTCTCAGGTATAATGAAAGGGGAGAAAACCCCGCTGTTAACACAGGCTGTAAAGACTGTATGTGGACCTCAATTTCTTCATGTTATATATATATATATATGTACACTCGTGCGAGTCTATCTTGAGGCTCCATGATTTTTAGAAGCCTTTCAGTCACAGCTTTCTTTTATGCTAAGTGAATAAAAAAGAAAGCCAGAAGGAAACTTAAATTTCTGTACAAAGACTTTCAAATCCGCGCATCATGACCAAGTGGGATTTTAAAATTATGTGGAAAAGGTAAGTTTCTCTTGGGATGGGTTAATAGAAGAAACATCAATTTTAATGATCTACGAAAGGAGAAAAGATGGTTTTCTTTTCAGATGGATGACAGCAGGCTGTTTCCAAATCTAGCCAAAGCTGGTCTTCAGCCTATGCTACCCAAACTCATCTACCTATAGTCACTTTTTGTGAGTTGTTCGACACGTTGTCAAAACTTCTGTTGTCATGATTTTGTAAAACTAGTGCGTCTCAAACATGGACAGTTAGGAAAATATATGTTGGATTAGAAAAATTTTGTTCATATTTGCTATTATTTATTTTTTAAATTAAAAATGGAAATGTATTTTAAAGTATCACGTGTTTAGTTTATTCCCCTGTGTTAATGAAACAGTCATTTCTGGACTTTTCCTTTTTGACACCTTCATGTCACATCACACACCCCCGAGTCCCGTGGCCTCATTAGAGTCCTGTTAATTTAAACTTGTGCTGTGAGGTCCTCTTTGCCTAAAACCAATGAAAATGCAGACTGAGAGGTTCTGCCCCACCCCGAACTCTGTACCCCACCATCTGGCTCTTTGGTGACCAAGCTGACAATTTTCTAGCAGTTCATTCAACTCTCACAGCTTCAGTATCTTCACCCATTTGTTATTATAGTTAGGTAGCGGTAACAGGAAATAAAGAGTTTGAAAGGAGAATAGTAACTGACAAGGAAAGGATAGGAACTGAGGCTCAAACGAAGATGAACATTAGTATCACCTGGAAGAAACTGCAACCCCAGGCCCATTATGTCAGAATTTCCAAGTGAGCAGAATGACCCAGACACTCGTTCTGTTGTTTTTTTAGTCCTCCTCCCTTGTTATTTCAATATTAGGCGAAGATTGAGAACCACTGCAGTGTTTGATAATTGAAGTTCAATGTGAATTTTTTAAAATCCCTGCTAGTGGCGGGCTCAGCTGGAGAGAGCAGCTGCACTTCAGTTAGAATAACTGCCTTGTTTTAAGTCCTGGGTTTATACCTAAGTTTTTTGTTTTATTTTTTTGTTGTTGTTGTTGTTGTTTTGAGAAAATGTTCCAGCCCTTGCAAAATTTGCAATCTATTGCTTCTTAGAGCAAAAAATGCTTCACTGTCTCCATGCATAAGATGCCTGTTAAAAATGCAGGTGGTGTGTGCCCCAGACTGAATCAATTTGCCTGGGGAATCTCTGAATTTAGAGCCCCCACTGACAAACACTAGAGCATCTTCTATTGTAAAAATGTGTAAGTGCTGTTACCTCATGCAATGATTCTTGGCTTTTTCTTTTTTTACAGTCATCTCTAGGATACTACAGTGCTAAGTCCTTGGCTAAAATTGTCTTTATTCAAGAGTCCTATTTGCTTACATGATCATTTAAGGCCATATCTACTTGAGAACTCACCTCCTTAATCGTATCATTTGGTGTGTCTTATTTTGAAGACTGCGGATTCTTGAAGGTAGATTGAAATGAGTTAGCCATATTCAGATTCGGGGGAATGTTTATATTAAAATTCTTATGTTCACTTTCCTTCTGTTTAATAATTTGGCCATCTGAGACTCAAATACCCAAGACTTTTGTGGAAATTGCAGCTTACCACATGCCATCCTCAGCCTCAAACATCCTCATCACCATCCCCACAGCCATCAGGGTGTGTGGCCTCAGCTGCAAGCTTGCCTGTGTGTCGAGGCAGATGAGAAAGCAGGTCATGAAGCCCATATGTGAGGAGTAGGAACAAGTCTTTATTACGCAACAGGAGACGCAGAGTAATCTGTGTAGCTGGCCTGGTGGGAGCAGCTGGGCCCTGTAGCTCCAGTAGCGGGAGGCCCGTCCCTGCCCCAGTGGTGACAGGCACCTCAGAATCCTGGGCTCTCTCGGCCCCCTTGTCCTCGACAGTAAAGGTAGACAGAGCAACAGTGGCAGTCCTGCCTCAGTAGTTCCTCTGACTCTGGCCACAACAATGGCCCATCAGCTGACCAGTGGGTGACAGTCAGTGAGGGTCCCCCCACCCAGCAGCCCTATTTCCTTTTTAAAAATTTATTTATGCATACAAGAACTGGGGTAGAGGCTAGAGATGCGGGAGATGAGAAGATTTACCAGAGACAGAGTGGGGAGCAGAACAGGCCGACTGACTGAAGTATCACACTGCTGAGGGGAGCAGCAGGCAGGTCAGGAGAGGTCTGCTGTGCCCGATGGGTCAGCTCCCTGGCTGTGGGGTCAGATTTGTGCTACAGTGGCTTCGGGAAGCTTCATCATTCTGTGCTTTAACCTGTTGTGCCACCAGGGAGGGCTCCCTATTAGCTTTTATATGATTAATAGACAAAGCCAGGACAGAGACAAGTTTCAGCCTACCCTCCATAACTATGTTTTTATGCCTATGAACGACACACCAGGGTGATATTATTTACTGCTTCATGCACATGCAGAATACATCTCGCGGCCACACATTATCTACTAGGCCACCTGGTTATAGGAAGACTGCCTGAGAAACTTGGAGAAAACTGTATTTTTTCACTAGCCCAGTAGTGTCTTTTACACTGGGGTTCTCTCAGCTTCTAGTTGACTTTCAAAGGAATTGGTGACATTCATTCTAAGTGGGAGGAAGACTTGGGTATGGCCTAGCTTTCCAAGCATATGGACGAAGACAAAGTTACCAGCCCAAGGAAAACCAGAGCTGCGTGAGCATTTGTGACCTGTTCCCCTGTGGACTGTTCTTGTACGCACAGGGCTGTGCAGGCGCCATGGCACTCCCATACTGAATAATAACGTGTTTTCCACTCGCCTGCCCTCTGTCGCTCACTTGGGACGACTCCCTGGGGGACCACAGTGCCCCTCCCCCACCAGATTGGGAGAAAGACTTCACATTTATGCCAATTTATTCACAGCACAGAACTTTATTATGAAATATGCACTATTTGGCATAGGAATTTCTAAAACGCACACAGTTAACTTACAGCTATTAAAGGGGTCACACATCTCTGTGCCAGTGTTATGTTTGTGTTGTCAAATGGGTTGTGTTTGGACTCAATGGGTTTAAATTTTCTTCTGCCCCTTTTCTTCTTCAATCAGTCTTTCCTGGAAAATAGGTAACAAATATAGCAAAATTGATTTTACTAGCTGAATTTCATTGTGTTTTGGCATTTTAATTTCTGAAATATCAATATAAAAAGAATAAGCTTTTTGTACTAGAAAGTGATAGAAAGATATAGAATATAGCATCTCTTTTAATACACATACAAGCAACATTAATGGCTTGAGGATAAGATGTGAAGAAAGAAGGGAATGAAAAATCTGACCTGTTGGTTTGCACTTAACCTAAGCTTTGCTTCCATTCCTTTGTTCTACAGTCCTGTTTGGGAAACTTCATTTCTTGTTCTTATCTTTATTGTGTAATAAACAGGATTAGAAAAAGAAAAGAAATAGAGATACCTGCTTTTCTGATTGTTCTGTAAGTAGAAATGGAGAAAATGAATGTTAAGGGGAAGGATATCCTAAAGGAACTCTGCAGAGTTTTGTGGACTCCACCCCCTACTCCAGCTTTCTGGACTCTGCCCCCTACTCCAGTGATTGGAAACTACAACTCCCAGCAGTACCAGGGAGAGAACTGCGAGGACCCAAGGGCGGAGCTAAGCAGGCATTCTGGGGCTTTGGGGGATAAATAGGGCACCATTTCTCGTCTCTCGCCCACTCACTGGGGAACGGCTCTCCAGATGGTGTGAGTGGGGCTAGTTTAGTTAGTTTGTTACCAGAGCTCCAAGCCAGCCCAGCAGGTAAGATATTCCAGGTACTTTGTATCCCTCTCTCTTTCTCTGGGTTGTTTCCTTTTCTTTTCTCCTTTTGTAAATAAACCCATTATTGACCCTTTTCTGTAATCTGCAGAGCAACTGAATTTTAAGTGTGTGGGTGATGCCCCACAGACTGGCAGCCCAGTTCACTCTGGGGTACACTAACAGAAACAATAGCTTATCTTGACATATGATTTCCTGAGATGGTCTCTACTTTCAGGATGATCTGTAATTAAGGGCAATGCCTTCTAAGGAGCTTGAGTGGACCACATTTTCTGAGAGCATCAATATCTTGAATTTCCCAATGAATTCAAGATTCAGCTTCATGTTCAAATCTCTATACTTTTTTTTTTTTTTTAAATATCTAAAACCATGTTAGTAGATTTCTATTCTGGATGGGAATCTGGAGATCATCAAAGTGTTGTCAGCAAGTTGGGAACCAGTCCAGCCATTGTGGAAAGCTATGAGGAGATAACCTCACATCACTAAAAATGGATCTACTATATGGTCCAGTGAATCCACTCTTAGATATCTACTCAAATAAACACAAACACTAATTTGAAAGGAAACCTGCACTCCTATGTTTATTGCAACTAATTACAATAGCCAAGATATGGAGACAATCCAAATGTTCCCAAATAGATGAATGGATCAAAAAGTGATGGTATAGTTTTACAATGAAATATTACTCAGCAATTAAAAAAGGCAAACTCATGCCATCTGCAGCAACATAGAGATGGATGGGGATTATGCTCAGTGAAAGAAGTCAGAAGGAAGAAGATAAATATCAGATAGTCTCACTTCTATATGGAATATAAAGAAATCAAACTAAAGGTTAAGAAGAATTCGAAACTAGCAAGTTGGCCATAGACCCCAGGCATACAGCAAAGGAGGGGAGAGTAAGTGGGGGGGTGCAAAACGGGGAGAGCTGAACACGAGGGACTACAAGGATGTAAGAAAAAAACATTTTAATCAATTAATTAGAAAAACCTAAAAAGAGCATTGGCAACCAAATATGTGACTCTGAATTATAAATTTACAAGCTTGGGATTTTTATTTCAAGGCAGAAAACAAAAACTATATATAAATCATAGAGCACTGTTTTTGATGTCTACATTTTCTAGAGTTTGGGAAAACTGTATCATCCTAAAAACAATTGAAGAATATGGTCAAGATTCTAGGGGGTTTGTTGAATATATTTGAAAAACTGACATGGACAAATGGTAAGAAATTTGTTTTGTCAGTTAGCCCAAAGGCTTGGTTTCGGAGAGAGAAATTGTATGGATTTAAGAAAGAAAAAGAGGTCTAACCGCCTGTGCTGTCTTGCCATGAAAAGGAGCGTTGGTGAGGCGTGAAGTCCCACAAGAGCGCGAGCCTGGCAGTAGGGAGGGCGCCCCTTCACAGGCGGACACGTGGCTGTCCCGCCCATGGCTCTTCCATCTCAAAAGTTCCATGCTATTGTCAGTATCACTCACCAGAACTCCTCTCAGATCCCTGAGGGGAGAGTGGAGCTGGCGAATGGTACATTCCAAGCGCTGAGGCTCTGCTGGTTGATCAGACTCCTTGGTTACCTGAAGAAAAAGAATGCGATTCTTGGAGATGGAACTCAAAATAAAATGGTATTTTCTATCCTTCACACGCCATTTCCCCACCTCCGCCCCAAATTGTCTATGGAATGTGCAGTCAATGAGGGTTGTATCTTCTTGAGTAGATTTGTTTTTAGTTTTTACTAAACGTGTCATAATTTAACAAGAGTTGCTTCACATCTATCTTTCCTTATAATCAAAATTATCTTTCACATTTCTCCATTAAGAAGTCTTTTGCTTTCCCAATGAAAACCGAATGGTTTTAAGCTTCTACAGCTGAGTTTCCCATCCTCCATAGTCATCCTGTAGGGCCTAGTTTCCTGTTCACTTAAAAAGCAACAGCTGTTTTCTGTGAACCCACTAACATTTTTTTGAATTAAGTAGGTAACATATCATATGGCCTCTTTCATGTAATCCTCATGTGACTCCCAACAAGTCCCACTTTATGGATAAAAAACCAAGTCCTCTCTCTCAGTGTTGATAAAAGCTCTGTCATCGATATTAAATCAAAGGCAGCAATTTTCCAGTATACGATTTTGTCTGAGTTTACTAAGTGGTCACCAGCTTCTTAGCTTAAATGGCTCTATCTGTAAAAATTATAGGGCATGCATTTTTGAAAAGGATACTTATTTTTAAGTTGTAAAGTATACTGCTCGCCTTGTATCCTAGAAAGTCTAAATAGGAGAGGTTAAAAAAAAAACCACAAGCACAAATTCTAGGATTTTCTTTGCAATACAGCTTGCTCTGCGGCACAGTTTGCTGTATTCTCTCAGAGGAGTTACTGCCATTTGCTTTCTTGTTCTGTCTGAATGCAAAGGCATGGGACTTGACTTTGTGTTTCATCTCCCCTGAAAACACCAAAGACAGAGCCTCCTTGGGGCATGCACCATTTCGCATAGTGGACTTGAATCAAATAAGCCACATCTTATTTGGAAACTGAGGAAAACTTACCTCTTGGAAAGAATCAATCAAATTTTCAGCATCTCTCTTTCCTCCCGGGCGCAATCCATAGGACCAATGTTGGCTGGAGCAGCCCATCACACACAAAGTCAGTAGAATAAGTCCAGCTAGAACTTTCGGAATTGGCTCCATTCTAAGGGAAATCAATGCACAGCCAAAATAGACCCAGAATGCATGGAGCAAGACTCGCCCCACAGAGGCTGGAAGTAGCCACCTCTACGGTTCTCACACAGACACTGCAATCTGCACCACTACATGATAGCCTTGAGATCCCTAGCACTGGGGACAAAAGCAGTATATAATTTAAACTCATCTGTCCGGCACCTTTTAATGCAAAGCTAGCCCAATTTTAATTTCAATTATTTATTTGGCTACCTAAACCTCGTGATTCCTCCCTGTCAAGTCTACTTTTTTGCCTTAACAGATTTTCCTTGTGATGGATTTTCAACCATGCCATTCCTGAAATTAAGAGAATTGGGCCATTTGCACTGAAAAGTGGCTCCAACCAGGAGTCTCTGGATAATTAGACTTGCTTGACATTAAGTGGCTACACAGTGCTATTGGTGGCATTTTGCTGAGTGTCTGTTCTTTAATCTTCCAGTAGTTACTGCTGACTGGGCCATCTGTGAGAGTGAGACAAGACCCAACACCTCTCACAGCCCTGAGTCACAGACCAGATGCCTCCTTGGCCACAGGGGTCTGGAATTGTCTAATCACATATGGTATTATCACAGAGTCTTCAAATTAACTTTCATTTGATGGGAAAGAGACTAAAGGCAAATTCAAACACTGGTTGCTAAGTTGTTGTAATTCTCCAAAGGCTGGATTTCTGAAGGTCAAGATTTGTTTAGACACTATCATACTTGAACTCAGCCCTTAGGGTGTAAAATGCCCCATAGACAGTATGGCATGTATTCTAGAAATTGCGTTAGAAGTACCCAGCTGACTCTCCCTGGTGGTGCAACACTACAAGCGGGCCATGGCTGCTTCAGTGCAAGCTCGATTCCCAGCCCCAGAGTTGATCCACATGGCAAGGCAGATCTCTCCTGTCTTGCCCTCTGCTCCCCTCAGCAGTGTACTTTGTCAATCTACCTGTTCTACTCCCCACTCTGTCTCTGGTGAATCCTCTCATTGCCCCTGCACCTCTAGCCTGAACCCCACTTCTGTATGTATACATAAATCTTAAAAAAAAAAAAAATTTGCCACCAAGCATTTTACCTGTTTGTTGGGCAAGGAGCCAAAAGAATCCCAAGCTTTCTTGGAGTATTGAGTTCTGTAACTTTTCTTTCTTAACTTCCTTTTTATATGAAACTTCTCCAGGATCTGCAGTCTTCCCTGCTGGTTAATTGTATTGCACTTGGACTATGCTTTTTTTTTTTGTTAAATAGTAATTTTTTAAAAATTCTCACATAAAGCCTTTTAATGGTGTATGTAATTGGAACACCCACTGTTGTTTTTGTTAAACTTCTTAAATCTTGTCCATTAAAACCTCAGTTAAAACTTTTATAGCTGGATTAACAATTTAAAAGAGATTAAAATCTCTCTGGGTTGGACTCCCTTGAGGAAACTGACAGAATCTAACAAAAGTTCAAGAAAATAACTATTTTAGATTACGTGAAGTTAAATGTGTACATGAAAATGTTCACGAGAGGCTTTAAAATAATTACAGTAAGAAGTTGAGTCAGATTGCCAGAGAGCTAATCTCAACCCTTCGACTTCTCATTTGTAAATATAGGGATTTAAACCAGATCATACAGCTGCAGCCAGTTTAAAAAATCTTTATAAATAGTAATATGATTGATACTATGCAAAACCCAGAGAGTTTCTTGAAGATAGTGTGAGCTTGAAAATTCTCCAGTCTTCTGCCCACCAGATTCCCTCCATAACTTATGTTGAAAACTTTCTACAGCATCAAAAAGGTAAACTAGGGCCCTCCCTGGTGGCGCAGCGGGTTAAAGCACTGCACTGAGAAGCTTAAGCCACTTCCACATGAGTTCGATTCCCGCCTGCCCCAAAGGAGTCCACATGGCGAGGCAGACCTCTCCTGACCCGCCCGCTGCTCCCCTCGGCAGTGTACTTCGTCGATCTGCCTGTTCTCCCCACTCTGTCTCTGGTGAATCCTCTCACCCTCCGCATCTCTGGCCTGTACCCCAGTTCTATATGAATAAATAAATCTTTAAAAAAAAAAAAAAAGGTAAACTAGTCTTACTACTGTGGAAAATAGTATGGAAATTCCTCAATAAATTAAAAATACATCATCCAGTCATTCCACTTCTGGGGATATATCTAATACATCTATATCTATTAATAGATTTGTGAATCTATTATTCCTTGTGATTGATTTTCAATGATGTCATTCCTGAAATAGAGCAAATTGGGTCATTTGCGCTGAGAAGAAGATCTATGGGTCTATTAATAGCTCTAGATCTAGATATATCTCAAAGGAAATTAACATGATATGCAAAGGGTATCTACAAGATGTCTGTGTTCTGAAGTTCAATGCAGTCACAGTAGTCAAAATACGAAATCAACCTAAGTATTCATCCATCAACAAGTTAATGGTTACAGAAGTTGGGATACCTACAGACACACATGGAATAGTATTCAGTCACAAAAAGAAGATGTTGCCATGTATGACAATATGGATGGAGCTTGAGGACAACATGCTAAGTGAAGTAAGTCAGAGAAAAACTGATAGTGCATGACATCACTGCTAAGTTCCAGTGTAAGGTGAGGTGGTCTAATCTCACCATAACTATTCAAAATAGTATTTTAAGTTCTTTTATTTTATTTTTGATTTTTTTTTACATCATTCTTCACTTTGTGCACTTTTTCATCTTCATTGTAATCCCCATGGGAGTATTGGAAGTTCTAGCTAGAGAAATTAGGGAAAGATAGAGAAGAAAATCCAAATTGGGGAAGCAAAGTTATAATTTGCAGGTGACAGGATAAAATCAGGAGCCCTCAAAATTTTATGGAAGAACAAGCAAAACAATCATTTCAGCAAAATGGCAGCATATGAAGTCTACATCCAAAAATCTTTCATTGGATTTAAATCCTTTTAAATCTTTTATTTCTCTTCTATGTGTCCTGCATTCTTTAGCAGGAGGTTGAGGGCTCATCCCTTGCCCTGAGGGTTTGTCCCTAACACATGGATGTGCTAGTCACCCAGTACAAGCACTTAAAAAGAGAATCATTACTCTTTATTACATTTACTTAAATGATTGTCTTCACCTAATTTATGTCTGACTGTAACTCATAATAGTAAAGGGTGTCATGTTAATAAGCATCTATTCATAAATGATTACATTTAGGAGAATTTCAGTAAGTAGAGGTTTGAATAAGTGAAACAAGTGAATTAGGTCTAATGCTTCCTATATTTCTACATCAAAGTTCATTTTAGCTGTTGTAGAGTTAAGTCTATACCTAACTATTGACTTGAACGTGTTTTATTAGCTAAGCTGTAAAATGGTTAAAAATAACTGGAAGCTTGCTCATTTTAGAAGTAGGATTCGCAGTTTCTCCTTGGGTAAATCACCAAACCTAGCCTGGTGTCGTCTGTGACTCCATCTGTGAGGACGTCATCCTTTACCTCGTCACCTCTGTGGAGGTTGTGAGCTTCATGATTGGGAAGTGAACAGGACCAGCTTTAAATATACTTTAAAATACAGGAAATAAAAAAGTATGCGATAGAATATTGTCTAAATTATTTTAACTATTTCACTTAGGTACTTCCAATAATTTTAGTACCAGTCAGATGTGGAATTTCATCCCACTATAACACTATAACAGGTAAGGAGAGACTTCTTTTCAACAAACAAGTTTGAAGAGTGCTATTTAAATTGTCCAGTTTATTTCCTGTTTGCTAAAAGAGATGTGATTCTCAAAAGCATTGCTTAAGTGATGTTGGTTGGACCAATTAAATGGAAATTACGACTTCTGAACCTTATTTTCAGGTTAATTACTAAGCTCTGGTTAAGTATCACTATATTTCTTGTATATTACTTCAGTTCATATTAAAATTACAGAAAGTATTTAAAAATTTTTATATAAGCACAGCTACATTGTCTTTGAATTCATTCAATGTTTTGTGCCCTGTAAGTCTGCATTATCTTAAGTCTTACAGATCTCAAGTGCAAATGCCAGATTTCTTTTTCTACGGCACTGAATATCAAATATGCAATTGATTTTTGATGGTTACTGACAAACTTTGAACTTGAAACTTTCCATGGTTCTAAGGAAACCAGGAAATGGAACTTAGTACTAACTGAGTTTAAATAGGACTTTAGAGATGTTAATTTTATTCTAAATTTAGCAGTTTCTTAAACTTTAGAGGATGGTTTTACAGGAGTGACTTCATCTTCAGCATAAAAGTTAACATCTCAAAATAATCAAGTTGCAACAAAAATAATTTGATGATCTTGCTGAATGACAGATGAAAACCTTTTTGCCTAATGTAAAATCTCAGCAGGAAGAACTCAGGGTGAACAGCTGACAAGTGTGAAAGGGTTTGAGAATTAATTGTTGGATAAGATGTTTTCCAAGGAAAATAACTGCTTTTCTTGATAGAGGGATGGCTTTCAATTTTAAAGATAATACTTTCTTCTTGGAAATTTAATAAATTTTAAGACTTCATATGTTGGAAATGATCTGAAGTTGATTTATAGTATAACAATCAATTCATAAAATGAACAACTGGAGAAATGTTCCAAATCTTGATTTATGATGGTAACCCTTAGAAAAAGATAACATACAATGTTTCTTTCCTATTAAAATTTTTTTGAACCCATAGCTGCAGGAATCAGACTATATTACAGCATATATTCCTCTAGCAATTATAGGAGTACGGAACTTTACCGAAGTTGATAATCTAGCTAATGTAGTCTTCCCCCAACAACTTTGTTTTTACATATATTCCAACATTAGGACTAATAGAAGTCTTCTCTTTTGAAACTTTCTTCCCATCTTCAAATTAATTTTCGGTTAAGAATGTTTTGGAAACAGTGTATTTAACCAACACACTCATGATAACAGGTAATATTCTTCAGGTAAAGAGTAACAAGCGAATGATTAGAAAGTAGTTTTTTCTTTGGTTGATGCAATGAAATTTCTTAATGTAATTGTTAGCTACCACGGTTGATTTTAAGAAAAAGATCATAAGGATCATAAATTTAATGCTACCCTCATAAAGATGAATCCGTTAAGTGTTATACTGGATTTCTTTGTCCTTTAAGGCCCTTGACCTGTAATATTGGTCATCGACGCAAATGAAAAAGTGTAAGCAAAATATAGAAAAGTGTAAGCAAAATATGGAAAAGCAAGACAAACTCCTTTTCAACATTTCACATTGTTTATTAATGCTTATACATTAGATCCCAAATCTGCAGTTTCTAAGCATAACATGTTTAGATCTTTCAGATTCTTCTGCAGTTTTAGGTAATGTACGTCTACAGAGGTACCCTTAGGTAGATGAACAACTTTCTATATTGAAAATATAGTACAGAGTGAAATGATTTAAATATAATTTAGGCACATATTGATTATGAAAATAGATATCTCTCATAACAATACTTCTCTGTCTTGGTAAAAATAATAAAGCAAAGAAAATAATTCATTTCTAAAGTTGCTTTCCTCTCCCCATAAAGGTCCAGTCTCCTCCTATTATGCATATGAATCCTTTACTATTAAGGAAAGCTTTGCATATGTATGTGTGTATATATAGATATATATATATGTCTGTGTACAAATTTATATAGAATAAGCTACGTTAATACTGCAGAAATGTCATTCTCCCAAAGGAGACAGTGGTTTTTAATGAATCTTTGCCTCAAACTGATGAGTCTATAGAATTCAAGCCCATTTGGACACAGCACATTTCTGCTCCTGGAGTAAACACAAGGATACTGGCAAGCAAGTACAGGCCCTATCACTGCTACTGCAGATAATGACTCGGGAAAATCAGACTCAGCTCCACTACAACAAAACGAAACCAAATCAGAACAGAGAAGTAAAAGAGCCATAGGTGCAGACTGAGTGGTATTAGATTTTGGACCAAATACCTTTATTTTTACTTATTAAGTTTTCTGGTTGTGATAAACTCTCACTTTAAACTTCCCTCACTTTCATGTAGGGCTTCAGCTGCAATTGTATTATGTTAGCATTTCAAAGACAGCTTTGCCTTATTCACTTATATTCTCTAACTAAGATGTTCTTAGAGTAGCTTAGAATTTTACACTAAGCATTTCAAATTTGGCATTTGAATTAAATGAAATTGATAATGCACCTTGGTTTTTTTGGTTTTGAAGTATCTTTATCTGCTTATTCTGACTAAGAGGAAATGAGGCCAGTAGTGTAAATAGGTACATCTGGTATTCACTGGACCAAGCTAAGGATGCAATTCTAAGGAATGTTTATTGGAAAGGTGTCACTATGGGTAAACACTTTTCATCCAGATGGTTCCACAGGATTTTATGCTGACAACAGTGTATATCTTTCCACTGTCTTACTCAGTCAGAATAGAGGATTTGTTTCATCTAGTTGCTGTTTTGTTCTAAGAAATAACCATAATAAAAATGAACTTGAAAAAAGAGCCCAAGGGAATCTGATCTCACCATCTTCACATGGTGTGACAACTATTTAAGTAGGGGAGGCATCACTAAAGCTATTTTTAACCTGAACAACCTTTTAAAATTTTTCTTAAAGTTTAACAATTTAAATATTTGTACTGCATCTAGAGATTCAATAAATATAATTGCATATGTTGTGCTTTTCATAAATTAAAATCCTCAAGTACATTTAAACTGAGATAGTATTTCCACATCATGCCTATGTATAAGCAAATGTAATAGATAATATTCCTGGCCACAAAACCTGACAAATCCCCCTACAAACTCAAAAGGCAACAGCCTATTCTAGTTTCTCTATGTCTATTAAGTGAGTGCTCCTCTGTTAAAATCAGAATGTGGAAAGCCACTTTCCCCTTTTGCACTGCTGAGAACAAGCATAATCCTCTGAATGGTTTCTTATTCTCTTACAGTGTTATTTCTTCTCAAGTGAGTGGGTGGAGAAATTAAAGTGATAAGAAAAACATTTTTCATCTTGGGCATCCAGTCCTGGAATTCTCATCTGACACTTTGTGACATATGTAGTGGTGTCAGCATCTCTTCAAATATAGCTCCCTTCACGTTGGATCCTCTCAGGTTGGCTTCTTGAAGGTCGCACCCAGACAGGTCACAGTTCTGAAAGATAAAAACAATACTTAGGGAACTGAGATTTAGCTGTTCCCTCTCAAAATGTCTTTTGGGGCATATTAGGAAAATGTTCCTAATTGATTTACTGGATTTAAATTATGTAATAGATTCCCCATCCCCTAATCTCCACATTTTTTAAGGCAGGGAACTGTCTTTTTTTTAACTCCAAATTTCTGTGAACATTTCAGTGTTTTAACAAATGAAAACAACAGTAACCACCACCACAATTGGCAGCTGCTTTGAATTCTTCTGAAGATCACAGGGTGACAGATGAGACAGACATTCTGCCAAAGACCCTGGGGATGATGGGAACAGTGACTAGAGAAGGGTGATTATAGGCAACAGTTTAGGGTGACAGTGTCAGCTGCTGCCCCCCCAGTAGTTAACTTAGTCAGTTTTTGTAATCAGCAGTTTTAACGATATTAACTACATAGTACCTAAAATCAAGGAGGGGGAAATCATCTCAGGTGATAACATAACAACAAATAATTGTGCTCAAAACAGGTTTCTGCCTTCAATCTTTGGCTGGTTCTTTTTATGCCTGTAAATTGGGGGTGGGGGGGCCGGTGGTGTGAGGGGCAGCAGGGTTGTGGCTGAAAGCTATCAAAAGAGCAAGAAAAAAACATTTTTAAAAATCAATAGCAACCTGAACTTTTATATACTCATCTCCACCAGCCAACCTGTGCCAGATTTTTCCTATGCAGAGCTTCACTCCTCAGTGTGACAGCAACTAGCCACATGTGGCGATTTACATTTCAAATACAATTAAAATTTTAAAATCCATTTCTTAGTTGCACTAGCCACTTTTTAAGTACTCAACCACTAACAATGATGGTGGCTACTGTACTGACCAGCACACTGAAGAACACCTCTAACTTCAGAAAACACTGCTTCAACTCTCTGGTCTATATAGACTCGTCAACAGCAGTGGGGCCTGTGTGTTAAATCTAAAATTCAAGGTAACATATAGAAGACAATTGAAATGGAAAAGATAACTGGACAAAATTAAGGCTTCAAGCTGAGTTTCAAAGGGAGTTTATTCACAATTTTTCCTGAAGCTGACTTTAAACCTGGATACCATTTAAATTTCCTCAAGTAGTTCAGGAAAAAATCTGGTCTACTTAATCTTAAGAAAAACATGATAAATTAGACTAATACAGTTTCTATCAAATTCATGTGCTTGAAAGACTCTAGGAAAGGAGGAGAAATGAAATCAACCTAAAGCAAATGTCAGATGAATCCTCAAATCTGAAACTGGCATAACTTGGGTAATTGAATCTGGCTCTAGAATTCAAATTTGTTGAAACAAACAATTGAAAGGAAAACACCTCCAGTGGTATTGACATGTTAGCTGGCAGGTTTTTCTCAGCCAACTACTTTGTTTAGGTTGCAAGAGATACTCCTGCAACTCTTTTAGATTAACAAAGGCTCTTTATAAACATTGGTGACTCACCTCTAAATCAGTTCCTGCTAGAGTTGCTCCTCTGAGGTTACAGTTCTTCAACTTAGCATTTTTTAAGGTAGCAACTCTCAGGTTAATTCCTGTCATTTGGCTCCCTTCCATATCCACACCTTTCAGATTAGCACCTAAAATGAACATATTTGGAGAGTCATTAAACTTAACAAATACTCAGTTACCTACCTTCAAAACACTGCAAAAGGACTTACTGGAGGTAAATGATGAAAGTCTCTTTTAATTTTCAAAAAGGGCTCTGTGAAGTATAAACTTCAGTTTCTTAACCAATGTAGATAAATAGCTTACTGCTAATGATAAATTATCATTATACTATAAATTAAGAATGCATGAACCAATTGCTTTTGAAAGGGATGAATTCTGTCTCATGATAATTTGCTCCTACATTAAAATACCTCTAAGTTTACTACAAGGAAAGTTCAATGTCTTCTAAATACATTCAAATAAAAAAAGTGACTTGTTAACATCCAACATAGCAACAATGAGTTCGTAAACAAAACATTAAATCTAAAATGACAACTCCCTGACCTTGTGCAAAGTGAAACTCTTAGTTTTGACCAAAGCAAGGGATTCATGTCCTATTAGAAAGCTTAAGATACTGATATTCAAATCTGCCTCATTAAATATGAAGACTGGCCATCCCCTGAATTCTCAGTTTTGTTAACACATGACTGAGATTGAGATATGACATATGCCATTGCTAATTCTCCAAGTATGAAGACAGAAAATTTACCTCCCACGTCTTATCCATGAGCAAATTTTGCCAGGCATCTGACTTTTTGTTTCATTTCAGAAATGTTAATTATAGATAGAACCTCACCTTCTAAATTGGCTTTAAGACCAGAAGGATCTTCAAAATTACACAGTTTCAGCGATGCCCCTTCTGCATTAGAACAGAGCATCTTGACTCCCTGGAGATTTGCACACTGGCAAAGAAAAGAGGTTAAGTCCACATATTAAGGTTTTTGTTTGGAAAAGAAAAAACAAATGGTTCACACAGTATCATAAAATACAGAAAAGGAGGAAAAATGCTCAATTTGATATAATCACTTTTTGTTTTCAACACTTAGAAACTGAAACCAGTAAGAACTGAGGACTGTATTAAAGAAATAGTTCCATAAAAGAATGATTTTTAAAATAAAGAAACCCCTCCCACGACCTTCCCCACCAACTGCCCTGGTTAAAGTCTTAGCACCATCAAGCTATAGCCAGCCACTGTGGCTTGAGTTGGATCCCCAGCCAGGGAGCTGACCCACATGGCACAGCAGACCTCTCCTGTCTCGCCTGCTGTTCCCCTCAGCAGTGTATTTCAGTAGATCCTCCTGTTCTGTTCCCCACTGTGTCTGGTGAATCCACACTCACAAACCCCTCCCCGCGCCCCGCCCCCCACTCACATCTGGCCCCAGTTCTTGTATGCATAAATAAATAAAAATAAATCTTAAAAAAAAAAGGGAAAAGCCAAATTAACAAAAGCATATCCAATTTACACAAAACATAAGCATTTAAAGAAGTTGGAAGTCAGAACTAGGACATCCCTAACTATATTTTTATATAAAAGTCTGGGCATGATGATATGACATTTAAAATCTAAGGGTAAATGTGCTGGAAATATGAATTTGCCCCTCCTTATTACACAGGAAATCAATAAAATTCTTGATGTTCAGTAATGCTATACCAGCACATTCATTCCAAAGGCCAGAATACTTCAGTCTAGCAATTATTGGCATCTTTCAGTTATAAAACATCCCTGTTGGGTTTTTCTGTACTAACCATTGCTAAACAACACTGTCAACCTTGAGCATCCAAATAAGTGCAAAATGTACAGCGAAAAGGTAGAAAATGTTTAAATTTGAAGTCATGTAAGTGCCTTTCAACGTATTCAGTGCCATCAGATCTGAATGCTAACCATTACTGGAGAAGTCAGGAGACTATAAAGTTGACATAACTTCAGGCTTTTACAAATCTTTACTGTCCAAGTAGATAACATGTTTTAAAAGCTATAAGGCATTACATGAATGACAATAGTACTTGTTATATTTACCGATCAGATATAGTTATCTACATATTATATATATATTCAAGGTGCACACACATCAGCAAAGAAATCTAAAATCTTAAGGCTGTCCAAGTGATGTTACATCTATTTCTATTATGAAAATTCTTGTTTGAAAGGTACAGTTTTATTCACCTGCAGTCAATTCTCACGAAAGGGAGATAAGCCATAGACCATTTCAAACCACAGATGACTTGTCAAATGCACACATTCTCACCTACACCTGTGCCTTAACAAGGTCATACAGAAGTTCAGATTGATAACTAAAATAATAAGGATTTAGAAGGACCATATTAACTAAAAATGGCCAGATTTTAAATACCTGAAAATGTAACGAGACAGGAAGCTGATACATATAAATAAATGCTTCTGGTTTTATACAGTATGCTCTCAGTAAAATACACTGTAAATATTATTAAAAGTTCCCATGGTTATTAGAAAGTAATGAATGACCTATATTTAAGGCATTCTATATTATTCTATGCTACAAATGTCACAAAGCAAATACATAGTGAAAATGAGTGAAGAGTGTGATCGTTTACCATGGAAAGTATCTCACCCTCCATTCATCAAAGAGTAAAGTGGGTTCCTAATATTGAGATTTTAGAACTCGGCTACAAATTAAGTCAGCACTGCAGCTATAAGAACTAGGCTGTTTTATCTCTTATCAAGGGGCAATGTGTTTGATGAAAACGGGCTATTATTTTTTTTAATATGATGTCATATTTAAAAAATTACCCTAATCTAAGAGGTGAAGTAAATAGTAATAAGTAAAATAATAAGCTGCTTTAACATAATCTATAAAGATGTACAGACAGATAAAACTGGTTGGTGGAGGTCTAAACAGGGCTTTGTTATACTAGTCTATTTTGTATGTATTTGACATTTTCAAAAGAAAAAGTAGAAGCAAATGCATGCTGTAGAGTCTCATTCATAGTTTCTATGAAGAAACTAGCCTTTGGGGCTTGAGCAAATGTCCAGATTTTAGTTTCTCAGCCTATAAAACTGTAGGTCAGATTTGATTACTAAAAGTCTCTCCCAGCTCACCCCGTTCTCTTAAGTATTGACTGGGATAATGCAATGGATAGGAACAGCGGAATTTTTAGACTTGCTTTTATGCAGCAGGCTAGAGTCAACCATAGCAGGCAGACCATGTGGAAGAAACACTCTAAAACATGCTCAAGAATAGGCAAGGGAACCACTGATTTGCAACTGAGATGTCTTGGTTTACAGCAGAACAGGTTAGTTTCTATGAAGAAGTTTCACAGTCCATAAGGAAAGGAAGCAAAATCGTTTATTGTTTGAGGAATTCAACATGAACGGTGAGACCACTAAGGGTATTTTGTGTGGCACTGTGCTTTAGTGTACATTATATTATGGGCACTGCAATACAGCAGGGTATTTATCAGCAGTCATTTTCCAATGCAAAGGACAATTAAATTAATTTGAGTTCACAGCTTATACAGTGACTCTTCTGCCTGAGCCATTTTTATTTTTGATAATTAAAGTTAAATTCTATAGCATATCACTATGGCACCAAATATGTACTCAGTTAACAGCCCTTGAACAACATGGCGGGTTAGGGTGCTGATCCCCATATAGTCAAAAATCAATGTGTAACTCAAAACTTAACTACTAATAGCTTACTGCTGACTGGAAGCCTTCCTGGTAACAGAGATTCAAGTAACATATATTTTGTATGTTGTATTCTTGTAATTATCATAAGCTAGAGAAAGTTAAGAAAACTATAAGGCAAAAAAATACATTTAATTTTGGCACTGTATTAACTGATACTGTAAGTTTATGTTATCTGTTAATAGGAAAATCTGCATGTGTGAAACTGGGCAGTTCAAACATGTGTTGATCAGGAGTCAACTATTTAGACCTTCAAGCTTTTTCTAAGTGCTTGCAAAGTAGTTTCTTGTCTACTTTGCTACCAATTTAATCCTTCGCCATAAGATGGAACAGGGGAGTGAAAATAACTGAAACATATATTAGCAATTTTCTTACTAGATCTGATATCTTCATGGAAAAATAGGTGTAACTAAAGAATGAAAAAATTACAATAATTCAAGAAATAATTACTAAAAGTTATCGAAATGCAAGATAGAGATATTAAATGCTGTTAATTCAAAGACAGAGACATGAGCCTTGTATTAAGGAACATTAAGTTGTTAATAGTTAGTACATTTCATTATTGGTTCTGCATATATCCTCCAATCCCAAGTTAGTACAGGTAACTGCTACATAAATACCTGTATATACATCTGTACACACATATATACACATAAACATATAAACACATGGACACACATATGTTGAGAAAGAGCCATTGAAATGCTTACATACAATGATGCATGCTATGTTTCTCAATATCTCTGCAAAATACTTGAGTAATAATATTTTCCCATTTAATAATGTGTTTCAGTAGAAAATCTCAAATCTTTTTTTAGCTTTCCCATTGTAATTCACAGAAATTCAAAAATAAGTAGATTATATTGAGATCAGGGTCTAATTTCAAGATTTAATTTATTAGCTGCTAAACTTTTTTAGGCCTATGCTTAATAAAGGATATCAAAGTTGCAAAAGAATACCATTTCACTTTCACAGTCTTCAGTTTTATGGACTTAGTAAATAAAGTATCTGTTTCATGACAAAGTTTCATTAAGAAACAGATAAATCTCTGCTCTTTGAAACTGTTCAACAAGCTAAAAACTGTATTTTCTTTTGTAACCAGAAATGATTCTTACATCAAGCACTGATCCAGAGAGATCAGCTCGTTCAAGATTTGCACAGCAGAGATTAGCATGTGCAAGATTGCATCGGCTTAAATTGGCCATTTTGAAGTTAATGTATCGAAGGTCCAAACGAGAAAGATCAGCACCACTGAAGTTTAAACCCTAAAATTAAAAAACAAATTGTCACAATATTTTAACCATCTGTTTGTATTTAAATTTAACTATTATAGTTAACTACCAAGTTCTTCAGAAATAATTGGCAGTTCAGTCATTTGTAGTCTATTACAAAACACAATCAAATGGAACATAGAAACACAAAAGAAGTGTCTTTAATGGACTCTTAGTAAGAGGAAATGCAGATTGGTTATACCTCTTTCATGGGCAGGAAGTTTTTAAAGAGGGATCTTTGTTTGCCATGTACCTGGTTAATAAGCATTATTTTAGTTAAATCTGATCGCCTTTAAATTATTTAATTCAATAATTCAGTTTTTTCTAAAAAAGTGAGTATTGTGGTTAAAAAAACCTTTAACACTAGAACACTAGAAGTGTCTACCACTGACTAGTCATACATAGCAACTGCGATAACAATTGAATTTTTATTTTAATTACTGCAATTTCCATGCAATATTCAAAAACCACTACATGAAACATAATTAGACAATAAAAAAGGCTATTACATCTTTTGCTAACCATTCGTGGATTGTATCAACGCTATAACCCATAATTAAACAATGTCTTGCATGAAGAAGAAAAATAAGGCAAAATAAAAATCCTAAGAATGTAAAACTTGGCTCGCCAATTTGCTGATACAGTAAGTCATGTAAAAGTCTGCTCTAATTACCTGGCAACGCAACTCAGACTTGGTTGGAGTAGCTAGCAGGAATCGGACAAATTCTTTTCGAGATATTGGTGAATGATCCTCTGGTGGTTGAGAATTCTTGTAAAAGATATTAGAAAATTAATGGAGCATTTTGGGAGCTGGCAATAATAAATGTGTATTGGCTAATGCAAAAAAGAGATCTTACCTTTATAGCTACCTCTAGGTGTTCAATCAATGAATCAATACCAAAAAATCTGGCTTCTTCTAATACACCTATATTAATAAAAATGATTTGACTTTTACAGAAAACCATTTTAATGTTTATAGCATTCTTCATGTTAAATTCTCACAGTAGAACTGAAATGCAGCAAGTTAGACTAGCAATGCAGAAGAAACGTAACAGGTTTAGAACATATACATATAATAACTGAAAATATTTATAAAATATATTTTTCTAAAGTAATAGAAAACATGGAAAAATGAATTAGAAGAAAAGCATTTCATATTTCAAAGTTAGTTCTGAATATCAAATCAGCCACATAAAAGAAATAGTAATCACACATTCCCAAAATCATTGGTAAAGTGATATGATTATGAATCTAAAAAAATGATTAGTTTATCTAATCTTAACATTTCCCTTATTTTTTTCAAGGTGGAGTATCTGCAGAGGGCAGTCAGAAATATCTTTTACTTATTGAATCAGAAAATTATATATACAAATAAAAGACAAAAGACAAAAGTGTAAGTGAGAAACATTTCTAGTAAGAGAATCTGTTTTTCTAAAAAAGGATCTGAATAATAAAAGGTATTTTATCTGTCATTTACTTTTCTTAATTTGGATAAAAATGTGTACATTCTCTGTGTGACACAGTGTGTATGCTTTCTCATGTTTGTTTTTCTCATGTTTCTCATGTGTGACACAGTGTGTATGCTTTCTCATGTTTGTTCATTTTCATCAGAGATGTGGCTGTAACTAGGGATCCATTCTCCTTCAAAGCAAGGCCTGGGTCATCCAGTTAGCTACATCCACTTGTTCAAAAACTACTAAGAACTTAAGAATTACAAAGAAATATGTGATGTCATCCCTCCCCTCAAACATAAATACAGGTAATTGTATGTAAATACAGGGCACAAGAGACCAGTTACATCTCTGGATTCCTCACGAAAGGCAGTCACACTTCAACATCTGTCCTGGGAGAAACTCCTAAAGAGGGTAGTTCTTAGTGGGCCTCATTCTCAGTTTGCAAACATCTTCTGATTAAATGTGGATCTTTTAAGGAAAGTGGTAAGGATTTTTTCTGCTAAATCTAGTTTTAGAACAAAACCTTAAAACATTCCAAAAAGGTTTTACAAATAAAAGATACGCCCAGGGTCACATTGGAAAAAAAGAAGCAATAGTTTGTTAATACCATTAAGACATGGATTTAGATTCCAGCTTTGTCACTCATGACCTTTGTTATCTAAGAGAAGTTACTTAATCACTCTCTAAGTTTCCATATTTGTAAAACAGGGCATTATTACCTTCTCACAAAGCTGTCTTAAAAATTAAAAGAGTTGATACATACATATAGCTTGGTACAGTGCCAGGTAACCTGGCACTGTAAGTTCTCAATAAATGATCACCATGCTTATCATTAAATTACCTGCTTTCTACCACTGAATCACTCTCTTTATTAAATAAAAATGAAGTCCAGAAAATTCATACTAGTTTTAGGGCAATCAATTTTGAAATGTTAGAGAAGTTCTCGAGTTAATAAAATAGTTGGGTTGTGAGATTTAACTAGGAAGTAGGGAAAAGAAGACTTCGTGAAGTAAACCTCATGCTTGTTCTAGAGCCTGAGGTCTCTTGCCACTGTGCATACTGGTGAGGAGGACATTTCGGCCACTTTGTTGCCTTAGAACAGGCAGGTGGTAAGCCATTTGGGCCTGTCCCGGTATCCCACCCACCTGGCCAGACTGCCCATCTCTCTTAACTGCCTCAGAATGGGAATCTGTGTGGGGACCATGAGTCACAAACACCTCAGAGCTGAGAGCAGTGGAGGTCACTGAGTTGTACGGGAGCACCTTGTGCTCTAACTAGAGCAGTGCTGACAACAGTTGACTCCAAACAAACTCTCCACGAGCAACACGAGGAATATAAAGTAGATGGTCACTGAGATCGCCCGGTTCTACCCGAGCACTATGTGCCATAAATAGAACAGCTGAAGGTATTCGAGCTCACCATTGCATTCTACATGAGCAAAATAAAAAATAACCAAGAGTTGGCCTTACTAACTTCTACAGGACTGCCATGATGTTATCACTACACCTCAGGTGATGGTCACTGAACTCACCATTGAGTTCAACATGGACACTGTGAGTAATAACCTCACGGATGACTATCATTGACCACAAGAGAGTTCTGCTTGAGCAATCTGTGTAAGTTTAACAGTTGTGTTAACTGAGTTGCAGTGGTTTTGCATAAGCACCTCCTAAAAGACCATACCATGGCTGACGTGCATTGAGTTAAAAAAAAAAACAAAACCCACCATGAGGAAGTGGGATTTATCCTAGGAATGCACAGATGGTTTAATATACATAATTCAATAAATGTAATATAGCATGTCAACAAAAATACAGATAAGATTCATATGATAATATCAATAGATGTAGAGAAAACATTTAATAAAATTCAGCACTATTTATATAAAAACTCTAAACAAGATGGGATTACAAGGAACCTATTTCAAAGTAATAAAGTCCACATGCCACAACTGACCAGTGTAATATTCAATGTTTAAAATCTCTTTTTAAAGGATTTATTTACTTATGTATATGAGAACTGGGGTAGAGGCCAGAGGTACAGGGGGTGAGAGGATTCTCAAGAGACAGAGCGTGGAGTAGAACAGACAAAGTGACTGAAATACACTGTTGAGAGGAACAGTGGGTGAAACAGCAGAGGTCTGCTGTGCCATGTGGGTCACCTCCCGGACCAGGGTTCAAAACTCATACTGCAGTGGCTGCAGATAGCTTCAGAGTGCTGCATTTTAACCCCTTAGGCTACCAGGTAGGCCGAATGTTTAAAAACTAAATCAAGACTCAACACTTAAGTCCACACTCCCATATGGAAGTCTGAGTAATCAGGCATGTTTCTCAGTATCACCACACTCTCCAGCAGGCCAAATTCAGTTTCTTGGAGTTCTACCGAACTCTGACCACACACAGCCACTGCTGTATAAGGGCTTTGCTCTAACTCACTACCGTGAACCTGAACATCTTTTAACACAGCCAGGGATGAGTGGATTTTAAAAACATTTTCAAAGAGGGCTCAGAGATTGTACCTGATTAGTAAGTTCTAGAATTGAGATTCTAGATCAGTGTATGATTCCAAAGTATAATTTTTCCTCTTAACCACTTTACTTCTAAATATGATAAGAGGGTCCATAATTAAAAAAGCAGTTCAATCACACTTCGATTAAAAAAAAAAACTTTAAAATCCCTGGTGAGAGAAATCTAAATCTGTTTTCAGATCTAACATTGGAATTTATGGTTTAGAGACATCCATCCATGCAAAAACGTGTATTTTACATCTCTCTATATATTTGTATACATGTTAGTATTAATTTAAAAAAAATGGAAAAGAATATATGTACTTTCACTTTATGAACAAACATATAGTATGTCATTATTAAGAGCAAACAAAATAAATATGTTAAACTAAATTAAAATGGGAAAGATCATATTGAAAACTCACCTAATAAATTAATGCCATCATTTACAATGAGTTGTCCATGACGCAAGTAGTTCAAAATGGGTTCAAAGTACTCAGGACTTCGATCGATTAAGAAAGCTCCTCTATGATCTTGCTTATTTCCCCAGACACCTGTGTTAAGCATTAAGTGAAGAAACCCCCCCAGAGGAAAAAAAGATGTTAGAGCTGTATGGAAGAAAAGTAGTTGAACATACCAGTGTTGACTCTTGTAAAATTATAGCAGGACAGGAGATACAGAGTCATCACACCAAGTGCAGGAATAACGTGCCGTACTCACCTTTGTCCTTAAACATGTGGGCCAGCATACTGTCGGGTTCTTTATTCACTAAAGTGCTCCTAAGAATTCAGGGAAAAAAATTGATTTCTCCTTTTGTCTTTATAAACAAATATATTTAAGTCAAGAGTATATTCCATCCCAGCTGCTCTCTCAAAAAGATGCATGCTAGAGCCTGGTAGAAGTGATGCTGGGAGACAAAAACGTGCAGTAAGTTGCCATTTATCAAAATCCCTTCTAATCTGGCACTTCCTTTGATTAAATAATGTTTCAGTTTCCTTTAATTTAAATACTAATCTATCCTTCCAGCAAGCTATTATATCATAATATTCTTGATCCAAAAGTTTTCTGATCTCTTTAACACAAGCAGTTTTAGTCTCCACAAATCTCAATATTGTTAATTTTTACTGTTGTTACATGTAGCTATTACTTGCTATCTAGAAAGCATGTTTTAGAACAATGAATTCATGCTTTTCAATTTTTCTCTGGAATGACTTGTGAACTATTTTTCAACTTCTTAAAAAACACTGCAAAAATGATTTCAGATCACACAGTATACTGAAATAGCATGTGAATTATCTTTTAAGAAAACCAGCAAACTAAAGTAACAATTGGTACACACATACACACACACACCTACCGTGTAGTTGTAAAGTACCGTCCTCCAACATTTAATGTTAGCCAGTCTGTGTGAGATCCCGACAGCCCTTCAGGTAGTTTAGAATCTGTCTGAGGATCTAAAGATGACATGTAGAAAATAGTAGGAACACTGAGATTAGCGACTTGGGTAAGCAGACAATAGCAAAAATTCTGAGACTAAAAAACACATACAAACATATCAGAGTTATTAAGACAACCAACCCCATATCTACAGACATTATCTAAAGCAAACTGGGTGATAAAGTATTCCCATTGACACAAACAGTATGTTATTAGCAAGTCTAAAAGAAGAATCTGAGAGAAGCAAAAGAGTATATGATAACACAGGATTCTAAAGTACTGCATAAATACTCTCTCTGAAGTGAGTAAGCCCACTGAGAACACTGACTAGGCAGAAGGGGTAAGGCCTCTCTAACAGTCAATGAGGCAAGTATTAAGACCTAAAGAGGTTGAAAATGAACTCTCAAAACCCACCAGCCAAAACTACCTTCTGGGACAAAGTCCCATACTAAGGAATAACACTTTGGGAAAAGAATCCAAGATGGTCAAAACAGAGCCAAATAAAAGTCAAGCTCTAACAGAACAAGGGTTATATTGGGAGGCAAGTGCTGTATTTTTTCACACTTCATGAAATAATAGAAAAGTGCATTCTGGAGTCATGCAATTAGAAAAGCTCCAAATCATTCTTCCCTGTTCCAATTAAGAAAAATGAATATCATGTAAAAACAGTAATAGAGAACAGATAGCAAATCATATGCAAACTTTCTAAAAGAATAAATACATCCCTGAAGACAATGAAAATGTCAGAAGGTAATGTTCACAAAAAGACAAACACTGTAATTGTCTAAAACATGCTAAAATGAGTACTAATACAAGGTATGGAAAACAATGTAAGCCAGAATGACAAAGTTCAGAAATGAGGCAAGATAACTCAGATTTACAAATAAAAGGAAAACCCTTTTGGAAATGAAGACTAAATTAAAAGAAATACTAGACTGAATAAACACAACAGATAATACCTTAAGGGAAATAAAAGATAAAGGGGAAAGTTTAAACACCGAAAAGAAATGGAAAAAACACAGAAAAAGGATGTAATAGATTTCAAATCTAGAAAGCAGTGCAGCTCCAACATAGACATGACAGAAATCCTGAGAAAAGAAAATCAAAGCAAGGAGACAAAATACATATATAATTTAGGGACACGAATCTCTGGGCAACAAAGCCAAAGAGAAGTATAAATTAGTAACAGCCTGGAAAGAGCCAAGAGACCACTGGATATATAACCTTAACCCAGAAATACCACTAGAAGAGAAAAAGAAAGCTCTCCCCCACCCCAACCCAACATTCTCTGGAAAGTGACATCTTTCTAATTCACAATGAACCTTGTGTTGTCGTCTGGTAGTGAAGTCTGTGATTGAAATCTGTTTATTTTAGCTTATTTATATCTTACCACAATTTTTAAAAACATGTTTGAATCCTCAGATACTTTTGGAAGCATAACTCCTTTTATTACTATGAAGCATGAAGTATTATTTTATTTTTTAAAGATTTATTTATTTATGTATACAAAACTGGAGTATAGACCAGAGGTGCAGGGGCATTGAGAAGATTCACCAGAGACAGAGTAGGTAACAGAACAGGCTGACTGACAAAGTATACTGCCAGGGGGTGCAGCAGGAGGGTCAGGAGAGGTCTGCTAGGCCATGTGGGTCACCTCCGGGGCCAGGGATTGAACTCGCACTGAAGCAGCTCACTTGCAGTGCTGTGCTTTTAACCTGTCACGCTACCAGGGAGGGCCCACATGAAGTGTTGTTATGACAGAAAACAGTTAGCCTCCTAAAATACTTGAATCATCATTTATTTCCACGAAGAATTAATCCACTGTTGGAATTAAAAGAAAAATTTAGTTGAAATAAGTGTATTCAAAAAGTTATGTTCAAGAAAAAAAATTTCTAAAATAAAAACCAAGTTTGACATTCACATTGAAAGGGTGATTTCAATGTGAGAATCAAACCAGAACAACCTAGAAACCACAAAGTCATCACCTAAATTACTGTACTTTAGAAACAATTCTTTTGAGGGGTCTAGGAAAACTAATTACATATGTAAGATCAGATATTTTTTACACCACCAGTTTACCAGAGTGAAATAGTCACATATTTAAGATATTTAAAGAAAGAAAATAAGAACCAAGGATTTTTCTAACAGTTTTATTGATATGTATGTGTGTATATACATGAATGCTATATGAGAAACTACACATCACTGAAGTTTATAGTTTAATAAGTTTTCACATGATTTTACATCCAGCCAAATTGACTTTACATATAGAAGCCACAAATTAATAACATGCAGATTAACATCAAGAGAATCCTGGAGACATCAACATAGGAATTGGAGGTAAGAAGAAGAAGTAGAGCTAAGTAAAGGCTTTAAGCATATAATGACTACGTGACCTGACAATAGATTTATATTTCAAGGAAAGACAGAAAGGAAGCAGTATATGCAAAATACATTTAATTATCTTTCCTAATCATATCAATATTGAAAGTACTGGGACTGTTACTTTGACATTTTTTGTGTTTTGTGTAGAATGAAGTGAATGAATAATTAGGTGATGTTATCATTCTATCATTCCCTATGTCCCAGACAACCAGGCTGCTGATATGGAAAAAGTAGACATGGATAGAAGATAAAAAGGGGAAATAAAAGTCTCAAAATCCTGACTATAAACCAGGAGCATAATACCAATTCGTGAGTGATTTTATCTATCTCCATATTGCTATCTATGAAATAAACTTTGTATCATACTACACATTACATCTCAATTTTATCTCAGTCAGCCATACTTACATCTCTGCCAACCTTAAAGCCCGGGAACAATGATGAACTCAGGAGCAGTGACTGTCCCTGGTACCAGATTATGTTTTGAAATGACACATCCCACTAGACTCTTTGGGAAAAAAATTCACTTGGGTCCAGGACAGAAGTATATGATGAGTACCTTGTTAACCCAGGTAATAAGAAAGCTGTAAGACTAGTGGAATTGATTTAAAAGGACTTAAAGAGGTTTATACCGCTGGAGCTGTAAAACAATGCCAATAAGTCCAGAGGATTAAAAAAAAAATATCTTTCTAATAATCTTGACAGTAATGAAGCAAGGATGTTAGATTATTTGTCTATAGGTAATCAGTTAAGTCCCCACTGCCAACCAACCACTCAGTGGATAAATAAACAAGAAGTGTATGAAAGAAAGTTTGCTGACAGTTTGAAGGTCAAGACAGAGAACAGTACACACTACTCTTGATCCCAAGAAATGCCTCTGTATACCAAACTATGACGACTTAAAGAAGTATTTAAATATTCAGGGGGTATGATTGTATAGAACTAAATATCCAGATACTTGTTAAAGAATATTTACCTTATTTAACTTTTAAATTCTTTCTTTGCACAACTGTATAAGATGTCTTCCAAATCAAAGGTAGAACATGCATTTGTGCATGTGTGTATGGCTGATACCAAGTCTATTTTCATGAGTTGGATGTGATCATTGTGAAAGATTTTTCAAATACTACTTATGAAAACAATTTATGCTTAAATAATATGTGAAATAACACTTAGAAAAATGCAGTCAACTACTATCAAAGAGAAAATTTCAAAATAATTTTGATTTCTAAAATTAAAATTACTCTATCAAGTCATAGTTAATGGACATGTGCATCTAGAATATTTTAAAGACATGTAAAAGATGAATTATGATAAAATTAAAATTAAAAATTTACTTAAAACACACACAATACAGAATAAAAAAAGGTATGAAGATCTGAACACTGCCACAAGGTAACTTTTTACTGTGAAGGTAAACAAGCTAAAGTAAAATAATATTTGTTATTTCACCTTTATTTATTGTGGCAGATAAAACTGGTTTTTAAGGAAGTCACTTACCAATAAATGGTTCTCCTTCACACACAAACAAAACATCATCATCCCTGGGAAAATCAAAATTTAAAAAAGCCACCATCAAAATCCAGAATCATGTTACTGATGTGTTGACTAGAGCAACTAATCCTTAAAATTATGAAGCATTCATAGTTTAGAAGGTTGGCTTTGTTATCTATGTATATTGCAAAGAACTTGACGTTTATTTTAGTATTCTGCTTCACCCCGACTTAATTGTATTTGGATGTAATTCCTGCCCAACCAAGAAAGCACTTTTGAAATGGAAAAATAACAACCAAAAAAAGCCATTTAGAAATTATGTGAATTCAACTTTCTCATCAACTGGAGATAGTATTATTATACTCAAAGGTTATGACTACAGCCATAATCAACTTTTTATAAAAATTTTTTAACCCTAAAGAAGTTATTTAGGTTTTCTACTAAATTGTGAGCTGCTCTGTGCTTTGGAAATGAAAATAAATTTTCATATTAAATCTATGAAAAACATGGGACTATAATTGCTGTTAGGTACTGACCCACTCTATACTCGCCACACCCCTAAGTATAATGACTGTGCATAGCCATAATTCTGGATTACTGGTGTATCTCCTCCTTTCCTGTCCACCTTTAGGACAAATAGATGATCAGAGATTATACTGTGAACCACAAACTACTGCAAAAGTATCTATTTCATAGTTCAAGACTCAGTTATGAGTGTCGATGTTGCAGAGGTTTTAGTTTTCTAGAAGATATCATTAGAACACATTGACTTTTTCTTAGAAGCAAAGCCTGCACTTAAGGAGAAAATTAGGATAATTGAGATCATTCAAAAATGTGACTTAATAATCTCCAAAAACTGAAAGAGGCTGGGAGATAAATACTAAAAAAATCAAGAAATCTCCTAATTTGTTTGGATTTTAAATGTACCCTATAATCGTATTTATTTTTAGTATGAAAATTTGTTTTCTTATAACAAAACCAACTGTATGACCTGCGTAAGTTACTTTACTTCTCCGATACTTAGTTTCCTCCTTGGTAATATAAAGGGATCGGAGGGGATTAATTTCAAAGATAATATATTATAATAAAAGATCATTCTGACCTGGGCTTAAACAAAAATTATATTTTATATGCTATAACAATTTAGAGCATCATTATCCTTACACCACTAATTACAAATAAAACTCATGCCTGCCAATTAAATATCTTGGGCAAAGTAATTACATTAACTGAACACAGTCATCATTTAATTTGTTTTCCTTTCCCACCTTCTTTGTTAAGTCTCTTTGTGATCTGTGAGGATGGAATGATCTTATGATAAAAAAAATCTGTGATCCTAGGAGGATGGAATGTGGTGAAGTAGGTACTTGTTTTAAACAAATAAATCTATCTGGGATATTAAAACAAATAAAAAAACTGCTATTGCAGTAAATCTACAGTCCTAAGATGTATTAGCGAGCCAGTTCTGAAGATAAACCTGCATGTGCATTTAGTGACATTGTTTAGCTAGCAACCTGACAAAAAGTTAACCTTCTAATGCTTTCAGTGCTCTACATTAAAAAAAAGATTTATTTATGCACACAAGAACTGGGGTACAGGCCAGTGGTATGTGTAGGGGGTCTGAGGGGTGAGGGGCGGATGGAAATGAGAGGATTCACCAGAGACAGAGTGGGGAGCAGAACAGGCAGATTTGCTGAAATACACTGCTGAGGGGAGAGGCAGGCAAGACAGGAGAGGTCTGCTGTGCCATGTGGGTCATCTTCCTGGCTGGCAATCAAACTCCTGCTACAGTGGCTGTGGAGAGCTTCACAGTGCTGTGCTTTAACTGAGCCACCAGGGAGGGCCTCAGTGCTTTACATTTTATTAAAAATTCTGCCATAATTCACAAATTTCATTGAAGTAGCTCTCTGTGATATAAAAACTTAAAGCATTCTCAAGGAACATATAATAAAGCAGTAGCAAATGAATTTAAAGCAACCAATTAGATTTCTAACACTAAGAATGTATGTCTTAGAATATTCATCTCTAATAACATAAAGAAGAGGTTCTTCCTAGCCCAGATGCACTATGCAGAAAGATTATCAGGAGCATCCCTGGTAGGCTATGGGTTAAGTGGCAACACGATCACCCTGAAGGCCTGAGTTCCATCCCTGATGCCTTCTGCTCCCCTTAGTGTATTTCAGTAAATCCACATATTCTGCTCCCCACTCTGTCTCTGGTAAGCTCTCTCCCCCCCTTAACCTTTGGCCTACACCCCATTTCTTTGAATAAATAAATAAATCTTAAAAAAAAAAAAAAGGTGATCAGTATATTGGGAAGAATGTATTGAGGTTTTCTATCTGATCAATATACCCTAAGTTCAAGTAATTTAAATTCCAAAGGTCAAATTCTATGCATGCATTTGCCAAAATCCTGTATTAACAGTGACTAAAATGAATGCTTAAAGCAAAAGCATAGCAGCAAGAAGCCGAGGGCACAGCATAGACAGCTTACAAAAAGGTAACGATTTACCTGATCAAAGCAATATCATCAATCAGTCCACCTTTCCCATTATACACACTGGTGGCTTTTATGCCGAGTTTACTGCTGGCCACAGAAAGCAAATCAGATAAAGTTCCATATACAGCAACCACCTGTAAGCACACAAGATTAATTTGAACAACTTACACAGTGAAATTTCATGACAGGAAATGATAAATCACACCATAAACAGAATTAAAAAATCAGATTATTATATAAAAGCAGATTTTAACAAGGTTCAGATTATTATATAAAAGCAGATTTTAACAAGGTTCTTAACAGTGTTCCTTTTTCTTCTATGATGTAAATATTTACTTAGTGCCTAAAGTTACTGAAATCTAAAACTAGAGGGGGGGAAAAAAAACATCTTTAACTGAAAACAATCTACAATGTTTGGTATGTTAAATAGAGGCTTGATTCTGTAGACCTGCATTTGAATTTAGATTATGACATTTTCTAGCTGTTGACTTTGACCTCATTTACCCTTTATGCTTCTGTGTATTTAAGTTTTTTTCCAGTGACATGTTAATTTTAAAAACAAGCCACACAGTATAAAAACAATTCTAAAGTGATACATCTCTAGAGCAAGTCCTCTGCCTTAGTCCTCAGAAAAGTAATGAAAGTGAATGTCTTTAGATAATGGACTGATGGCTGACTTATTTTCTTGGTGAATTTTTGTTGTTTTCCAGATTAAACTTGTATGACTTATGCAACAGAGGAGAATAAATAAGTTACTTTAAGAAACCTTCACAAAAATTATTTTAGCAGTTGTTAAATTCTAGCAATTTAACACCTGCCTTTAAATGAAATAACCAGAAGGCCATTAATTTGAGAAAACAGAAATTAATGCAAAGAATGTTAGAATTCTGTAGATGTTGTAAACGTCTAAATTTCCATTAAGTTGGGTCAAAATACAAATTGTTCACTGGAGGTTATTTCTGACATTTGCTTTCCAACTAGATCACCTTAATTTGATTCTTCTGAGTATACTAATATGATATTATCATGCAAATGCAGCTTCTATAAAGGAATTAGGATATTAAATTTTAAAACAGATATAGATCAACACACAAGTGTGAAACACATGAAAGAGATTTTTGAGTTGGTGAAAAAATTTCAAACAGACTGGCACATGTATCTTTCTTTATAGATCTTTGGTGGGAAAAGGCAGCAATAGAAAATCTGTGTATCATGGATGTGATTTGTTCCATGCTCTGCCTTAGTCCTCAGAAAGGTGATGATGCTTACAGTGGCTATTTGCTTCATGGGCTTTACTCCTTGGTGTGGTGTGGACTTAAAAGTCTCACATCACTGTGGCTATCTACTTTAATAACCTATGCACTCTCTAGAATGAAAGCAGCCCGTGGAGTAAACTGAGGATGTTTATTAAAGTAGAAGATCAGTGTTGTGTTACTTTTTAACTTAATCCTTCCTAAATTTCAGATCCCATAGAGAAAGTTACCTACCATTTGGGCTAAGTAACTGACAGAACATATCAGCTTAATGAGGCTTTAATTGCCTTTAAACACCATTTCCAAATTATAACCTGTTATTTAAGTTAAAAAATTAAAGCCAGCACATGAACTCATTTTTCTCATGTCTCCAAAATATCTATGATACAATATACAGTCAATACATAGCTAAATAAGATAATGAAAGTGACCCATATTCCTACTGGTAGGATGGAATCAAACTGTATCACAGTAGAATTTCGTTTCAGCACGTTTGCGGTGCATATCATGTTACGGTCAAATCACTCCTCTCTAAACACAGCTGCCTTAATAAAAATGCAGGATGCCATGTGCTATGGTGTTCTCTTCTGTCAAATAAGAGTAATTATAATGTTACTGTTTATCCAACTGAAGGAAGAAGAAAGGAAACACTGATATAGCTTGGAATGTGTTCTCCAGTTTAGTAATGATACTGATATGCCTTAGTTTTAACGATGATTTTATAAAGTAATATTCTCCAGCTTGGGTTTTTATGACATAAACATATTTTATAACATAAACGTATTTATCTGTAATTACTTGAGCTGCTATTCCCCCAATCTTCTGAGGTATGCTGGCAAATATATAAAGCAAATAAAATTTAAGTCCCCAAATGTAAGCTAGTTAAAACTAGCTTAAAAGAATTTTATTTAAAATAACATGTCAAGACTAGCACAGCCAACTTTAACAAAAATATGATTCAGTTTCAGAAGAGAGTTAAAGCATAATTAGTTATAACTGGTTAAACATCCAGCCTTTCATGGAATAACAGAGATGTCTAAAAGGCCTCTCCAATCAGAGGCCTCTTTTTGAGAATATACAACTTTAGAAAGACTAAATCATTCTTTCACTAACAGCAGTGAAATCCTATATTGTGAAAAACTAAACAAGGTTGTTTAAAAAAAAATGATGATGATAGTAGCTAAGGACAGACAAAACGGATTTAGAAAAGGTTAATGGTCAGAAGTAATATCTATCTTGTGAGGCATAACCAGAGGTAATATTTATAAAAACTCAAGAACCTGAATTTCTATCAGATCTGTTTTCCTATGTGTAGAAACTTTCTAAAGTCAAAGGAAACAAAATTAGTCAATTAGTCAATGTACCGTGCTGTAATTCAGACTTTTATAGCAAGTTTACTGCAAACTGTAGAGTCAGCTGGCAGCTGGAAATTTTTTTTTTTTTTACACCACTGCACAATTATGTTTATTAAAAACTTACTTTTCCAAAACAGGCAGGAAACAAAGTATTCTGAGGTCAGTTTACCTTTACCTTGGACAGAACTACTTCCGGGTATCTTTTAGCTACACCAAGTGCCTGCCTGCCTTGTACAGTCAAATTTTCCAAAGAAACCGAACAACTTTCATGGGTGGGGCCAGACAAGGAGCAGGATCATTCTGTCGTGCTCCAGCCAGGAAAAATATTTAGTACCACACCCTCAACAAAGGCCCAGCACGCAAGGTAATGCCAATCAATCCACTTCAATCTACGGTCAGCGTTTTAGTTCTCGTGAATAAAAGCAAGGCTGTTCAAGTAATAAAGTCCCAACAGAAGTTCGGCGGCAGCGGCGGAGCCTGGGCTCCAAAAAGTAGAGGTGCAGGGGGCGGGGGCGTGTGAGAGGCATCCAGAAAAGGTCCCTAACTTCTCATGCTCTATTTGACCTAGGATGGAAGGATATTTTACTCATTGGCACCGATTTGATTCCTTTTACCTGATTTTCCTCACGTGCCTTAGTCATCACCACTTTCTGGAACAGACCATTACTCAGCACGAAGGTGGAAACTGGCACTTTTTCCGGCCAGGGGTGAAGGAAAAGGGTCGGGGGGGGGGCAGCGGGGTGTTCGGCGGTGAGTGGGAAGAGGAACATCAGCACCGAGCGCTCAGGGGACAGCGACCCTCCCCACGCACCCCGCGCCAAGTGACCCACACCTGGACCCGGCAACCTAAAGAACCAGCTGACCTTTGCGGGTGCCCAGGGCCGCTGGGGAGGGCAGGCCGGCTGGAGCTGGAAACCTCCGCAGGAGGCCGCGGGGAGCGCGATCGCCTCCAGGACACCGCACCCCGCGCACGCCCACCTCCCGGCCCCTCTCCCCACTAGAGTCTTCTGCCCAGAGCCCGTTCCGCACTCCGCTGCCCTCGCCCCCCGACGCCGGCCCCCAGCAGACGGCCGGCTCGCCTCCCCCTGGCCCCCTTACCTTTCCATTCTTGGGGCTACCGTTCAGGAACAGGGTCACCCGCCTCATCGCGCTGCCCCCGCCAGGTTCGGAGGGAGCCGCCACCCTCCCACCTGGCTCTCCTCCCACCTTTTTCCTCTCCTGCCCTTCCCCTCCCTCCACCCACTCGGACTCGCCCCCCTTCGCCACCTTCCTTCCCTTGCAGACACAGACACACACAGACACACACGCACAGACGCACGCACACTCCGTCCCACACCCCGGCTCGGCCGGTCCTCTTTCCCACCCCGCCCCTGGGCTCCGCAGCCAGCCTGGGGCCCTTCCCCCATCGCGCCAGACGGACACTAAGTTCCACCAATCAGCCGGCAGCGCCCGTCGGCGCTCAGCCAATCACCATGCTGCCTGGGGTGGACCCCGGCTAGCCCCACCCAGGAGGAGGGAGGGAAGAGAGGCGGCCGTGTAGTAGACAGGAAGGGTTATCAGTCAATCAGAGACGAACCTGCAGCTCGACGGCGGCCAAAGCAGTTACTGAGCAGGCGCAAACTCAACAGCAGGTAGCCCTCATCTGCATACGGAGGCGGGGCTTGAGGGAAGAAGGTGGGGAACTGGAAATGACCAACACCAGTGAGCGTCTGCCGGATGTAACCCCGCCCACTCTCCACCCACAAAGGAAAGGCGGCAGTTGGGACTGGCTGATTGGGTAAGAGCCAGCCTGGCATTCTGTCAGGATTGGTGCAATGGTTCTTTTCGAAGTTTGCAGCATCCAATCGAAAGGTGGGGACGGGTGTCTCGCAACACTGCCCGAAGGGTTCCTCCGCAAGATTCTTACGGAAAGTAGTCCCGACGGACTCCCGTTAGAAGTTTCGCTGTCTGGTTTGGGGTGAGCTGCGACACGCGGGGGCGTCAGTCCTCGCCCACGAGGCCACCGCTGTCCCTGGGACAGTGAGGTAGAGGCTTGGGAGGGTTCTCGGTGCGCGCGGACACGTGCGGCTGCGGCGGAGTCGCCATCGCAGAGTAACGCCGGCGGCGAGGGGCGGGGCCGAAGATTTGAATCCGGCGGCGGGCTGCGGCGAGCGGGCGCTGGGCTTGGGTTTGGGGGTCCCTGACGTGTGTGTGGCCCCTGTGGAGCGAACCCTTCGGAACCAAAGAGCGGAGTCTGAGCAGGACAGCCCGACAGCCACCTGCGGCCGAGTGTTCAGAGTCAAACCAAAGAGGAGCTCCAGGCTCCGGGAGTGAGAGGTAGGGCGAGTGTCCTGGTTTAGTGTCAAATTTAGTACTGCAGAGCTTCTGTTTGGCGTGTTTCTCACGGTGTTCTTCTGCTAACCCTGCTCACGGTGTTAGTGGTTGTCCAGCGACTTGCGCTGGATTCATTCGTGGGCTCCTTGTAAACTGCAGATTCAGGGGTTCCAGCAAGACCGGGTTGGAATTTCTGGACATTTGCATAGCTGCATCTTGAGTACAGAATCCAGAGGATCCAGATGTTCGCCAAGGTTGAAAAGGAAATGGCTTGTAGCAGTTTCCTTTAAAGTACCCTCTGGATATTGTTTTCATGCTAGCATAGATTGCATTAGAATTAGTCTCGAAAGAGGATTTTGATTGGACCACATTAACTTTGAGGGTAATTTTTCGTCTTTTTTCTCGCCATCTAGATGAATACCGATTTAGAAGGCAAGGAATCCCCTGCAATCGGAGAGTCTGCCGTTAATGATGGTGGTATGTAGTGATCTCTTGCCTCTGTGGAATTTCAGGCCCAGACATTCTTGATGGGAACATTTCACCTTCATAACATGTTGTCTCTTTCAGAAAAAGCCTCTTTCATTTTGGAAAGTAAATTTGTAACTCCTCAGAAGCAAGCAGCAGAGGTGACTCCCTATCTTTGCACACCAGACACCTTTAAGTCACCTATGAACTTTTCCACTGTAACTGTAGAGCAGTTGGGAATTACACCTGAAAGCTTTGTGAAAAACTCTTCAGGTAAGAAATCTGTCATTCTACTGCAGTGCTTTTAAAGTTTTAAAAGTAACTTTAATGTAACACTTTTATACATCAGTTTGTGCCTTTTAATCACTTTCCCTATCTAAGTTGATTGACTGCAATCTTCTTGATTAAGGAGACCTGGGTGCGTGCCCTATTCTGAATAACAGGGTTGTGGGGTCCCAAGTGAGACTACTGGGGTAACATTGTTAAGTGACAGCTGTGGTCCTTGCCTAGACAGGAAAAAGATTGTGTGCATGTGTGAATTATTAATAGTTTTTGATCTGATGCCTGGGATATATTGATTACTTAAGTAAGTAATGTGCTTATGTTTTATTGAGATGTGGCCTGAAGAAGAGATCGTTGAAGGGCAATTGAGAAAATAGGACATTGAAAGATTGGGGTATGCCTCTTTTGAAATCACAAGTAGAAAATGGACTCAGGCTAATCTCTTACTTCAAGGAGCTGAAATAGAATCCATTTGTGAAATCTGATTTAGAGGGAAAAAAGAATGGAACTAAAACAACATTTAGAAGGTGAGGGATTTGAAAATCAAGTCTTTAGCTAGGTAACATGCACGAGGCAAGACCGGAATGACACACCAGTCTTTGTTCTGTTCTCATCAAAAATATCTCTGGGAGGCCTTTAAAAAGGTGGATTTATTTTTTCTGTTTAGGTAGACAGTCAGAATTCAGGGCAGTGTGTTGAAGGTACATAGGTATCTGTGAGAACCGTGGAGGAATGAAGAGCATGAGTGTATGGGTGTCCAGGTGGAAAACTGTCCTCTTAGTCCAAGGCCAGCCGTGACCCACCTCTGGGCAGGGAATGTGAGCCTTAAATGTACTTTTGTGTTTATCCCAACATTTGCTCTTGTTTTTATTCCAGTAAATGACTTCCATGTGTCAGGCTCTATTTAAGGAGTGTGGAATAAATCAGCAGGGCAAAGAACCCCTGTCCAGCTGATCTTGTAGGAGCCACTTTGCCCATAATTCTCTGGATTTCTGTATCACATGCTTAGTCATGTTTCCCCTCACATCGGTACTTGGCTGGAATTCAGGCCTCAGTTTCTTGTATTGACCCAATTTGGAGTCTTCAGTCTCATGTGGTACATAGAGAAAACATGTAAATGGTTGAACTAAATAGAACAAATTTTAGACTGAAAGAGCAAATAGCCACTGTTGAGGTCTCAGTGGTTGATAAAATTGGATATTAGGGATCTGTTCTATAATGGAAGGTGGAATTGGACTTTTACTGATAAATTTAATGATGTATATCCACATGTTGATTACTTTAGTGATGCATACCTGAAACATATAATGTGGTGCAAAGTTAATTAAAAAAGAGAATTTTCATTACAGGCAAGTCATCGTCCTACCTTAAAAAATCCAGACGCCGCTCTACTGTTGGTGCTCGGGGTTCTCCTGAAACAAATCATCTTATTCGTTTCATTGCTCAGCAGCGGAATTTGAAAAATGCAGCAAAATCTCCTTTAGTGCACAGTTCCCCTTTTCAGGTATGATTTTTCTTCTGGATTCTGTCTTGGATTCTTCTGGAGAAAATGTTTATGCTGTATTATAAAACTTGTGCATCGTTTCTAATCTTCTGGTGCATCTCATCTGTGTTAGATCTGGACAGATTTTTCTGTCTTATAGAGATGTGCAGTTAGCATAATGTGATGTTGAGCATAGATTTTATAAGTGTTATGAGATACTGAATGGCTTTCTAGAGCAGCTTCTGTTTTGCAAAGTCTTTTCTAGCTCATGCCTACTTTTCTGTGATGAGGGAACTCAGGGTTTCTGGATCTTTTCCTTCTAAGATCTTGCCTCTAAGAAACTAGTGTTTTCATGACTTCATGTGTCGGCATGTAGGGGAAAGAGTCCCGTAGAACAAAATACATTTGGGACAACCTTGTGGAAGGGGGTAATTATTTGATGATGTAGAAGACATTAGATATTTTTTGAGATTTCTGCAATTATACAGTTTCTTAAAAAGTTCAAATAAAAGTAATAGGATTTACATAATGGTTATTAAAGGCTGAATGTGAAAGGCGTAGTGCCAGCTCACCCTTGAAGGATGATAGCCTGCTCGGCCTTCCTGCTTTAAAATACACTTACAGTACAGTGGTTCTCAAGGTTCGTCTGCAGAGCCCAGAGATCCTGAGTCCTGACTCCTCTGTATATCTGGTGGATTTTATTTTATTCACACATTGGGATTATTGTTCCAATCTAGTGTAGAAATCTAATTTGGAAATATTTTCCATCAATTTTGGAGACATGACTGTAGTGTAGTTTACCACAGAGGTCAACATTCCACCTATTCATTCATTCAACAAATATTTTAGTTTCCCATCCTTTGTGTGGCCTGCTTTTTCAATGCTGGAAGCTATGTTTCTTGTATTATAAAATTTCATGAGTGGGTGTCTTCCATTTGGATTATTGAGAACACGATAGTTCTGTTAAAGTTTTCTCCTATTAAAGTTTATCTCATAGGATCTCTCCCTACATTACATTTTGTGGCCTGGCTTTTCAGACTCTCTCATGCTCAATTCTTTCTCCAGATGCCTGGGGATCCCTCATTTTTCATATTAAAAGTAGGGTACTTTACAGTCTTACTGGAGCTCAATGTACAACTTTGGGTTTGTGGACTGGTGGATTTCCACATGGGACAAGGCCACTTTTTCATTGGAAGGTGTCATTGTTTACTGGGTGAACTTGGAAGGAGTCCCGTTATGGTGCAAAGCCTTTATCCTTCAGTTTTTCCTAGAGTTCTAAAGCCCTGAATACCTGTGTTCTCTCTGAAAAGCAAAAGCTCTTCACCCCACTATTTTTGACTTTACAGCGTATTAAACCTCTGTAATCAGAAGTTGTGAGAGAAGATTATGATAACAGAACTTGATAAATGTTATCACTGCTTTCATATGGTTAAGTTTAGGGTTTTTTTTTTTTTTTTTAAAGATTTATTTATTTATTCGTACAGAACTGGGGTACAGGCCAGAGATGTGGAGGGTGAGAGGATTCACCAGAGACAGAGTGGGGAGCAGAACAGGCAGATCGACGAAGTACACTGCTGAGGGGAGCAGCGGGCGGGTCAGGAGAGGTCTGCCTCGCCATGTGGTCACCTCCGGGGCAGGCAGGGATCGAACTCATGCAGAAGTGGCTTCAGTTTCTCAGTGCAGTGCTTTAACCCGCTGCGCCACCAGGGAGGGCCCAGTTTAGGGTTTTTTGATATTGAGTCCTGGAGGGCTTTTTGCTGTTGGCATGCAAGACATGTTGCTCATTGTAGAAAATAAATTATATGCATGAAAAAATACTTGGCATAGTCAAACTTTAAAAAAGAACCTTACAATTTGACATATTCTTTGCTGTCTCATCCAATATATTTATAAATATGCAGATTTTAAAAAGGGTTATAGTTTACGTGAAGTTTAATGACAGAACCTTCCTTGTTTTTGAAGTGGTCTGTGGGTTCCAGTGCTGATAGTTTCAGCATTGTTTCCGCCGTGAGTCCTGCCCTTGACCCTGGTTTGGTCAAGATTCGCTGGTTTTGTTCAGATTCCAGAACCTCTTGGGGGTCTGCCTGTTTCCTGTTATCCAACCTCACCAAAGAGCTTCTCTTCATTTAGCTTCAGCTCTCTCAGGCCTAAGTCATTTTCTGTTGACAGTACATATTTGCTTAATTTTTTTTCTCTCAGTTTTTAAAGTCATATACATCTGCACGTTATTACCACAGCTAATATATCAGGTCTGTGCTTGTAAGACTTACTTGAATCTAGGATTGTTAAAAAAAATAAGGACTTTTTTGAGTTTTTGTGATATTTTCCTTTTACATTGATATTTTCCTTTATTGTAAATGTCCTTGGAGGTTTTTTAGTGATTGTTACAACTTAATCTTTCAGTTTGTGTCTGTTCTCTTTCTTTGATAAGCAAATTCATTGAATGTGTGAATAAAGTCATTTAAGATAGCTACATATTCTAATTTACTGACATGTTCTAAAGATAAACTATAAAGTTTGGTAAGTATAAGGGCTTGTACGTACACTAAAATAATTCTGAAGATTTTGTCCATCTTAGGGGGGAAAAACACTTCAGAGGGGGAAAGTCCAGCATTACTCCTGTTTTCTTTATTGAGTGCATCTGCAGTCACTTGGCACAGTCTAGCACCCGGGTCGTGGCAGGTTCTGACTTCTGTGGTGCCAGTGACCTTGTTCTCTCTCTTGCCATATCCATCCCCTCCAGCGCTCACTTGTGTGTCACTGGAAATCGTTCTCAGCATCTCACTCCCTGCATTTCATCTCTCCTGGTCACACCAGCATTAGATGTTTACATCATTGTGACCATGTAAAGTGTTCTGAGCTGATTTTTTTCCCTGGCAGCTACCTTTTAATGTTGCTTAACTATTCCCAGACCCTTGCTGTTTCCCATTTCTGTGCTTCTCCATTGCAGTAAAGGTCTCTGACCAGGACTTCTTGCCTCCTGTCTGTCCTGTATGGCTGGCCACTCCGCTAGGCTTTTGTTTCTGCCACTCATGGACCACAAATGGTCTGTACTTTGTTAAGACACAGTTTAAATCTAAGTATGCTTTGACCACACCTTTAGTAGCTCCTGATGGGCTGTACCACACCCTGTTGTAAACCCTGTTCACTTGGTTTCTGGGATACCACACTGGCGTGTATCACTGGTCATTTCTCCTGCTTCATTTGCTGGTTTCAGCTATAGCAATTTTTCCTCAAACAATGTTTGAGGTAATGCTTCCTGTGTCTTGTCTTTGCTTTCCTTAAGAGTCTACTCTTTTCTGGTGGCTTTGAACATTATCTGTAGACTCAAGACTCAAATGGCCCAAAGCTTCCTAGAACTCTGGAGCTGGAGATCTAGTTGCCTGCTCATTATCTCCGCTTGGGTGTTTTAATAAATATTAGACGGCCACAGCCAAGCTACAGTTTTCCACTCCCACCAGCTCCTCCAGTCACTTCTCCACTTTAATATTTTGCCATCATCTTCCAGTTACTCAAGTTAACATAACCTGTCATTATCTTTTGGGGTCCATTGCCAATGTCTTCCTGTAATTCCTATGTCCCTGCAGCTCTGAGCTTCAGCCTTACTATCTTTACTGCCTGGGTCACCAACTGCTTTATTCTGACTGCTCCCTTTACTTCCTTCCTTCCTTAATACACCCATCATTTCACTGAGCAGTCAAAGACATACAGTTAAAAGAGAAATCAAGTCACCCATTCATTCTGCTGCTTAAACACCTTCCCGGGGCTTCCTGCTAAGAGTAGAATTAAACCCAAGTCCCTTGTTGAAGTTTTTTTGGCCCCTCTGGCCTGAACCCTGCCTGATCTACTCAGCTCCCCATCCCCTGCCATTCCCTGGGCAAACTGACCATCTTCCTGTCACATCCTGTTTCTGCTCGAGGGCTTTGCTCTTCTTCAGATTGCCCTCTACCCCACTGTCTTCTCTTAACTACTCATTTCTCATTGTTTTCAGTTGTGACTTCAGATAGACACTAAAGCAGCACTTTTAGTTAATCACCTTATTTGTATTTTCTCAATAGTACGTGCATCTGAAACTATATTAATATGTTTTCAGAATTTTACTCAAGAAAGTAATTTCCCACCTGTATGCTGAGCTCTCGAGCTGTTTCTGGTACGTGGAAGGAATGCTATACACTGACCAGCACAAAGACAAAAACAGCAAAAAGCAGTACATTTGGATATTTCATTTGCTTTTTACATATGACCATTGTTCTCATTCTCCATCAGGAAATAGAGAAGAAACAGTTTTGATAAGGGATTTTAATTTGCTTTAAGTACTTTTTCAAAGTGCCCAAATAATGAATGTCACGTGCTCTTTATGTCATAAAGGTTTACATCATCAGCTACATTTGATTTTCATATGTTCTGTTATTATGTAATAGCGTTTGTTTTATGAATGTATTTAACTGAGAAAAAAAATCAAACATGGGAGAGAGTCACCATCAAACATGACTGCAACAAGATTTTAACTGATTTTCTTCCACCCCTTAGAGGGAGGTAATTTTTTTATTTTAATGTTTACCTGTTGATAGATTTTTTTAAATGGTCGCTACCTCCAAATAGTAGCACTCTGTTTGGCAGAATGATGAAGGAAAATAAAATGAAAAAACTGGATAAACAGCTTAATTGCTAATTTATTTCTGTGGTAAACTGAATTCTTAAATTATGTATTACATGGATTTATCCAGCATTTCTATCCCTGTTAGCATGAATTTCTTGATTTGACTGGCTAAAGTCCTGTTAGCATAGTTTCTAGAGAATGGCTATGCTTAATCGACCATCCAGCACTTTGAATTTTCACTGAATCCTGGCTGGCTTTTTATTCCACAGAGGTGAGGTCCCATGAAATCAGGACCATTTAACTGAGGAAAACCCAAGGAGAGAGGGTGACTGTGAGGGTGGGCATCTCGGGGAAAGAGTGTGAGGACAGCAGTGAGTAACTAGAATAGCTTGGAATCAGCTTGTAACCTGGGAGCTACACTTGCCAATGGTATCATGCTGATGATTTTCAATAGCTATTTTAGCAAACCTTTGGTAAAATGTCCACATTGGCAGCCTGGGTTCTTTCTTTCCCTTTCCTTGTCCCAGCGCCAGGGTTCAGTTATTTCCTGGAGTTCTCCACGTCTCTTAGACGGGCCTCATATGGCAAACATCTTTCCTGCAAACATGATGTACTGAAGCTATCTAGGTTTGGATTCTAAGAGGCGAAAGAGAGCCAGAAAGAATCCTTTCTAAGCGTTGGCTGGCTCCCAAATACTTGGGGGTGTGTTTTATCAGGGAACCTTTGGAGTGTTTCCTATCGCCTCCAGACCGGACTGGCTCATGGATCTGCTCTTGTCAGCATTGACCATGAGGCTCTTCCCCTTGGCTCAGGTTTTACTAAAAATGGGCGGAGCAGTAGGGAAACTGCAGTGATGTCCGTGCACAGTTCAGCTAGCTGTGTGAGGCTCAAAGAAGGGGGGGCTGCGCTCAACTCCTTTTTGATCTTTAAAAAGACTTTGTGTGTTTAGTTTTGGGTTCAGTGTTTATAGGCCTAAACTCTAGTACCTATTTAATTTTATTTATAATACCCTTCTTATCTCTATTTCCACAGAGCAGCCCTGGTCTATATCGAAATGTCAATTCTTTAAGGGAGCGAATATCCGCCTTCCAGTCAGCTTTTCACTCCGTAAAGGAAAATGAGAAAATGACTGAAATCTCAGAGGCAGAAGGAGAGTTTGAGACAACAGACCAGAGTAAGTAGGGAGAATTCAGTCAGTTTGGACTTATTCATTCAGATGGGCTTCTGATATGTCTAAAAAACTCATTTCATAGTGTAAAAGCAGTCCTTCATAGCACAGTTCTATTTCTAAATGAAGCCTGACATTAAACGTTGAGACACTTTATACAAAAATCTGGATTTCGCATTTTTCCACATTTCCGTATGCTGCAATTAAGTTTTAAGTGTTAAAAATGTTGGGACTGATTAGCTCATTTCATCTTATGAGATAATTTTGAATGTAAAAACCTTGCTTTCTAAAAGATTATTAAGTTTGGCAAGCATTTGTGTGGTTGTCAAGCTCCCCATTGGGGCTGTATAAATTGATGTGTCTAATCTGACATAGTAACAGCTAGGCATATTCTTTGCAATAACTTTTAGAATGTGATTTTATTCTGTTACATTTAATTTTCTAAGTACATAGCATTTCGAACACCAGAATTAGACAAAGTCGTGTCCTTATTGTAATTATCAGAACCATTCCTCTCATGGTTCTCTACACCCTAATGTTCCGAATGATTTTGTTTGGTTTCTTGAACCATCTTCAAATACATTCCAGCACCTCCTTGCTTGCATGCAGAGTCTCTTGCAAGACTGACATTAAAGCCAGGAAGACCTAAGTCCAGTTCTTCTACAGCTCCTGTCTGTGACCCACTGCTAGGACTCCTTTGTATATGCCGTCTGTAATTTGTCTTTTTTTTCTGCTTTAATCTGAGCTTTAAAGTATTTTATTTGCATAATCACTAGAACTTTGCTGATGATTAAAATACCTGTTTGGGAACATGATTTGGTACCTTTAGGAAGAACTGAGGCATGTTGTGGCTTTTTCATAAAATCACACATAACCAAAGCCAGTGTTAGATTAGAATTACCACCATTAAAATGCTCAAAAGGTTTCATTGTAAATGTGAAGACAGAATGAGATACCATCTCAGAAACCCCAAAGTATTTTTTAGCATGACTTCGTAAAAAGTATGAAAAACATTAATTCTGGCAGTTAAATTTATTAGTTTTTAGTAGTCATATTCTCTTGCCTTTCAGTTAGAGTGGCTTTTTTGAATAAGAGTTTCTTTTAGTTAATAAGCTCAGACATTAAATTTTGCTAACATTATTATGATGTATAAAGTTTTAAAGTGATGTTATATAAAAAATAGTTATGCCTTTGTTTTTGGCTATATGTTCCTTTTTGTAAATAGCCAAAAAACGAAGTGTTGGTGAGTGTCAACAGTGTGAGTTCCCTGCAAAGTTGTCATCTAAACGTCGGAGACTATCCTCTCAGAGCAACTCTGAAGAGAGTCTGACTGATGTGCTTGACCTCCAGACCTTCAGTGCTGTTACTTCTGCTGATACAGACAGAGCATGTGCTGCCGAGACGTCGCTTGCCGAGTTTTCTGAGGTAATTTCTTGCTGGAAACAGAAAAACGGAGCTTTGGTTTTCTGACTAGGCAGTTTTAAGAATGTCAAAATCTTTATTTCAATTATAGCAACTAGTTCTGCAATATTACTCAGTCATGGGTTTTGATAGTGTTTCCTAGTAGTTAATTTTTGTTAGTTGGCTGTTTGATAGACCAGTTTGATAACTGTTGCTTTTGGTTATGAAGACCTTTGTGAGCAGGTAAAGTCTGTGGTCTTCTACAGGCTGCTGTTCTGGATGCTCATGGTACAAGAGTGAGAGACCGTTCTCCTTAGTCTGAGGATCCTATACTTCAGTCTTGCTCCCCTAATTGATCTAATGCTGGCTAAGAAGCAGGGTGCTATTTAGTGATGAGTTTTATTTGCTCTGTTCACTATTTCAACTATAGGATGTTGTTTTTTTCTTACTATAACTACCTACAGCCTGTTGTCAAGATGACCAAAAGATACTAATATGAATTAAAGATTTCTGAAGATTCTTGATCTTCACTCAAATGTCAGTGGGGAGTTGGTTCTCTCTTAGCTGACTTTCTCTCTCATACTGTTAGTTCTGGTTTGATACGGCAAGTTCCTGTTTCTTCAGTGAGAGGAAACACCTAATGCTGTCAGCATTGAACTTTTCTCCTGCACCTTCTCTGTCACACAGTATATGTCCTTTTGATCTTATCTAGACTGACATAATGTTTGATAATCATTGAAGAATCTTTAGGATCTAGTAGATTTCATTTCTGATTCAGAATTGTATTGTAATGTCTTCTGCTGGATTCTACCTAATGTGTGAAATAATCACCCAGCAGTACCAGTAATAATTGTTCGTTAGAATTTGATTATTTGGACATCCATCACGAGCAGAAATGGTTTCCACGTGCATGAGTGGTTTCTATTCTGGCCTCTAACAGTTGCTGTCAGAGCTGTTGATATCTTATGTTGTTTGAATGGTGATTATAAAGCATTTTTCTCTTTAAAGGAAGCTCTTAATGTAGTTTTTGAGACATCAGACAGTAGGGTAAAAAAATGTGCCCTATCATCTTTTCCTTCTAAACTGAAAGTTGCTTGGTGGGATATTTAGGATGCAGTTAGAATGAATCCAGTAGTGTCCTTATTCTTGGGACATCTCCTGGGGTCTCCAGTGGCTGCTTGAAATTGCTGTTAGTGCCAAACCCTATATATTCTGTTTTTTTCTTATACATACTTACTGGTGATAAAGTTTAAATTACAAGTTAGGCACAGTAAGAGCAATGAATAATAGTAAAACAGCATTATAACAATATACTGTAGTAAGGTATATGATAATGGTGTCTCTCAGAATAACTTACTACGTGTAGTAATTTCTAGCATCAGTTGACTGAAGGTAACTGAGATTTCAGAAAACAAAACCACAGGGCTGCTATAAGTAATAAATCGATTTTTTTCCCCCCTTAAGAAATCTTCTGAGTCTTGTTTAACACAGTCTGGATATTTGGTTGAAGAGCCTGTTCCATTTTTAAATCTCAGAGAGGCTTCTAGTGGTAAGTATTTACATGTGTCCTTGAAATAATTGTTGAATATATATATTTATATGATATTCTTATATGCTAGTTATATGTTAGTGCTTTATATTTTAGGAACTCACGGTCTAGCAGAAATATTTCAGAATTCTCATTATACAAGAGATAATTCTCTTTTGGGTGTCTTTGAATAAGAACTAGTGGAATATTTTCAAACTGATAAGACTGTATTGTTTATAGTAAACAGCAGACTGAACATATATATTAACAAGTAGATTTCCTTAGAGAAGATGCTACATATGGTATTAGGGTTTTTAAGTGTATAAAAAGGAAATAGCAGTGAAGACTAGTTTGTATTGCCTTTCCCAAAGTCATTATGCTTGTACTGAACAAAAGTCACCAGGAAGATATTAGATTTGAAGTCTACCTGTGTTTTATCTTTAAAGTGGCATGTACTTGGGTCTTGCTTTCTATCTGTTCTGAGACTTCCTTCCCTTCAGTTGGAATATTTGGCCATTAATATTTATAAAGTCACGATTGATATAGTTTGATGTAGATCTAGTATGTAATATCATTTCTGTTTGTTCTTTGTGTGTTTTGTTCATCCGCCCCCCCCCTTTGGTTTTATTTGAAAATATTTTATATACTCATTTACCTGTTACCTTTAAACTATACCTCATTGCTGCATCGTTATTTTTTATTTTTTTTTAAAGATTTATTTATTTATTCGTACAGAACTGGGGTACAGGCCAGAGATGTGGAGGGTGAGAGGATTCACCAGAGACAGAGTGGGGTACAGAACAGGCAGATCGACGAAGTACACTGCTGAGGGGAGTAGCGGGCGGGTCAGGAGAGGTCTGCCACGCCATGTGGATCTCCTCCGGGGCAGGCGGGGATTGAACTCATGCGGAAGTGGCTTTAGCTTCTCAGTGCAGTGCTTTAACCCGCTGCACCACCAGGGAGGGCCCCGTTGCATCGTTATTTTTAACAGTTGGTTACTTATGGGGTTGCAGTATATATCCTGAACTTCTCACAGCCTACTAAGTGTAAATATTCTGCATCTTCGTGTGAAAATTAAAAACTTGACAGAGTGTAGATCTAGTCTCTGTCCGACTCCATCTCTTTCATGGTCCATCACACCATAGCTGTCATCTGCATCACATATTTATTTAAGCCTCTCAGGATGCTACTTCATGCTTTAAGCAGTTGTGCATATTTGGGAGTGGGCAAATATAGTCTTTAATTCTCATGTTCTTCATTTCTTATTGAAGAGTTGAATTACCCAATATCATTTCCTTTCGATCTGAAAAAGCTTCCTTCATGTCCATCTGCTTGGACTTGTTAATTGTAATCATACAGTAGATCAGAGGTGGGTGGGTAGGTAAGGCACCAGTTATGGTTTGTTTCCTAGATAAAATGAGATGCTTCAGCATTTCTCTTTGCTCTACTTCATGATATTAGCAGTGACACATTCTTTGATAATAGTTATAGGATGTATGAAGCATGGTCATTAAAATCTCATCATGCCAAACACCTTCCTATCAAATTCACCTTAAGTGGGAACATCACAAGAGCCAACATTCCATGTTCACACCCTACTGGCCCTAATGTTATGTGAGACAGAGAAAGACAAGTCTTGAATAAAGGAGTCTAATGCTGAATTCAGTATTTTAAACTGGTTGGTGCCATCCAGAGTTGGCTTTGTTGCCAAATGTGGGCTCACTACATGATGGCACAGAAGTCAAAAACCATGATCTGGCAGGAGACCTGAGGATGGGACTTTGGTTAGAACATTCAAGTTGTAAAGTCTAATTTTTATTTGGATTGAGACTCAGCACCCTTTACTTCCGAATTTGATGGTCTAAGCATGAGTTGGCATATTTATTCTGTCTTCCTTGGCTACTTTTGGCCAGCCAAATGAGATCTCATCTCAAGGTCAGTGAACGCTTTTCTGGACCTGCACTGGGAAGCATAGCTTGCCACTGTAGGAAAGATTACCTCCTCAGCCCCCCTCCCCCTTGTTAACATGATAGGGTATTTTTGTCCCATTATTGCAGTCCCACCCTGTTCTTGCAGGATAACAGAAGCAAGACCACCATGGCCTTCATGGTTTCTAGTGACTGATGCCATTTCTGTGTCTTCTTTGTATATTTCCAAATGAAATGCCAGAGGTTACTCCCTGAGCTTACTGGATTTGGGTTGAATTTCTTAGTGGCATGATAGACCCTTTGTCAATACACACGCAGTTTGGTTTAGTACCCACAGACTCCGGTCCCCCCTCTTAAGCCACATGTTTATTTTGAAGGAGTCAAGGTTGTGACCTGTGCAGAGGACAGAGAAGCAAGTGCCGCAGTTTCCCTTGGCAGAGTCAGCGAAGTGAGCACAGACACAGGCCCTGGAGTCAAGTCCGCAGTTGCTCCATTGTGCAAGAGAGACATTCCATCCTCGGAACCCTTTGTACTTCGTTCTGTGCTGAAGAAACCCTCCGTGAGACCATTTCAAGAAAGCTTGCAGGTAAGTATAGAGCTACATTTCTTAGAGCAAATCATCTAGGAGTTCGTTTTGCTTCACTACCAGTACCTCTAGAATGTTACGTGTCAGATTGGTTTCAGGACAGTGTTGGTAACTTCTTCACAGGCTGGTTAGAAGTACGTGAAATTAACATCAGTGTCTAACAACTGAGAAGCACACTTTTTTCCTTTTTAACGCGTAAGTTTGTTAACATACAACTGTGCCTAAAGTTGTATGTTTCTAAAGTCAGTATGAATTAGACTACCTTGGAGATATGGTCAGTTATTTTAAATGTTTAAACTGCTGATTCGGGTCTGTCGTCACTGCTGGTTCATATTGTTATTTGTTGTCTACTCAGAGAGACTTAGCATCTTAATGGTCCACCTAACTCTTGTTGATTCTAGTACTACATAACTGACATAAAATCCTGCCACTAAAATCATAAAGACTTTTACAACTGATGTTTTTTTTAGTAAACTGAGTTTGTAGGTATATACAATTTGAGTTGTTTGTGAATGGTTTCAATTAAATATAAAAGTTAGCATGAACTTTTTCATGACTTTGCTTATTTTACAAATTCCGATGTGTGCATTTTCCTGGTCATATATCACTAATTTGGGAGATAGCTGGTTAAGGGGGTTTGATTGGGCTATACTGTTACTTGGAGAAGGTGCTGCTCTTGGTTGGGCAGTCTCGGGAAAGTGAGTAGCTCTGGAGAACAGAACTCGGGTTAGAGGAGACTGGACAGGCAGTGACCACTTGGCGGTACCTCATCCAGCCCACACACAGCCCTGGCTCTTTCTTGCTTTGTACCCTGAGTTTCTCTGTGCCCCATCATCTTTTTCTTTGGGGTTAGCACTGGCCCTTCCTTACCACCTTGCCTGCTCATCATGCCTATGATTCTACTATCATCTTAGAGAATCACAGAAGGACAAACACCACCTCTTTCTTTGTTCCTTTCTTAAGACTATGGTATTGTATGTGTTTTGTGTTTAAAAGATCAAGTTCATGATTATTATACTTTACTGTTGGATTTTTTTCTTTTTTTTTGATTTGGAAAATTATCTCCTAAGATGAATCAAAGTAATTTTCAAAGGGCAACAAAACAGAAATGCCAAAATCATGATTCAATAGAATACTACTTTTGATTACTAAAACCTGTATTTTTATTTCCTTTTTGGTATTTTTGAGGAGTACAGCCTTACTTTATTTCAGCAGTAATGATTCATTATTGATAATTTTTCTTTGTCTTTTCTTTTTTTAAAAAGATTTATTTATTCATGCAGAACTGGGATACAGGCCAGAGATGTGGAGGGTGAGAGAATTCACCAGGTACAGAGTGGGGAGCAGAACAGGCAGATCAACGAAATACACTGCTGAGGGGAGCAGCGGGCGGGCCAGGAGAGGTCTGCCGCGCCCTGTGGATCTCCTCCGGGGCAGGCAGGGATCGAACTCATGCGGAAGTGGCTTAAGCTTCTTTTGCAGTGCATTAACCCACTGCGCCACCAGAGAGGGCCATTATTGATAATTTTGAAAGGTTTTTACTTCTGTAAAACTTGAAATGTATATTAAATGTTATAGAAATGGTGTTAGGTTTTTTTTTTTTACATCATTCTTCATTTTGTATATTTTTCCATTTCAGTTGTAGTCCCTGTGGGCTTCCCACCACCGGTTCATCCATGTGCCATCACCATAGTATTTTTTCTTCTCTTACAACTCTTCCACCTCAGACTACTTATATCGTCTGCCTCATCTGACACTGTGTACTCTAAGCACCTAGAATTCTAGTGAGCCACTCATATTCTCATTAACTTTATTTTCCAGCTAAAAAAAAAAGAATTCAATTTAGTGCACATTATGGGTTTCTGTTTGTGATTTTTGGCCTAAAATACAACTTATGGTCATGGTGGCGTAAACCAGAAGTTGTGGAAATAAAGGTGACTGCAACGCTGTCTTGTCCACCCTTCCTAGAAGAATCCCACGTTGCTATTCTTGGTGACTGTCTCTATGCCTGTGTGCATGTAACACCCTCCATTGATGTTCACTTTTCAGGAACACTGTGACAACCTCTGTGAAGGTGGGACTCATCCAAACTTAACTGCAACCCTTGTGAACTGTTGCAAAGAACAAAAGGCAGGTAAGAAATTCCTACTCATTTTGAAGCCCGAGGATATATTTTTCTTGTTATAAAAAAATCTCATGCAGTAAATGATCTTTTCAGTGATCTTTAATGACTTGATACTTCTGAAATTACAGGGGACTAAGGAACTGTTGGGAGGGACAGAACTTCTGAAGAGTTTCAGATTACTCTACCATTTCATTCATCTTTTTTTGCTTAATGACAGAGCTTAGAAAGGAAAGTAATGATCCCGTTTCTAAACTCTGAGATACTATTGCACACAGTTTCGTTTAAAGTCTCTTACCACTTTGAGTTATGTGTTGCTTACTTGTTTTGTTTTGCTCTTCAAATTGTGTTTTTATATTCTATAAGTAATAGCCAAATCAGTGTTTTAAGATTCTAACGTGTTCTTTTAAGAAAGCAGTATTAACTTCAATTTTAAATATATTCCTATTTATTATCTGTAGACGGTCAAGAAAATTATAAAGTACCAGCCTTTCTAAATATGAGGAAGAGGAAGAGAGTCACTTTTGGAGAGGACTTAAGCCCTGAAGTATTTGATGAGTCTTTGCCAGCAAACACCCCATTGCGCAAAGGTGGAACACCTGTTTGTCAGAAGGACCTCAGTGGCCTCCGTCCCCTGCTACTCGATCAGTCTCCAGTTCCCGAACAGTTACTGCAGCCAAACTTTGATGACAAAGGGGAGAATCTCGTAAGTGGGAAAACAGTTTTCATATTGTCATCAGACCATTTTCTGATGGTCAGACAGTCATCCTTTGAAATCATAAAATGAGTTAAATGGTGTTCCATGGTATAAGTTAATAAATTTTTATTACCAGTTTTCCTGTTAAAAACAATTATTTCTGTGGTACTTGCACATAGCATATTTTGTGAAACTTAAGAGCTATTGTAAGATGTGCCATTGTTTTATGTTTCACTTAGGTTTTCAAAATGTGTATGTTCAGTTGACACACCATAAATGGTAAATTCTACGTAGATTCAGAGTTACTACAGTAAACAATCTATTCAGATTGTGCAGAAAGCAAGTCTTGAATTGATGTACTAATCTTTAAGGAAGCTGTAATACTAATATTGTATATTCCTGTATAAACAAATTGAGGACATGGGGTTACTTCCTAATTCATTAATGTCAGCATGAGCATGGGACTAAATCAGACAGACAATAATAGGAAAACTCCAGGCCATTATCCTCACAAACATAATACATAAAAATCACGTTTCTGAGGTTAAACTCAGACTCAAAGTTGAATTAAAATTTTAAATACAAACCATAATTTACTAACAGATTAAGAAAAACCATATGGGTATCTCAATAGATACAGAAAAGGCTTTTGACAAATTTTATCTAGGAAAATCCCAACAACTGCTATCACACTGGCAATTATGAAGAGAGAAATATCTGATACCTCCTTTTGCATTGTTATTTTACGCTGACGTTCCTGTGAATGATACACTAATGCTAAGTGTGTTTTTCAGTAGAATTTCTTACTTACTTTATAGGAGTCTTATGATGTGGGGCTTTAAATAAATCAAAAGGTGATTTATTGACACTCTTCACTTTGTTTTGTTTTTGGTGGTTTACAGTTAGTAAACATGGCTTCATTAAAGATGACTGGTAAATAATGTAAAGAATATTTATTATAGCTCATTTATTTTGCTTTGACTTTTTTCCTTAGACTTTTATTGATTCCTCATTTTTATGCTTATAATGATTCCTCATTTGTATGTTTATAATAACTCTTCCTACAAAAATAAATCCGTATTTTGTTGGAGAACATTAGTGATAGGCCCACTGAATATAAAGATGTCTAATTTCAACTTCATTTTTTCCCTTTGGTTAGGAGAACATAGAACCTCTGCAGGTGTCATTTGCAGTTCTGAGTCCACTTAGTCAGTCTTCAATCTCTGAGACACTTTCAGGTAATCACATTTTTTACATTTACAAGTGTCATTTTCAGTATGTATATTTATGAAGCAGTCTCTTTACTTCTGTTTATTTTCATTATAACAGTGCAGGCTTGGTTTAAAACTAAAGAATACAGAGAAACGTGCAAGAAGTTTCTTTTCTGTCTCTTTTTCCATTCTGAGTCCTACTCTTTGTAATTGCCCACATTTACCTTCCTTCGCTGGTTACTTAGATTTTCCAGTCACTGTCAACAGTGGAGCTCACCTTTGAATTCCCACATAGCAGCAGTAAGCTGGACAGTGGAAATGGTGCGGATCATACAGGTCATTCTAAAATATCCAGAATTGTTTGACACTGATAGAGCATTTTGACACTTGGACCTTTAAGGTCTCTGACTATTTTATGATTGTGCCAAGACAACAGATACCTCTCTGAGCTTTTTTGAGAAACCAGGGCTTGACTGGCAGTGTCTTGAGCGCACTTACCTGGCAACCATTATTTCTGTCTCTGCTCTGGTCCTAAGCCTTTAATGCCTTCTCATCGGCTATAGGACACACAAGAAGCTCACTAGCATAGAATCCAAGTCTTGTGCTATTAACTTTAGAGCTAAAATTGGCATCATAGTTTATAATATTCCAAAGCATAGTTTATAATATTCCATAGTATTCCTTTGAAAAACATTGCCTTCCATTTATGTAAATAAGAAGGATCAAATTTAAGTCTTCCCAAACTTTGTAAAATTAAAGTATTTTTATGATTATCTTAGTGTTCTTTATGCAATTTCATTATACAAATGTAGCTTGGAATAAATGGGCCAGTGAAAACCAAGTATATGGTGTGTTACAGTTTAACCTGTTATTTTAGCAGAGTAATAAGTTATGCAATCTGCTTCAAAAGTTTCTGAAAGCTAGTTTTGAATCTCCAAGTTTGATTACTTATTGATAATTTATGTTTAGATAGGGTAGGTGCTAGAAGCAAAGGTAGGCATCCAAAAGAGTGCCCAGTGTATCCAAAAAGTGGTAGAGCTTATACCTTCTTGTTAGTTACACTGATTTTATATGTTTTTCCTAGTAGGCACTGATACCTTTAGCTCCTCAAACAACCAGGAGAAAATGTCCACTTGTAAAGTTGGTACAGTAACACGGACCTCTAAGAGAAGAAGTGTAAGTGTTGATATTTCACATACTATGCTTTTTTTTTTTTTTTTTTAAAGATTTATTTGTACATACAGAACTGGGGTACAGGCCAGAGGCTCAGGGGCGGCGAGAGGCTTCACCAGAGACAGAGTGGGGAGCAGAACAGGCAGATCAACGAAGTACACTGCTGAGGGGAGCAGCGGGCGGGTCAGGAGAGGTCTGCCCCGCCATGTGGTCACCTCCGGGGCAGGCGGGAATCGAACTCATGCGGAAGTGGCTTTAGCGTCTTAATGCTGTGCTTTAACCCGCTGCGCCACCAGGGATGGCCATACTATGTTATTTTTTAACTTTGCATTGGATTTTTTTGTTTTCATGTTCAAATGGTTATGGATAAATCTAGGCTTGATCAGTGTCATTAAGAGCCAACCTTTTCCTACCTGGCTTGAAACGCAGAGTATAATGATTCTCATTGGATTTTAATTCTATCGTAGAAGAAAAATCCAACAAAACAACATGTTTTGTTTATGTTAATGCAGAGAGCAATCTGTATGAAAAGTTTGTTTTGGATTTATGTAACTTTATGAATTTTGTAGAGTGCAGAGTGGAGACAAATGGGATATAGTTGGCAGAGCCAGAAAATGGGGTAAAAATAACATTTAAAAAGCTGTACTTTGTTTCCGTTTTCAGTATGAGATTGATTCCATTGAATCTGTCTTTTTCTGTGTTATTAAAGTAGGTAAAATTTAATTTTCATGTGTAACATCACAGGGCATAAACATTTTGTTTTAGCTAATACAGTTGGATAATAAATTCAGAATTCAAACTTAAAAATTTTAATAATTCATGATTTTTCCCCTCATAACCCAACAGAAATCAGGTGGAAATTGTAGTTGTTCGATAAATATTTGATGAATGAATAAGTGAACTACTTGTAAATTGGCTTTTCTTCTTAGAATAATTGGGTAGAATGTGTATGTTTCTTTGATAGGTCAGAAATTGGTCATGACCGTTTCCCCCACTTGAAGTTAAGTTGGTTAAAATATTATTAATGGAATTTGTTAATTAAAAAGGAAATGGGTTAGAAAATTGTAGAAGCAGCACTGGAAGGGAAATAGGGTGGGGACATACTTTAACATGCACTGAAATGTAACTTCTGTGTCTTACGGTGTCCCTGCTTTAAATTTTCTTCATAGCAATTGATCAGTTTTACAGAAGAGACTGTTTGCAACTTACTTAACACAGAAGCCCAACCTTGTAAAGAAAAGAAAACTAGGAGGAGGAAATCTCAAGAAAACCAGGGCAAAGCTAGAGCACCTCCCAGAAGGAGTCAGGTCAGTGTGTGTCTAAAGGTAAAATAGAGTGCCAGTGGTGTGCTGCTTTGAATGGGAAAACATGAAAACAAAAATTGCTTAGATTTATTCATTTATGCATATAGAACTGAGGTACAAGCCAGAGGTGCGGGGGGTGTAGGGATTAACCGGAGACAGAGTGGGGAAAGAACAGGTGGATCTACTGAAATACACTGCCAAAACCAAAATTTTTTCTTAATGTTGTTTCAAGAATTTTAAAATCGTCTTAGGAGCCATGGAGAACCCTGAGAGAGCGTGGACCGGGCGTGCGGGGCACTTTGGCATCTTTGTGTTATCTGCATCTAGCCTGGTGCAGGTTGTCCTCAGATACTGTCGTTCTACTCCAGGGCTTTTTGTTATGATCCTGATGAGAATGACTAATCAATATTGTGGGGCAATACCAAGCAAGCTGTTTTTCACTGACCTGGTTTGTTATTTGTGGATATTATTTAAATGAGGTTTTCCAAAAACCTAAGTGAACCTAAGTTAAGTGAGGATTTACGTCATCAGCACTCAAGTGTTAAATTGCTTCATGATTTTTAATGTTATCTGATCTAACCTCTCCACGCTGCTTAGTTCTTAAATAGGGATGAGTGTACCTTCTGTCTCTAGTTTGACTTTGCTGCTGCCAGTGGCTGAATCACTTTCTCCTAGTTAAGGAAGAAATTGAAAAGTAAAACTCAGTCTTCCTGAACACTCCACCTCCTGTGCCAGCTTAGGTGACTTCTCATCCCTCTGGGTTTAGCTGATCTAGCACCTTACTTGGTTCTCATCTCCCTGCACTTTAACGAGCTAGACCTGCTTCTGCCCTAGAAGCTTGTTGGAACCTCAGGCCTTCCCACTCTTAAATGGCCGACATGAGCTGTCCCCTTCTGAGCCCAGCCTCCTTTCCGTGCGTAACTGTTGTGACGCTAATAGTAATAATCTGCCCTGTTTACTCACAGGGTTTCACACAGCCTGTTTCCTGGTTTACCCTGAACTGCACAGCTGATCTCCCACAAATCATGTCAATAATTTCACTTCTTTATGCCTTTCCATTCTGGATAAATCTGACCATTATTCCCCTCTCCCATCTAACTTTGCTCTTGGAGATAGTTACACAGGTGTGAATCTGGACCCATTGTCTCAATCTCTGAAGTCTGGACTCATTCTCTGCCACTTTGCCTCTGAAATTCAGTGTGTCCTTGGTCTTCTTGGCGTCTCGGTTTTTGACATCGTCAGCACACTCCTTTAGTCTGTCATAGGTTTGTTTCCTTCCACTGTTAAACTTTCATATTTCCTGGAGTTGTGCTCTTTGCCCTTCTAATTGTTTATTTTCTGGGTGATTTCCTAGGCAGTATAGTGATGGCTCCTAAATCTTCCTGATCTATAAAAATATATTCAGTTTCTTACTGGATAGCTCTTAAACCACACTACATGCACTGTTGGAAAAATCAACGTTTTCCAAAATTAACTTGTCCATTTCATGCCAGTACACGCCCACCAAAAAACAGTAGCTTTCTTCCAATTCCATAAGAGAAATTGTTGCCCCTCTTAGTATAAAAATGCCACAGATAGCCCCAGTTCAGCCAAAAGAAGCTGAAAAGTCCCATTTTGAGGTTAGTCTTTTTCCTTTTTTTTTTTTAATTATGCTTATAGAACTGGGGTACAGATCAGAGGTGTGGTGGGTGAAAGAATTCACCAGCGACAGAGTGGGAGCAGAACAGGCAGATTGACGAAGTACACTGCTGAGGGGAGCATCAGGCAGATCAGAAGAGTTCAGCTGTACCATGTGGGTCAGCTCCCTGGCCGGGGATCGAACTCATGCTTCAGTGGGTTTGGGGAGCTTCACAATGCAGTGCTTTTCAACTCGTTTCACCACCAGAGAGAGCCCTAGTCTCATTTTTAAGTTACTTGTTTGAAAGATTCCCTGGCTGAAAAAATGCATAGGAGTTGAAAAATATTGCTACAACGTACATTATTACATTAAAAATTGATTTTTTAGAAATAATTAGAAATTGATTTTTTTGATCTATACTCTTAAAAGGAAAAAATACCTTTACAAAAAAAGTACACCCCTTTTTTCCTATAAAATCAATAGCCAGAACATAAGAAGGGTTGAGAATTGAGCTTTGCTTCAACCTCTGGCAGGGCCCCACTAAATGAAAATAATTAATTTGATTTAATAAAGTGTATAGACTGAGTGAGAATAACAATGAGAGAAGAGGTGTTAAGCTGCAGAGGACAGCCTTCAGTGAATTTGTGGAAGACAAAGCAGATGGGAGCATGTTGACAGATAAAAGAGGTGGAAAGATTTGCAGCCCAGAATGTTGTTAGGAGGGAACTGGAGAGGCGCTGGGAGCTGCCTGCTGGTGGAATCCCAAGAGATCCTGGGCCCAGTTTGGCAGGTACAGTGGATGGTGAGAGTGAGAAGTGGTGAAAAGCAGGGAGATTAATTGAAGTCCCATTTATGAAACAATTTGTACCAGTTGGCATCCTACCCCCCAACCCCGACACTCAGAGCAGATGTTGGCATCTAGGTTACAGCCTGCATTCTGGTATTTGGAAAGTGCTACAGCCTTGTCAGGCAGCTCCGACCCTCACGCAAAGGCCGTCATTGACCCTCACAGCCTACACCGCCCTGCACCACACAGCTGGTAGAATTTCCACGCAGGAAAAAGACTAAGGAAGAGCAGAGGAAACCCACACCAACCTAGTCTTCTAGGAATCAAACCCTTGAGTAACACCAAGAGCATAAAGGATTAGTGTGAGTGAGTTGAACAACCAACCCCAGATCAGCCTCTAGCTGAGGTGGGTGGGGGACTCCACTAGTGAAGAGGAAGCGGCCCCACGCCTCAGAAGAGGGGCCATCGGGCTGCACGGGAGGCAAGGAGCCAGCCTTGCTGCGGCTTGCCACACACTTCATTGCAGCTGCCCTCCCCCTCCATCCTAGCTCCCCTTGTTCAGGAAGTCAGGGCATTGAAGTCTGACTGGACAAGACAGGCTGCAGTTCTCAGTGCTGAGAGGGCCCATCTCAGACCAGACGGATCCCTGGTGCTGCGCCTCTTCTCGCAGCTCTGCTGTCTGGGCCCTGTGAGCCCCAAGACTGACTGGGGTGCCATGGCAGGCTGGGCCTACCACAGGGGGGCTCCGAGCTGGCGACTCCCGTGGCACGTGGCCCCTTTTCCTCCAACAGTAGGGCACATGGAGACCAAGGATGCTCCAGAGACAACATCCCATGAGTTTCAGGAGGAAGGAAACAAAATTGTAGCAATCGTTAAAATAAGAGGATTTGGAAGTTGAAAGGACCCACCGAGTGCCTCAGGACTGACACATGCCACTGTGAAGTTGGACAGTTCATAGGCTAGTGGAAAGTGGGCCATTCCTACCATGAAGCAGGAATGGAGGGGCATCAGATTTCACGCAGTCTTGACTGCTGACAGGTAGTTCACCAGAATGTGTAAGGCCTAGAAAGAAACTTAATTTCAACCCAATGTTCTGTACCTGGTCAAATTCATTTAAATGTGAATAAAAAGACATTCAGATACTCAAAAAGTTTTTCTTTGGATATTACTGGAAGAGATACTCTCACAAAATGAAGAAATAAGCTTGTTATTTGGAACCCAGTAAGTGTGAACACAGGAGAGCGCGGGACTCTCCTGCTGGTTCAGAAGCCCCAGCAGGCGCTGAGTGCAGTCGAGCGGGCTTGCAATTGTGCGCTGGTACAAACCCACTGGCAGCGACTGTCCCCACCTGATCACTGTCCAGCACTGTCGACGCTGTTTGAAACGTGTCTTTTTGCACTCTTGCACTGTTTCTAAACAAGTGCTTATAAATTGATGCTTAACCTCACAAAGACTTTTCAGACTTGGAAGTTTGGAAAAAATACTAGTAGGAAATGTCCTAAGGACAAAGATAACTGCCAAGAATGCTCTGGCTGCTTGAAACCGTCCTAGTAAAGGAATGCAACCTAAAATAAAGAAAATAAGGTAGGGTGTGGTTGTTTTTTTTTTCCTCAACTCATTAAAGAAGCAAAATACTTCACTCTCACACAAAGGTTAGAATAAATTTAAAGTCTTACTAAATTTGAGTTGGGAAATGCATGAACTTCCCCCCCCCCCATTAAAAATTTTCTCTGTCAATATGGCATAGAGGCCACAACCAGTTCTAAATACCATTTCTATCTTGAAGGAATCAGGGATCCCAGATTTACTCTGACTTGCTCTCAGATTTACAGTAGCAGATGAAGACAGTGAACCAATGTGTAAGGAAGAAACGTTCAAGTTCTGGGGCCCTGTTAAAAACAAAACCATCTTGAAGGCGTTTTCATGGACCAACATGGGGTAGTGTCACCATCAGAGATAATGATGGCCGTGGGTTGAAACACAGATCAACTTGAAGGAAACATGAAATTTAAGCAATCAAAAGTTTGAAAAATCTTGGCAGCTATCTAGGACCCCAGCTCATCTTTCTAAAAGCTGGAAAATAAAGTTTGAGCTCTAGTACAGGTAAACACATCGCTTGCGAGGTGTAGGAGAATTTCAGCTACTAGTTTGTGAAAGCTATTAAATGTTAAATAGGAACCATCGATAAAGGTCTGTGCTCGTCACGTGGGATGCACAGACCTTTCGAGTGGCCTGCTTTGGACAATTATAAAGGACATTTATGGGCCAGTGGGTGAAATTTGAACTCAGGAGATGTTAAGGAAAATTGCTGTCATCATTTTTCTGTTTTTAAACTTTCAATTGGAGATCTGGTCTGTAAAATTTACAGAGTGCTCCCTAGCGTCCTGTACGTGGGTCTCCCAGTGTTGACATCTGCAAAGCTCTTTCACAGTGTCCAGAGCAATATTGTGCTCTCGGTCGTGATAGAAACATTTCCATCCCGTGAGGTGCTTGTCTTTGCCTTTTCATAGCTATGTTCACCTCCCGCCCCAGCCCCCACTTAGCCCTGGCAAGCACTAAACTGGTCTCTGTTTATTTAGTTTTGCCATTTCAAGAATGGTGAGTAAATGACTTCACACACTATATAACCTTTCGGGACTCCCTTTTTTCACTCGGCATAATTCTCTGGAGATATGCCCAGGTTGTGTGTCAGTAGTTCTGTTTTATTGATGAATGGTATTTATAGCTATTATAAAAGGAAAAAGAGGTCACCATTTTGCAGTGTATTCAATAGATGTATATTAAATCATTTTATTATGGTATATTTCTGTTGGCTGATTACCATGAAAAGAACATAATTTTAGTCTTAAATCATGTCTCAAAAAGTTTTTTTAAGGTTAACTCATTTTTTTTCCCATTCTTTTGTTCATTTGTTGATTTTTTTTTTTTAGTAGTCGTTATGTGTCAGGCAATGCTATAAGCACTGGGAACATTTTATATACCCAAAGATTTCCAAAATCTTGGAAATTTCTTCTTCCTTACCTGGGTATCAGAACTGCAGTCTCTGATTGACATTGCCCGTATGTTAGCTGTCCGTGTACCGCCTGTGTCCATAGCAATACTAAGACATAGTTTGATATTAGCAGTATTTCCCCCTCATGCCAGTTCAGAAAGTAGTAGGAGGATATTTAAAAGAATAAGAACAGCTAACGCAGCTCTTACTCTGGGTCAAGCCTCCTTTTCACCATTTCACATATATTTACTTGAGTAATAAGCACAACTTTTCTGTGGTGTGCTCTCTTGTGATTCCCATTTCACAGACAGGGAGAAGAAAGAGTGAGAGATCGTGGAGGTAACTGCCTAAGACTGTGAAAGCAGTTACGTGGCAGAGGCCAGGTCTGGCGGAGCTCAAGGCCTCTGACAGTCAAGCCCAAACTTATGTCCTCATCTGTGGAACCCAAGCTATGATTTTTCTCTTGGTTTCCATGTCCTTTGACCAGCTAGCCTTTCTCCCATTCAATAGATGTTCCATGACTGGAATATTTCGTGGACAATATTTGACCTACCATCTTCCTTATGCATGTAGAGGTTATTTGTATGAGCATTTCTCAAACAATGTAGTGTGAAGTACATATTTAGATCAGCCAGAGGAACATTCATCTTGCACAGTTCTAAAGTTATTTTTCCAGGAGACGTTTTGTTTAGTTTGACAGTCTGTCTGTAGATCTCATGGAATAGAGTTCTGTGCCACAGCCGTACTCCCGAATAGATCCACTTTCCACACTGTTGGTTTCACCCAGATCGTCCATTCTGTCACCGAAAGAGCTTTCTGAAATGGAAACAGCAGATGTTGTCACTCCCTCAGTCACTGTGCAGCAAGTTCTCTGCTTCCAGGCGCATCCTGCAGCTCACGAGGCCCACTGCTCTGTTAGCTCCTGTCACTTCTGTGGGAGCCCCTCGTGCGTGCTGCCCCTCTCAGAGCTCTCCGTGTGCAGCTCTCTTCCCTTTGGGAGACCCTCTGCCCCACCCCCACAATTGGCTGAAAGAATTCCCTGATTTAAGATTTGACTTAGACGTTACCTTTTCTTTGGAGCCTGTCGTGAGCCTCCTGTCAGACCGTAGGCTGCTATGTCTGTGGAGGTGTCGTGCTGTATGTTTTATTATTATTAGCTGTTACACTACGAGCTCCCTAAAGACCACATGCTCTTTGTTTTTGTAGCCTATTCTTAGCAAGTTCTTACATACAAACAGCTGTTTCTTAACAAGTGTTGGAGTGGATTCCATTTTCTGGAAGCATTGATTATTAAAAACATGTTCCTTTTGTTGACCCGAAGTCTGATGCTCTCCAATTTTACCACATTGACTAGATTTCAATTTTTTTTTGCTTTTGAGTCTTTTCTATTATTTCAGTACAGTTTTTGAGTTCTTCTATAGTTTCTTCCCATATGAAGCTTTTTTTTTTTTTTAAGATTTGTTTATTTATTTGTACAGAACTGGGGTACAGGCCAGAGATGCGGAGGGTGAGAGGCTTCACCAGAGACAGAGCGGAAAGCAGAACAGGCAGATCGACGAAGTACACTGCTGAGGGGAGCAGCGGGCGGGCCAGGAGAGGTCTGCCTTGCCATGTGGTCACCTCCGGGGCAGGCGGGAATCGAACTCATGCGGAAGTGGCTTTAGCTTCTTAGTGCAGTGCTTTAACCCGCTGCGCCACCAGGGAGGGCCCCCCATATGAAGCTTTTTATACAGAAATTAGTTCTCAGTTGCTGATGTCATGATTAGAATTGATCATTCCAGAATTTATTAAAACAATGTAAACTTTGTAAAAACCCTATTGACAAATCTTATCACTGACCTTCAAGTTTTGTATGTTAAAATCCATCTTTTTTTTTTTTTTTTAAAGATTTATTTATTTATGAATACAGAACTGGGTTACAGGCCAGAGGTGCAGGGCGGTGAGAGGATTCACCAGAGACAGAGTGGGGAGCAGAACAGGCAGATCAGTGAAGCACACTGCTGAGGGGAGCAGCGGACGGGCCAGGAAAGGTGTGCCTGGCCATGTGGGTCACCTCCAGGGCAGGCGGGGATCAAACTCATGCTGAAGTGGCTTTAGCTTCTTAGTGCTGTGCTTTAACTTGCTGCACCACCAGAGAAGGCCCTTAAAATCCATCTTTTACCTATTTGTTTAGTCATCTGTTGTTTGATCAGTTCAGGTATATTATCTTAAGGTTTGAACTGGCATCTCTTGTGTTTTTCACCCAGATTTATGAGGAGAAACATCTCCTTGTAGAGAAATTATTCTAGCTTAATACTTTGTTATCCTAACTACATCCTAGTTAGAAGCATCTTTTCGTTTCTAACACATTTTTATTTAAAATTTCTTATTAAAATTTTATGATGTAGGCCCTCCCTGGTGGCACAGCGGGTTAAAGCACAGCACTGAGAAGCTAAAGCCACTTCCGCATGAGTTCGATCCCCGCCTGCCCCGGGAGGAGACCCACATGGCGAGGCAGACCTCTCCTGACCCGCCTGCTGCTCCCCTCAGCAGTGTACTTCGTAGATCTGCCTGTTCTGCTCCCCTCTCTGTCTCTGGTGAATCCTCTCACCCTCCGCATCTATGGCTTGTACCCCAGTTCCATATGAATAAATAAATCTTTTAAAAATAAATTTTATAATGTAAACTTTATCACTGTACATCTGTGTACACCTAAGAAGTCAACAATATTTCCTGGCTTAAATGTGTCCAGCTCTATAGCACCTAGTCTGTTTTTCACTTATCCAGAATTTATTTCACCAAATACTTTTGGAAACACAGAAAGTCACTATTTGGGAATTCTGCTTCATATTTTGACTTTATGTAAGCTACGTAGCTTCCTTCCTGACTCATATTCCTGCAGTATTCAATGGAGAAAGTTGGTCTTAAGTTTTTCTGAAAACTGAAAAGTCAAAGTTATGCATGATGCTCAATTACAGTGTTTTATTGCATTTTCACAGGCTTTAAAAGGCTGCAGAAAGAAGAAGGGAAAGGGCAAGAAAACTGTTCAGAAGTCTTTATACGGAGAAAGAGACATTGCTTCGAAGAAGCCCCTCCTGAGTCCGATCCCTGAGCTGCCCGAGTCCTCCGAGATGACACCTTCAGCTCCCAGCACCCGAAGGCTGGGTTCAGGTAGCCTGCCCTCCTCCTGTCCATCACAGCCTTTCAGCTTCCTTTTGCCCTTTTCCTCCATTCACTGTGTGAAGAGAAGATAGTAAAAAAAAGAGAAAAAGAACAGATAGTTTTTCCTTATTACCATGAGATTTTAAGATACAGTGGCAGTAGTAGTTGTCATTTACTCACCGGATGGAAGCTTGGGATCCTCTTTCCAGAAACATTAGGATGCAAGATTTTGCATATAATTTTGAAGAAGTAATTTCCTTTCATTCTGCTTCATTTTGCTTCTCACAGCATTTTGTTCAAATAAACTCACTGGAATTCTATAGAATGTGAACTGGGTGTTGGCACAATCATAGGTGTATCTGTGATGAAGGAGAGAAGAGAGAAAAAAAGAAACTTGCCCCACGTTTCAGTCGAGATGGCACTCCTGAGTGTCTTATGGACATGGCATTTATAAAGTGAATTTAATGACTCTGAATGTTTTGTTTGAAAACAGATTAAAATCAGTGATTAGCTAAAGAGTTACACCTGGTTCATAATGTCTGAATTTTACTTTGGCTAAATCATGCTGAAAACAGTAAGAGTATGTGTCCTTTTGTTGTGTTGATTTTAAGTAATTTTAAAAATAGCTGCCTTTGGCAATCAAATAGGAATAGCCTACATTGCATTTGTACTGTAATGTTTAGGATTTATAGTATATTCAGGGGTGAATATAATAGATGCCACTGTGGACCCTTGACTTCTGCCGGCTTTTAAGAAAAGCACAACAGTGAAGCACAGCCATTGCCCTTCCAGACATAGGCCCTCCAGCCTGTGGGCACGGAGGGGCAACGCTCTCCTTGCCCAGCCCCCTCCTGGGGTGTGCCTCGGACCCACCTCTTTTAAATCTGGCATGATGCCGCCGATCCTGTAAATTTTAGCTGTGCTGGCTGCCCTTTCAGGAAAGCTCTTTGTTTGCATTACATCTTTACCTCCCACTTTATGATGACCTGCTCTGCAAATTGCAGTCCTCTGAGACCAGAAGCTGAATCAGATTTCGTGATGTCCTTACTCCTAACAGAAGTTTTTCTATCTTGCATCTTATTAGAGAATTTCTTTTAAAAATACTTGAAGCAGTTATCTATAACTAACCGTATCTGCTATACGGGATTAAAGCAGGTCAGCTCCTCCCTCCTTCCATTTCCTTTGTTTATCCGTTTCCTTTCCCCCTCTCCCCTCTCTATTCCCTCGTGTGTTAATTTCATGAAAAATGCATAAACATTTATTTTTAAAGTTGTATAAAGAGCCCAGTGGGCATTAATCGGTTGACACTAAGTGGACCCTACTTTTTCTCTAGCTTTATTTGACATGATTTTAAGTATTCAAATCATGGCTATACCTTTTCAAATTGGGACATAGAGTTTTAGGCTTTGGGCTTAACTTAGGCTTTGTGTTTTCCCCTTTTGATTTGAAAGCCTTTTTATATCCATTTAACTTGCTGTTGTCATTGTTAACTGATGGCAAGACTGTGATATTTAATATGTCTGACATTTAGGACTCAAAAAACTTAATGCCCACTTAGCACTCATCTTAAAAACCTCAATGGTAGTTTCCCACCTCTCACATGTCAAAAGCATGGCATGTCTTCCTGGAAGATGAATTTTAATCAGCTGGAGGAAGCAGGAGATTTTAGAATTTTGGAACAAATATGGAGTAAAGACTTGAGCAGCACCCGTTATAGTTTGTATGGATTCAACACAGGGCATAAGACCTGGAGTCTTCAGAGCCCTTTCAGACAATTCCTCAGTTCTCCCAGGATCCCAGGTTTTCTTTGGAATACTGACAGAAGAATTTCAGAAGCACAAGGTTATCCATTTTCAGTAATTCATTTTCGGGGAAGTGGGAAAGTGGCTCCCTCACGCTCGCCGACCTTGTCGTGTGGAAAGTACATTAGCACAGAGGAGGCAATTCAAGATACAGTTCTCATTTTCATTGCCTGTGGTTATGTGCTTTATTAATTCGTGCATTAAATGCTTTATTTTCTTAACCTATGGGTGGGGAAAAACTGGAAGAGGAAGATGAGAGATGGGATGAGTACCATTGCCACATTTGTGGGTCTTGATATTTGAAAACCACAGAATAGAGAACAGATAATGATTTATTGACGTTTATTTCCATTTTTTTTAAGATTTATACAAAACTGGGGTGCAGGCCAGAGGTCCATCATTAGTTTTAACTAGATTTAAACTTATTTGTGCCCATAGATGATTTCAACTCAGATGGTGAACTGGAAGAAGCGCAAGTTCTTAAAAGAAAGAATCATTTGCCTCAGAATTCAAGCGATGCCCAATTTAAGGTTTTTAACCCGCACGAAGTGTCTGAATTCTGTAGCTCCAATATGCAAAGCTACTTGCCTCTTGTTAGTGATACTCTTGATCAAGATGCAAATATAAATACTATAGAAGTTAATGGAAATAAAAATATTCCAAACGCAGAAATTAAGTTGGAAAGTGAAAATGAACTCCAGCCTGGGGCAGAGCATGGAAACAGTCAGATTTCTTGTACTGTGATGGACCAACACATCATGTCAGACTATTCAAAAACTGGTTTTACTGAGCAGTCCCAGGAATTTGTTGCTGGGCAAAATGTGGGAAATCCTTTCCAAAGTTTTAAAATTTCAGAAGATAAAAACATAAAATGTGAAAAACAGGATGACTTACTAGCTTCCGAAGGAGAACTGCACCCCCAGCATTTAATGCTTGACTCACTAAAAGAATTTGATTGTCCAGACGGTGTCAGCATTGACAGTATAAAAGAAAGCCAAAGTGGAAGGGAGGAATTGGGAAGAAACAACCCCAAAAGTAGCAGTAGTGTGAGTGGTAGAGAGAGGAAGCAGAGACGACGCTCTGTGTGCTACTCCCACGGCCAGAGTTTGTATTGGGAGAAAAACGAAAATCACCAACCGTGTGTGAACGGCGCTATAGAAGCTGGCTTAGAAAATGACGAAGTGTATAAAGAGCTGTCTGACTGCATAGAGCAGACCTTCCAGAGGACAAACAGGGGCACACAGGTCAGGCGGAGCACCAGGCTGCAAAAAGATTCAGAAAATGAAGGGCTTGTGTGGGTTTCCCTTCCCCTTCCTGCTGCTTCCTGCACGTCCCAGAAAACCAAAAGGAGAACCATATGTACATTTGACAGCAGAGGGTTGGAGAACCTGTCCTCCAGAAAAGAAACTCCATCCTCTAGACAGAAACCGTGGATGCCGCCCTCTGACCTGGGGAAGGAGAACAGTGCGGGCGTGACTGCCATTTTGTCCGACGTCCCAGGCAAGAGGAGGAAGAGCTTCTGTACATCCACACTTTCAAGTACTAAAAATACTACTCAGGCAAAATCCTACAAACAGAGAACCTCTCTCAGCCAGAAGCGAGAAAACTCTCTAAAGGACCTATCAGAGGTGTAAAGACAACTGACGTTTGTTGCTGACACTTGACCAGGGAGAAGGAAACCATCATGGGGAGTCTCGGTGTAGTGACCACCCTGTCACTACAGGGTGTGTTCAACTTCAGTGTTTCAAATAAAGTCATTTGAGTTGAACCTACCTACTTCTAACTAGTGATCCGTGGGTTTCTTCATCATTCACAAAGAAAACATTCTTCTAGGTAGGTTTTTCTCCCCCAAACGGCAAATGCTGTATTGGTTATTGTACGAAAAAGATTGTTTTGGATCTTAATTTTTATTTCACATTAGTACATATTGACCCCTGAAGGTAGTAACTCCAGGGTCTTTTAGAATTTTCTTTAAAATTACAAATTGATAGAAATGATGTAAATTTGCAAAATTGAATGTAATATAATGTTGAAAACTTAAAGGAAATGTAGGGCAAGATGTGAGTTTTATTTTAAAATAGTATGAAAAAACTTGGTTAAACAGGAAAGATGGAAATTATAAAACCAGTTTTCCCTTTAGGTTAAAATTAAGAAAAGCTTCCATATGGCTTTATCTCAATTGAAATCTTACACATGGAATTCTAGAAAATTCTTTCAGTGACAAGAATATTATAAATCTTAATAAATAACTAGGGTGTAAGTCTTTTATTTTTTTCCTTCCAAAAAAAATTCATTACATGACTTGGTTGAAAAATGGAGGATTGGTTTTTGATGAAAACAGTTTAGTTGAAGACTCATCTCCTGATTATTTAAGTTTGTCACAGGTAACTTGGGATTCAGTTCTCCATAAAAAAAAATCTAAAATCCATCAACACGTACAGGTCCTAGCATGGCTTGGGTTGCTGATTTCTTTGTTAAAGTCGTATTTCCCAGTCTTTTTTCTATATCAAATACTGTCACTTGTCTTTTAGTTAAGCAGCAGCAGTAGAACCTGTCCAGTTGTGGTGATAGAGGTTTGAATCTAATCTAAATCACTGTATAGATGGAATTTATGAATGCTCATAAATCATTGTATCATTAAACAATTGTCTTTGAAATCCTTTAAATCATTAAACTCTCCATCTCTCCATGATAGCAGAAACATGTTAACAAATAGAGCTCTCTATAAATAACACAACAGGGAAGAAAACTCCCGCTGAGAGGCCCATTTCCCCTCCTTAGATAGAGACTATTTGTTACCTTCTTGGCACCAATAGGTCTGGAACTCCTGCTGCTATAGACTAATGTATTTTACATTAACACTCAAAGTGATCCCCAATTTCTCCTGCTAAAGGGTGGATTGTTTAAAAATTCTTTTTATCTTTATACGTAAATTATTTATGGGTGGTTGCCCCCTCTCCCTTTTAGAGTTTGGTGTAGTTGGCAAATCTATACCACTGAAAACAAACTGATAAAAGAATTAACTTCGTGGAGGATTTTGGTTTCGGTAATTAAAAAAACTTTAAGAATCGCAAGATGTTAGATGCTTGTCTTTTAAAACAATAATCTTTACTGTGAAGGCTGAAACTTGTTTTCTCCCCCTTTTATTGTATAATTCATATGGTTTGGATTATATTTGGAAAACTTCACATTTTGTTTTATTCTTTGAAAAGTGCTCATGAGGATAAGGAAAACATTTGACCTGTGATTTTTTTTTTTTAGCTTGATTTTTAAAGTATAAAATGGTTTTCATTTCTATATTTACAGTTAGAAATATAAATATGGTCGACTTTAAGTTCTGTTAGTTTCAGAATGTTTCACTTTAAAAGTTTGGTTGCTTGTAAATAACAAAAATGCAGTTTTCCTGAAAGGCTGGGGTCTGACAAAACAGTTGAGGCACTTTTTCTCCTAAGCTCGCTTGCATCATACTTGTGAAAAGTTAATGATTCCTGTGTTTTATCATGTTTGTTTGTTTTAAGATGTTTGTTTATTAATGGTTAAATCTAAATAGTGTCTTTCAGCACTGTTTTTTCTTTCTTCACTGTACCCCTTGCCTGACTTTTAGTCCTGCTCCTGTAGATTCTTCTTTGTTCCAGAAGATGGCAGTAAGACATCTGTGTTCTCCGTCTTCATTGTTGCCGTGACAGCTTTGCTGTCACCTTGTTTTGACTCATTTTTATTACAAAAGTAATATGTTTACTAAAAAAATGGAGAATCCCTCAAAATCAATAACTGATTTCTCCCACTGCATGTGGCATCTTCTAGCTGCACCTTCTCCCCACTTCTTGTTCTGAGAACCACTAACTGGTGTCCACCGCCAGTAAAGGGTCTGCATTTTCTAATGGAATCATTACAGGCACTTTCTGCCGCTTGATTTTTTTTATCCCACAAAATGCTCTGGGAACTCTTACGGAAAGCCTGTGGTGCTACTGCAGAGTTCTTGCAAAAAACATTTGATACTTTGAAAATCTAAATTTAGCTAGTCATCTACTTACTCTAGTGGATGCTATTTTTACCTTTTTTTTTTTTGGCTATTGAAAATTATGTCACATTGTGCTTGTATGAAAATGTAAGACCAGTTATTTGAAATTAAATGGTTCTGCAGTTTGCTTCTATAGAGCTTACCTGGCCAAGGCCTTGTCCTTTGTCCTGGGCTCCTGCCACTTACTATCATTTTGCTTCTGTTTTCTTTCACTGCATTCATTGGCACTTGAACGTACAGTTGAGGATGAGGTTTAGAATTGGCATAACAAAGGGGAAATATTAATTATTGATACATGCTTTAGGTTGAAAGAGCTGTTTGTTTTAAGTCAGGTTTATTGAGGTCGAATAATAGTACATTAAATTCACCCTTATATCTTGACATTTTGCAAATCCACACGACTGCAGCCACTGCCAGAATCAAATAACAGGACATTTGCATGACCTCCAAGGAAGTTTCCTCCTACCTCTATAGTGAGTCCCCTGGCTCTAGAAATCACTCATTTGATTTCTGTTCTCAAGCTGCCCCCTTTTCTAGAAAGTCTTACAAATAGGGCTACAAAGTATATGTCTTTGCGTCTGCTTTTAATTTAGCGCAGTGCTTTTAAGATCTATCCATGTTACATGTTGTAAGTAGCTGGCTCCAGTTTATTGCGAGGTAGCATGCCACTTCATGGATGTACCAGTGGTACCCACTCATTGTCCAACTGAGGGGTATTTGTATTGCTGGCAATTAGAAATAGAGCTGCTATAAAGAGACATGGGTTTGTTTTTTTTTTTAATAGACACTTTTATTTTATTTTTTCATTTATCTTGGTAAATAGGAGGTGTAGGAATCCTGGGATGTGTGGTTGGATAGATTTAATGTTTTAAGAAACTGCCAAGCTTTTCCGTAGCACCCATGGCTGTGCCATTTTGTGTTCCCGCCTGCATTGCTGTTTTAATTGTTCCAGGTCTTCAATTTCCCTAATGACTGATGCTGTCAAGCATCTTCTGTGCTTATTTGCTATCCTTAGAATTCTTTGGATGAAGGATCTCCGTCTTTTGCCTGTGTTTTCCTTTGTTGCCTTGCTGAGTTGTGTTTATTTGGGTACAAGTGCCTTATTGGATATGTCTTGCATGTATTTTGTCCATCTGGCTTACTTTACTTTCTTAACAATGTCTTTTGAAGAAAAGATTTTAAGTTTGTTGTAATCCATATTACCAGGTTTTTAAAAATGGTTGAAGTTTTTGTATCCTAGTTAAGAAATCTTTGTCTAATTCAAGGACACAATGATTTTCTACTGTTTTCTGATAGAAGTTTTTATCTGCCATTTAGGTATTGGATCCACTTCGAGTTAATTTTTATATATTATTAAGATAAAGATGTTTTAAAGTGGAAGTCATTAACATCTGTTGAAAAGTTTATGCATTCTTCACTGAGTTACAGTGGCATTTCGATTGAAATCAGTTGATCTGTATGTCTAGTCTAGTCTATTACTGACTTTGTTCCATTGGTTTGTATGTCTCTTCTTAAACCAACATCATCCTTGATTAAAGAAATTTATTTTCTTTGCTGTGAATCTTTATTATAATTTATAGTTATTCTGGAGAAGGAAGCTGAGGGGAACAAAATGAAGTTTGTGAAAAATGACCTAATGAAACCCTGGTTCATTCCTTCATAAACAGATTTTTCTTTCTAAAAAAAAATTTTTTTTTATTTTTTGTGTAGGAGAGCTGGTATGTTTGCCATAGATAATGGGTGTGAGAGGATTCACTAGAGACCACTGAAACACACAACTGAGGGGAGCAGCGGGCCGGACAGGAGAGGTCTTCTGTGCTGGCTGGGTCACCTCCCTGGCCAGGGATTGCACTCAGGCCATAGCAGTGATAGCACTGAGACTTAATCCTTAGGTCACTGGGGAGGCCCCAGAAACAGATTGTTCAATAGTTTGGTTCAATATAAAAATACTCCCTGTCCTTAGAAAGTAGCCTTAGCATTGAGAATTACAGATTCCTCGCACCCCCCATCCAAAAGTAGAACATGAAACCTTGCGTAATCTGAAATGGTGTAAAGTGAGTAAGCAATCGCCATTCATTTGTAAGGACAAATTATTGATTGTTCTCTAATCCTAAAGGTAATCTATCAAAACAAAGCAAATAAAATTTACAGTAATACTAATACTTAGAAAAAGCAGTGAAAATAGAGTGAATCTGCTGACTGCATGACGTAGTTCCCAGGGAAGGAGCTGGGTGTTGCCCGTTTTTATTGCTGGGGTGTGGCTGTCTGTAGTGACTGCAGTGGAAGGATGCTCTTTCAGCCTTCTGTTGTAAAAGCATAATCCCCTCTGGGTTTCTTTTGTTTATGGAAAGCAGGTATGAATGTGTGCCTCTTATAAAAGTGAAGCAGTGTAATGAACTTTGGTGGGTTTTTTTTTTTTTTAATAATGATTGATTTTTGCATACAAGAGCTGGGGTGTAGGCTCGAGGTGCAGGGAGTGAGAGGAATCACCAGGGTGGGGAGCAGAACAGCAGACTGGCAAATAAACTGCTGAGGGAAAGAGCAGGTGGGTCAGGAGAAGTCTGCTGTGCCCTGTGGGTCTCCTCCCTGGCCCGCTGGTTTTTGAACTCTTCCTGCAGTGGCTGCTTGTAGCTTCGTAGTGCT